TGACTGAATGGAGTCAGTGGTCTACTTGCTCAGCTACATGTGGCGGAGGAGTCCGAGAAAGAATTCGTGATTGTTCTTATGGAACATTCGAAGATTTTGGGTGCATTGCTGACGAGAGAGAAGAAGAAACATGCAATGATTATGTATGTTTAGTCTGTGTTATTGTTAGAATCAAATATTGCAGATTGCAGGATTTAAAATGTACAATTATTTTTTAGGAATGTCGATCATGGACACCATGGAGCTTTGTTGGCCTGTGCAGCGTAACATGCAACATTGGTACCAGGACACGTTTTAGGCTTTGTGTAGGCGGCGAGCCGGGACAACGTGGATGTGAAGGACTAGATCAGGATATGGTTTCCTGTAATGAAGGTTCATGTCCAAGTTGGACACCGTGGGGATCGTGGGTTGAATGTTCAGCTACTTGTGACGGAGGTTACCAGGTAATATTGTATTTTATTTATTTTGTACAAAACAAAAAATAAAACGAAAGCGAGAGAGAAAAATGAGAGATTCCAATGTGTGAAATATAAATCAGAAAGAGGAATAGAGGGAAAAACGATTCGAATTGTAATTTTTTTCAGACAGCATATCTTTAATAACACTTACAAACATTTAGGAACGAACCAGAGCTTGTATTAACGGTGACATTGGAGATCCTGGATGTAATGACGAAGAATCAGAGCTTAGAGAATGCAATGTTGAAAAATGTGGTAAGTTTAACTATAATTTCATAGCGTTAGGTTTTATCTTTGCTGAAATGTTTGTTATTATTTTACATTATTCAACTATAAACTGCTGATAATTTATTATCCTACCACACAATACAATCGGAAGCTGAAATTTCCTTAGAAAATTCACCAGTTCAATTTTATTCAATATTTATTTTAATATCTATCTCAAATATTAAAAACCTGAATATAAAGCTTTTCTCTCATATTTAAGTGTCGAATTAAAATGTTTTAAATTATGTTTTTTGTTTCTATTTCACAGAACAACCAGTTGAACTTGGTAAGAATATTTTTTCAAATTATCCTCTAATTTCTGGTATATAATTGGTTAGCATATCTATTGTAGTGAAAATCTGTTAGGGTTCGGAAATCTCTCAATAACATCCGGTATGAGATTATTTTATAGAAATATATAATTAGAAATGAGTTATTTTAGGCATTTGATATCGGATAGTCATACAGAAAATAAACTTGAAAGTACTCTAAAAGTAAATTCAATTTTTATATTATCATATTTCTGCCAATTTCTCTGTTGCGGTATTCGATATTTCATACTTGACAATATTATTTCAGGGTGTATTTGAAAGAGTAAATCATTCGAGTTTCATTATACCTGTTTTATAGTATCAATATTCTACATACAATATTATTATAATTTGAATTGCTTGATTTTTTTGTTAGTTTTATTAACGCATATTTTCTTTCGATTTTACCCAAACACAGAGTGTGATATGTTGGATTTGGCTCTCATAATTGATTCCAGTAGCAGCATCAAAGCTGATAACTTTGAGATTGTTCGTCGTTTCTTGAGACAAATTGTTCGACGACTTACTATTGGGGAAGAACATACTAGAGTAAGATTTTTTGCATATTATGTTTTTAATTAAGCCCGGAAGTTAGAGGTGGAATTTCTTTCATTTTCATATTACCAGCAAGCAATTTGTGTGGTTTATAGTTTAATTAAGACAGTCCTATATTCTGGCAACCTTGCACAATATTCACATTTCTATATGATACGACAATGAATAATGCTGACATTAAAAAGCATATATGTTCCATAGAATTATTTACATATATATGTAAGAAAAAGTTTGGGTCATCATGCGAAATTGTTGAGAGTCTTTTGCATTTTATTTGCCTACTTACTAATCATTTATTTTTACAGCTTGCTGCTCTGCGTTATAACAGAGACGTTGATCTTTTGTTCAACTTTGCTGATAGACTGGACACTGATCAAGCGCTACGAGAAATTTCAAATATGAGATATGATGGCAGTGGTACATTCACTGGCCAGGCTTTAGAATATGCTGCTACAAATATATTTGGTAATACGGAACAAAACAGAGAGGGTGTGCCTGATTTAGCTATTGTACTCACTGATGGAAAAGCCCAAGACTTCCCAGAGACATCCGTGAAGGTAATTGTTATACTGTTATTCAATGTTAATACCATTAATTAAGCTATCCTGGTAATATACAGAGCACAAAGGCTACAATTAGATTTCGTTTGCAGATATATTAAATGTATTTCAATTTTAAGAGATTAGTGAAATGTTTTCACGTCAGTACTATTTTACAACTATTGTCCGAATATACTACAGGCAAGCTACTAGTAGCTAGAGCAGTGTTTCCCAACCGGAGTCCGCGGTCTCAAATGAGTCCGCGGAGCGTTTGAATGAGTCCGCAACGAGCCAGAAATTCAATGCGGGCCGCAAACGTTTTTGCGAAACTTATCCATCGGCCAAGTCACGATTTACGTTAGAATTTGAATAAAACTTAAAAAGCAGGTTTATTCACATAACATTAATCGAGTCAATAATTACTGGATACTGAGTAGGGCTGGGCATATATTCGAATATTCAACTATTAGAATATAAATTTACTATTCGAAAATTTGGTAACAGGTGACGCGACAGGTCACTTGCGCGTCGCTTAATCAAACGATTGGATTACACAACTCACTGGCGAATTTACGTCGAAAACACGAGTCAGCAATACCTAAGTGGTGTTTCTCGCGAGCTAGAACAACGAGGAATAAATTTTTTTTTCTGGTAGATGTCGATTGTGGCAACCTAAATTTTCTGAATTGAAAAGCGGCAATACCAAATACTAATAATAAAACGGAGAACACCATAAGTTTTGTTTTATGATGGGCCGCGTCCGATTAAAAACTCTTTTTAGACATTGCAAATCGCAAAATTTCGGGTGCTGCTGAGGAATACGTATCAGGGCATTTTCACTTGGTATTCTTTGCTTTACTGCCTCCACATCGGTACGTACAGTACTGGAGCGCCGTAAGCGTTGTACGAACAGCTCAGATTTGTCAAATTCAGAAAAAAACGAATCAAAACAAAATATAATCTGGCACTTTACCACGCATTTTTGTGTCCACGGATTGTTATAATATTGTAGTATTGCGTTTATTTCGTCAACACAACCGCAGATCAAAATGATCACAATTAAATTAATATTACAGCAATGCGATAAATATTTTTTTTTTTACTAATATATATACTTTAATTATATTTTTAATAAGTAATGAATCAAGTTGTACTTTCTGAAAATTTATAGCCTATAGAAGGACTTTTCTAACGGCGATAACAAATTCGCAACTTTGCAAAAAACGTATTAAAACGGGCAATATATTCTCACATTATTATGTTCGCAGATTGTCATGACATTTTAAAGAAGTAATGCTTTCATCTTGTCATAAGTCGACGCAACAGCGGATGACCATGAACACAATTAAATTAAAATAGAAGGACATTTTAAGTTCTCGTCGTTGTCATGGATTGAATATTGTGCGACAGAAAAGACCATTTATACACTAAAAAGTCGGCTTTTTAACAAACGCGTAATTGCGGCGAATTTCCGATTTAGAAATTTGTTAAAATTCTGTTGTGTTTGGTTTTATTACTTCTTCACACAGAGTACGGTTGCAATAAACTGACGTTGTGTCCACGAAGGTTTTCGCCGGTGAGAAAACAGTTCACGACCAGAAAAGGTTGGGAAACGCTAAGCTAGAGTATTACTTTATTTGAAAAGATCGAGTCTCATCGTATATCCAATTTAGCTTATCAAATTTATTACGCACTATATGGGGTCGTGAACTCTGAGATCTTGGGTCGTGGCTCTGCCCAGAAATGTTTGGAAAGCCAAGGCAACATAGTTAAAGTTCAACATACTAATAACTGTTTTTTTTGCAATATAATTTGTGACGTGAATTGTACAAATATTTTTATATCAATTCATCTCGCTGTTCGTTTACTTGTAGTCATTCGGGCTTAACTTTCACTTTTAATCTACAGCAACTCAAAGATCTTGGTGTGAAGGTTGTTGTCATTGGTGTAACTGATCAAATTGTAGAATCGGAATTGAATGCCATTGCTACTGATCCAGATTCCGAGAACGTACTTCTTGTTGGTGATTTCTCAGCATTGCTTGAAGTTGTGGCGGAAGTAACCAGATTTGCCTGCAGAAAAGGTAAAGTTTTTATAAGGAACAATAGCGAAAATATTAGCACGTCAAATATAAATGATAATTAGAATCTTACAAGAAGTGAAAAACCTATGTTTGTTAAAGGGAATTCATAACAGTAGCCATGTAGATGTAATGAGCTACTGTGGTATAAAAGGCTGAAATTTTGCCAGTTTTGTATGGTCTACAGACCCACAGTTCCGTACATTCTTGGTGTATGTAGCCAATTTTTGTTTGGTTGGTATTTCGTATTAGATGAGTTGTCTCTCATAACTCTAGAATATTCCACATCAGCCTACTTCATGAATAACATTACCTTTAACCTCACAGCTGACTGGAGCGCCTGGACTTTATATTCTGCGTGCGATGTAACTTGTGGTAGAGGTCGTCAAGTTAGAACACGGGTTTGCACTGACGGGTTTGCCATTCTTAATGAATGCGTTGGCATCGACTTTGAAGCTAAAGCTTGCAATGCAGGACCGTGCCCCAGATGGTCTGAGTGGTCATTTGAAGGACCTTGTCCAGTTACATGCGGTGGTGGAATTATCACACGCACAAGAATGTGCATGTTTGGTGCCACCGGTGTTCTTGGATGTGAAGGAGAAGAAACAGCTACAGAAGTATGCGCTACCGAGGTAAGACTTTTACTTCGATTAGAAAAATTTGGAATTTCATGTGATTGTGCAAAAATGGGCTTATGCAGCATTGTGGTTTTATTGGTATTGCTAATTTATTTATTTCAACGATGAATTATTACTAAATTATGTGTTTCGTTTTCAATAAAGTAATACCTATCTACGTTGAAATTAGTTCAAGCTACTTTTAAAAATTAAGCACGCGCTTTGCACTATATCAACTTTCTACGATTGCATTTTTTAAATATTCAGGAATGTCCAAGATGGGATGAATGGAGTTTCTGGACCGAATGTGATTCCTCTTGTGGTGGAGGTTCTCAATCTCGAAGCAGATTCTGTATCGGCGGCGAAGCCGGTATAAGAGGATGTTACGGACCACGACTGTCTTCCAGACTTTGCAACGCCGAGGTTTGTACCAATTGATACTTTGTTAATTATGCTTTTAAAATGCTCATCTTAATTTATCCAAGGTGAAGTATCACTGAATATATATTATGGCTAGCGACCAATGAATACATCAAGCTAATTCAAATATTGGAAAGAGTTAGTAAGAGCATACTTTTACATATTTAAGAGGTCTAATATCTTTATAAGGCAGAGTATAATTCATCTATGTCTTTTTTTTATAATTAGCCGTGTAGCAGATGGCTGGAATGGTCATTATGGAGCATTTGCACCAGAGATTGTGATGGCGGTATTAGAACACGAAGCAGAATTTGTCTACATGGTGTACCTGGGGATGTTAACTGCTTCGGAGATGATTATCAAACGCAAGGATGCAATTCTGTGGTTAGTCTGCAACACTATTGCATCGGAATGCCAAATATTTACACCTTATCTCACTTTTCTGTCCTCAATTCGGTTAAGTTAACAAGTTAACAAGCTTATTTATTCAACTGGCTTACTTGCTGAAGACGAGTATTACTCATGCTGCTGCCTGCTTTTCTTCGTTCTGCTTTTCGTTTTATATTCTTTGCACATTATATTAACATCTTCACATAACATAATATTTTGTCGTATTTCGTAAAATAATAACTATGCTGTCCAATTTAAATGTTCTTTTTTGACTGCATGTCTGATTCATTTTCTTCAACACCCTTCTTTATCTCCAATATTTTACCAAGTATAACAATACCTGTTATACAGAAGGAAGCAAGATCTGTTTTCCCTACCTATATTTCCTCTCAGAATCGTTGTATCTTTTCTGTATATATTTGTTTGTATCTCTTTTTATTGTGCATTAAACTAACCCACCTCGTTTATTCTAGTTTATTATTTTCGAATCTATAAATTTTAATATGCATGTATAACTAATATTATCTCAGTTCCATTTCTTTTAACTTTTCACTTGACCCTTAATGTTCTCTATTTCTGACTACTTTTATTATTTAATAAAATTTATATGCATTTCGGATGTTTGTCTCTCTATTCTTTTTGTCTGTTCCTACTAACACAGCATGTATAGATATATAAGTTTTAATAACAGTATTGGTAAATTGTTCAATTGAATATTATAAGTTAAACCCGAACAAACAAAGTAAGCAATATACCGAATTGTACCGATTCACTCTACTTGAAATTGTGTTTGGTACGATTGGCACTTACTACTCACTAGTCTGGATATTACAATTTATACTTAATGAGACACAACTGCATAATAATAGTTACAAGACGTAGTAGTTACAAACTATATTAGACACTATAAATAGGGCCACAGTACGTGTTTCAGGCACTAGCAGACTTCACGCAGATTTAGCACTAATACACAAGTATCCACATTTTAATTTTACGGTATAACGCCGACATACTTTTCCAAACTCAAAAGTATCTAGTACTATGATAATTTCACGTGAATCTTTGCATTGAAACATGTATTATACAAAACAATATAATAATATTCAATTTTATGTTGTAAAGACTACTTCCGTGTCTCGTACTTTATTTGTACTATAAATATCATGCCGATAAGTAGTTCTGGAGCTTAGAAAATATTGCTTTGGTATAATCACATCGTAAGTCAACAAGAGAAACATTTGCACTTACATTTTCATGACGAATTCCAAATGTCTGGGACGACAAAAGCCTTAATGTCATTTTTGTCAATTTGTCAAAAGTAAAAATATCTTTATACTGTAATTCTCTATCAAATATGACAGACGAACAAGTACTATAAAAATTTAGGAATATTTTTTTTGGATGACGTAAGTGGAAAATTAAATAGCGATGTTTTCTTAACACGCAAATTAAGCTCATGTAATGTAATTATCGGAAGTGGTTCATTAAAATTTTAAGTTGTTTGTAAACATGATATTTACAATAATCGTTGTACTAATCGAAAACTACGACGATAAAAATATGACTGCTGCATGTAAGTCAACCTGTTGCTCGTATGATACAAATCGACTGCATGCAACACACTAAAATAAGACGTAATGTTAAAACAAGATATTTCACTTGGATAAACCTGATAAAAAGCATTACCATCATTTCATATTTAGCACCATGATTTACCCTTATATTTTATCACGAAACAGCCGTGCACCAAAATGTCAATGTGGGCATCATGGGGATCTTGTTCAGCTACTTGTGGAGGAGGAATCTCCAGAAGAACTAGATTCTGTATTGGAGGAGAAATTGGAGATCCGGGATGCACTGCTCGAGAATACGAAGATCGTGCATGCAATGATGAGGTAGGCGTGAACTGTGCATTGGATATTTTTCGTTGGTTCTTTTAAAAGGTGTGGTATATCTCATATCGAAATGAGAAAAATGTCTTCTTAATTGAGAGTCTTTTTCACACTGAAGAATCTGGATCTGAACAAAATTTAAATATTTATCTATTGCTGATTAACTGTGCGTTATTTTCTTTTCGCATTGCTGTTGCCCGCAGTTTGGGATAAAAAAGGGACAACCAAGCAAATTACAAAAATGTGTAATGTTACCACCGTCAGGAAAAACGCGTATTTCATAAATTTGATTTATCGGTCAAACTTTCAGACTTGAGGGTGCAGGGTCATAGTGAAAACAGTGCTCTGATTGTAAAAAAAAATCATGAAGTACAACTGCTGCACATAGATCAAACGATTCTTAAACGATATTTTTTTACTGATTGTAGGCCTGTCCGTCATGGTCATTCTGGGCATCCTGGTCATCATGTACTGTTGAATGCGGGGAAGGTACACGAACTAGAACTAGAATATGTCTCAATGGCGAACCTGGAGGATCTGGATGTGAAGGTTCAGAACAAGACGTTGGAATTTGCGCCGGAAACGTTCGTGTTATTTTCATCCTAATTTTCTCATTTTAATCCATGGTTTTATTTCTAAAGTAAATGACATTTTAGACCATGTGCATTGTGCGTGGATTTCGGCATTAAATTTTATCAATATGTTACGTTTGAATAATAATTCAATTACAATCAATAAGACCGCTATTGAATAATCTGCGATTAAAAAAATTATGATGATGGAGCTTGACGCAGAATATCGAGGTTGCGCGACGTTTTATCTTATCTTAACTTGTCAACTTTATTGAGACACTAAATAAGATATTGTTATCACAACAGCAATGCTCGACCTGGGGAACATGGTCAAGATCTTGGTCTGAATGTTCAGCAACATGTGGAGGTGGTATACAATACCAACGCAGAAGATGTATTGATGGAATTCGAGGTGACGCCGGGTGTCCTGGGGATGATCGCAGGACCCAGGAATGCCAGAATCAGGTATGTTCTCACAAAATCTTTGGAACAAAACCATAAAAAATGAGACAAAACTTTAAACATTCGAAACATGTTGTAGGACTGTCCAATGTGGAGTCCCTGGCAAGCATGGTCTCTCTGCAGTTCAGAATGTGGGCTCGGTGTCAGGACTCACACTCGTGTTTGCTTGAATGGAGATATCGGCATGGACGGATGCGTTGGCATAACTGTCGAAGAAAAACCATGTAACAGAAAGGTAAGACAACATAGTAATTTTTAATGAAAGAAATTGAATATAGAGATTGAATTAAACGCTGCCACTTATTTTATCTGACCAATATTACTTAACAATTGCAAAATAATTTCACAGAGTTGTGCTTACTGGTCACCTTGGGGTATTTGGTCTGCCTGTACTGCGACCTGTGGTGGTGGAATTAGAGTTCATTCGAGAATATGCATCAATGGAGAGCCAGGCGATGAAGGTTGCGAAGGATCACCTGATGCTCAAGAAGCTTGTGAAACCGATGTAAGTTTATTTTCTTTTTTGTTAGACAACTTCAAACGCTAGGTTCTTGTTGGTTAGACTTGGAGTTATATAATATACTGAGCGATTTGTTAGGAAGAGTATACGAAAAATTCTTTGCTTTTCCATGTGAGGATGATATTTCCTCATCATTATTCTGATCTAAATTTATTGATTAACTGTTGATCTGTACGTTTAGTGATATAGTATTTGCAATTTATATCTAAATTAAACACTGTATAAGTATATATTATAGAGCCTATCCTTACAAATATTTATCCACTGCCATTTCAATATATGAATTTTCAATTTAGGATTGTGAATTCTGGGGAGATTGGTCGCCATGGAGTCCCTGTAGTGCAACATGCGATGGTGGTAGCAGAACACATGCAAGAGAATGTATTGGAGGTACTGAGGGAATGAGAGGTTGTACTGGAAGTGGAGTTGAAACACAATATTGTAATGGGGATGTGAGTTAAATTTGCATGATAGAAATATCTCTATCAGACTTTTTCATGTTTTTGGAATGTTATACAAAACTTTATTATCAACTTTATTTAGGCCTGTCCTTACTTTTCTGACTGGTCTGTCTGGGGAGGTTGTTCTGCATTATGTGGAGGCGGAATAGAACGTCGATCTCGTATATGTGTTAATAGTAACCAAGGTATGGTTGGATGCGAAGGACTTTTGACTGAAACAAGAGACTGTAACGAGGAGGCAAGTGGAATCTAATTTGAATATTTTGCTTATGGAAAGTGTCCATATCTTTTATTACTTTGTCAGTGTTACAGGTTCATTTCATGTTCAATTAAACATCTGATTAATTTGAATATTTTGCTTATGGAAAGTGTCCGTATCTTTTATTACTTTGTCAGTGTTACAGGTTCATTTCATGTTCAATTAAACATCTCATGCAAGTCAATTTGAAGCAAAACTGAATAGTATTTTGCATAACCCCAATTGGGATAAATTTCCATTTTTAAACTCAATTCTGAATAGCATTTCAAGTACATACTACTTCAACAGTTACAACTTTTTCATCTAACATATTTTGTTGAATCTACAGAATTGCCCGGAATGGGGACCATGGGAATCATGGGCGGTATGTAGTGCCTCATGTGGTCAGGGGTCCACAAGAAGAATCCGAGTATGCATTGGCGGAAATTGTGTTGGGCCATCGTCAGAACGAAGATCGTGCAATGTTAGAGTGAGTGTTTGATTTTGATTTTACACAAACTTCATAATATAAATGAAACTACTATATAAATGCATCTGAAACGACATTTATGAATGGGCTAGTGTCACATGTTAGGAACACATTTGCCATCGCAGCACCTCTGGAATTCATTGGTTTGAATCCGGTGAGAAATCGTTTTGTGCCAGAGGACTTGTCTGGTCGGTTATGTCTTTCTCCATCATGAGGTCGTAATTTGCCATAGGATTAAGCTATCGTCTTTTCCTCTTCTTGGGATGAATATGAAAAATCCTATTCTATGCTTAAGCTGTTTTCTAATTTATTTTGTAGGACTGTCCGGACTGGTCAGAATGGGGCGAATTCTCTGAATGTAGTGCTTCCTGTAACGGTGGAACGGCAACTCGAGTAAGAATTTGCTTGCCGGATGGTGAAGGATGTCCTGGAAGCGCAGTTGACGAAGTCGTATGTAATGAAGAGCCTTGTGCTGAATGGTCAAAATGGAGAAGATGGTCAAGCTGTTCAGCTACATGTGGCGGAGGATCAAGAACAAGAACTCGTGTTTGTATAAACAGTGGCGATAGAATAACTTGTGACGGAATTGCATCACAAACGGAAGATTGCAATGAAAAGGTAATGTTTCATTCATTTGCAGTTTGTACTTCATATAACAATAGAAAATATTAGTGCAAATTGTTGATAGTTAGTTAGCCGAAATAATGAATTAATCCTGTTTAGGAAATTGTCCATTTAGTCAATAAAAACTACAGCAATGACGCACGGGATAATGAGATTCCCCATATATTCTTCTTTTCCCAGAGTATTGTGTTTGATCTTATTTTTATAATTTCTGAATAATATTCAACAATGCCTTATTAATACATATGTTTCTCTTTTTTTCTTTTTTAGGCCTGTCCTTCTTTCAGCAATTGGAGCAGCTGGAGTTCATGTTCTGAATCATGTGGTGGGGGAATAAGAAGACAATCTCGTACTTGTAATAATGGATACTTCGGAGAGCCTGGTTGTATCGGCGATGAATACAGAGACGAAGCTTGTAATGAAATGGTATGTGCTTGTTTCATTCTAATGTAAACAGTGTCAATCTCGTACATCTGAAACAATTGGTTACCTATTTCCACAAATCGTCACACGATTAGGCCACCTTGTCGGCCTCCTTTCCATGGAAAAAATTCTTCTCTGTTAGAAATACACCGAAACTTGTTACCTACCATATTATATTCAAGTACTAATTTTTTGTCATGTCTATTTTACTGCAGCCGTGTCCATTCTGGTCTGAATGGAGTGAATATTCAGCATGCAGTGCAACTTGTGGTCAAGGATCTCGAACACGGTACCGAACTTGCAACAATGGACTTCCAGGCGAAAGAGGATGTATCGGCAGTCCATTGGAAGAACATGCTTGCTCAGATTCTGTAAGTCTTTAATGAAATATGAATGGAAAAAATTATGTAGTCAGCATACCTTGCCGATTTATTTTGCAATCATTCTACTCATTTTTAGGTATGCGCTTTTTGGGCTGCTTGGTCATCTTGGTCTCAATGTAGTTCTCCTTGTGGTGGTGGAGAAATGAACAGAACAAGGATCTGTGTCAACGGCGAGGTTGGATCGCCCGGATGCAGAGGTGCAGGACCTGTAGCGGTTAGACGTTGTAATGTCGATGTAAGTGGGATCATAATATGAACTTTTATTTGGAGTTCGTTTAGTTTATTTACTGTCTACTTTGTTAACTTTTGAGAGAGGTGCTGGACGAGCAGTTTGTTCATGATATTTGTAACCTGCGCCGCCAATATGGTTATCTCTGTGGTTTTACCCACCTGATAATAGTTAATATTCATCGCTCTAGTATATTTTATTGTTCAAATTTTTCTCAAATTTTACTTTTAAAACAGGATTGTCCACGATGGTCTGATTGGTCAGATTGGGGAATCTGCAGTAGACAATGTGGTTTTGGTCTTCAATCTCGTGAACGATCTTGCATCGGTGGCGAAGCTGGTTTCTTTGGATGCTTCGGACTTCCAGAAGATAGAAGACGATGTAGAGGAAATGTAAGAACGTTACTCTGAAAGATTACGAGTCCTCATTAATATCTTAAGCATAATTAGTTGAATAGCGAAATCTTTTCGACGTTTTTACAACTCATATTACTTATTATTACTTAAGATAAGCGCACTGATGGAAAAATCTTCTGTCTTTTTCAGATATGTGCTGATTGGTCAGAATGGGGTGAATGGTCAAGATGTAGTGTCACATGTGGATATGGTACAAGGACACATTTCAGAGCATGTAACGGTGGAAGACCAGGAGATCGTGGATGTGAAGGAGCTGAATCAGAGGAAAGTCTGTGCTTCGGTTCGGTAAGAATTTTGTACGTGACTATGAATTGACGATATTCAGAAAAAACTTTATTTAACTGCTTGGCCTGTGATAACGTTCTGAACAAAAATTCTTTCAAATGTATACATGACCTAACCTTTTTTTATTCGGCCTTGGCTAGCGTAGTCTCGAGCACAAGACCATGAAACTGAAATATTGTAGTAATTTATTTTACAAAATTTTATTTCGGTCTCCCTTTTTTCATTTCTTGTTGACTTTTCAACACATTATTTTTAACATTAAATAACATTTTGTCAACACATTACTAGATTTGCCCCCATCTGTCTGAATGGACACCCTGGTCTGAATGTGATAAACTTTGTGATGGTGGCCAAACTCGTCGTACAAGAGTTTGCGTCAATGGTGGACCTGAGGATATCGAGTGCGAAGGTGATCTTATTCAATCAGCTCCATGTAACTCAGATGTAAGTACATTCAAATAAATTGATGGCTGAATAATGTGAATAAAATTTTCATAAAAACTTTGTTTTTACATTTACAGCCTTGTCCCTCTTGGGCTCCTTGGCAGGGTTGGTCGTCTTGTTCTGAATCTTGTGGGGGTGGAGTTTACCAACGAGAAAGAATTTGTATAAATGGTAACATTGGCGATCGTGGATGTGCCGGAACAAGAGTACAAATGGCTTTCTGTAATGCACAAGCTTGTCCTTACTACTCAGTATGGGGAGAATGGGGTGCCTGTTCTCGATCATGCGGAGGTGGTGTCCGTGTACACAGAAGAACTTGTCTCAATGGAAATGAAGGAGATTGTGAAGGACCATCCATTGAAGAAATGCTTTGCAACGAACAAGTAAATACTATATTCTCACCAGATTCTATGCATTCTGTAAACATTCTGCCGCGGTATAGATTCTGTAATATAATCATGCTTCTTTTAATATATAAACCATATCTCTCATTATAGGCATGTCCAAACTGGGCCGAGTGGGGTGATTGGTCAACATGTTCAAATACTTGCGGTGGAGGTCTTGCAAGACGAGTGCGTACATGTTTCAATGGATTCCAAGGAGATGCTGGATGTGATGGTGATTTCTTACAACAGCGTGAATGCAATGCAGAGGTGAGCTTTTTTATTTTAAATATAGACTTTTATACACAGTAGTGGTAAGAAACTTCACTCCGCTTACAAAAATTAATATTTTTCAGTATACTTCGTACTTTGTAGCGGACAAGCTGTCGATTAATTACTAGATGAAGCGTTCAAATCACCATCAACCGTTCCATTCTATAATAATTTTTTGTTCAGCTAAAAAATAAAATGTTCTTGATATCCAAATGAAATTATTTTCACTTTTAGTCATGCCCATACTGGTCTGTCTACACTGAATGGACAGCTTGCACGGCAAGATGTGGTGGAGGCGAAACAACACGCACAAGAACTTGTATCAACGGTGCACCTGGCGATGTTGGATGCAGGGGACCTACTGTTATGAGATCGACTTGCAACCCAGAAGTAAGACTAACGTATTAATAGTTACATTAGGGAAGTCAGTTCATTTGCACTCTTCAAGTTGATGTTAACTAAGATTGTAAAATACGCAATTTCACATATCAGATAATTGTTTCATGATATTTCGCAACTGCTCTCTAAATGAGGCCCCGAACAGGACGTCTTTTATGCGTAGATAGTCATTGTGATGTAAAATAATCTGTATCATTCTGGTCATTTTAATTCAGATATTTCACTGTACTCATCTTACTCTGAGTTGGGTTTGAGACCAACGAAATGCGGTTTTAACCAGATATCTGTATATTTTGATACCAGCATAGATGGGCCCTGCTCACTATCCAATTGATTGGCCATACTCTCATGAGACTTCATGCAATTTCGCTTCTACTAAATTTTAATAACCATACAATTGGCTATCACATTCTTTCTGTGGGAACGAAAATTATCTAATACAGAATATAGCAAGAACTTCGAATATTATGATAAGAATTTGACCGGCAGTATTTTACACATCGTATCTATCAATTCATACAAGCGTCAACTAATCAACCGTTTTGTTTAGCCTTGCCCAGCCTGGTCAGAATGGGCTTCATGGGGGCTGTGTTCTATGACATGCTCTGGTGGAACTAGACGAAGATACAGATACTGCAATCACGGTGTTGCTGGCGAATTTGGATGTGAAGAGGGTGAAACAAGTGAGATAGGAGCCTGCAATGTTGACACGGTAAATTTACATTTTTCGAACATTATTCTATCATTTTATGAGACACGCATCTACGATACTTCAGAAGCTGGTATGTTCTTGGTAGTTCAATTTTTTCTCGGGATCGGAGTCGTGAACACACTTTATTATGTCATTGTTAATGCTCTGGAATGAGATACCAAGTAAAATGCAAATTGAATCAATTTTTAGTGCGTTTGTGCTTCTTTCATATTTTGATTTTACTCTTTGATACAAAGCTACTGCTTTATATTTTTTGTTTCTTATCTGTGCTTAAACCTTGTTTCCACTTCTAGGTTTGTCCAACATGGTCTGAATGGTCCGACTATAGTGATTGTTCTGCATTGTGTGGAGGTGGAGTGCAAACACATGAGAGAATTTGCATCAACGGCATTGTTGGTATGAAGGGATGTGTAGGCCCAACAACAGAAGAAAGATATTGCAACGGAGAGGTAACGAATTACACATTCTCATATTCACAATATATCATAATATACTTTCCTTAAATCTTTAGATTTAAAAATGTAATTTATTGTATATGACTGATTTTAATTCTTAGCCATGTTCCTACTGGTCATCATGGTCAGGTTGGCGAGTTTGTTCTGCTACTTGTGATGGAGGTTTCCAGACCCGTATAAGAACTTGTATTAATGGCGATGCTGGTGATGTGGGATGTACAGGACAGTCCAGTGAACCTAGAGGCTGCAACTCGAATGTAAGTCCCATATTAAGCGATTCCGCTCAAACAAAACCATATCTGCCTAATCAGCTTTTAAGATAAAGTTGTTTGAGAATAGTCTCACTTTTTTTGTAACCACAAATTAAATTCTTCAGTCAATACATTGGCCTAATATGACGGTATTTTTCAGCCTTGTCCTGAATGGAGTCAGTGGTCCGAATCATCGGAATGCAGTGCATCATGCGGAACAGGCCGAATCACACGAACACGTATTTGTATGGGTGGGGTTCCAGGAGATATTGGATGTGAAGGAAGAGCAACTGAATCTGATATCTGCAACATCCGAGTAAGAATAAAAACACTACCTGCAATCAAATATGATCTGATATTTATTTTGTGATAATAAACGAGTTACATGAGAACGAATAAATACCATATTTTCTATAAATAAAAATAAAGTTTGAAAATTCGCAACTGAAATTTTAATGTATGTTACGTTGGTATAAGTGAAATGTTTTTGTCTTTTTTAACATTAGAGGGCTGGGTTCTTTAAAAGGATCATATGATAATATTTTTTTCTGTAACAGGATTGTCCGAGATACAGTGAATGGACAGAATGGACCTTCTGTTCAGTATCATGTGGTAAAGGACAGCGATCACATTCACGAGTCTGCCTTGACAGTCAGGGAGATCCAGCTGAGGGATGTTCTGGTCGTGCATTAGAAATTGTGTCTTGCATCCAAGGAGCTTGTCCATTCTGGTCAGATTGGACAACTTGGACAAGTTGCGAAGGTGCTTGTGGAACGAGAAACCTAAGATCGAGATCTAGAGTTTGCATTAATGGCATCAATGGGGAAGAAGGATGTCTTGGCCCCGACATGAATGAAGAAGTCTGTGCCGTTACCGTGAGTTACTTTTAAATATTACCCATATAGAAAACAATTCAAAATGACTGCAAAATAATTTAACATGAATCGACTTATGACATGAATCGAGATATCTCAAGTCTCGAGTTCGCATTAGCTATAGCCTGACACACACCATGAACATGAAAAGCATTAGAATTGTACATTTTAAATGACTCAATGAACAATGAATATCTATCTGCTGTAATTAACATCTTATTTAACATTATGCTATTTTAAAATACAATTAATATTTCCAAACAGACCGATATAAATTTCACAATGATTTAATAGAGACAATGCAGTTACATTACATTTAACTTGCTCTAAATTTGCGTTTAGGAATGTCCATTCTGGGGAGAGTGGTCAATATGGTCAGAATGCTCTAATACTTGTGGAGGAGGACGTAGAACTCATTCGAGAGAATGCATCAACGGAAATCCTGGAGACTTTGGATGCCAAGGTGCACAAACTGAACAGAGCCATTGTGGAGCAAACGTAAGTTTGAATATACAATTTTCACAAAATATATACGGCGATTTTTTGTTGAAAAAAAATATGTTCAATTGTATCTTTCTGTTTTCCTGCATTGATTTGATCTTTTTTTTACAATGCAGCCATGCCCATATGTTACCAACTGGTCAAGCTGGGGAGCCTGCTCTGTTAGTTGTGGTGGTGGCGTGAGACGTAGCCGAAGAGTTTGCTTGAACGGAAACCCAATCACTGGATGTGATGCACCTCTAGATAGAAGCGAAGAGTGCAATGAATTTGTAAGTACCGGTTTTGGTATTTTCCATTTTATTCATAAACTTTAACTGTTTCATTGTACTGATTGAATCACATGAAACTCGTGGTAAGCTGTTTGTTCATCTTTATAATGAGGTATGCCTGACGAAGAACAATTTATCACACATTAAATGAAAAAATTTGTTTCTCAATATATTCTTAAAGTAAAATATTCAGTAGGCTACAGATTTATTGTTGTTTTAACATCATACTCATAAAATACATATATTAAATAGGAATGTCCCAGATTGGATGAGTGGAGTCCATGGTCAGCATGCACCAGAACGTGTGATGGGGGAGTCAGTATCAGGACGCGAGAATGTCTCGGACCAGACGGAACATATTGCGATGAAGACCTCAGAGATGAAAGAAGCTGCAGCAGTAGCGTAAGTTATTGCAATCAGATTTTTTATTGTCTCAGAATGTTTTTGTTTACAGCTGGTCGAAAGCAATGAGATAAACCTTTATTATTAGGAAATAGTTGATAATTTCACGTTCCAGTCTTACATAAGACTTCAAACTGCAATTCTTTTTCGTCAACAAAGTATAGCAGTATAGTAGCTTTTTAGTAGAAATTGGCATTTATTTAAAAGTCGGCTAGTATTTTCATAACAGCAAACATCCAAACATGTTCAAATTGTCACTTCGAGAAAACTGATTATGATGTCACAGTCACATAACATGGCTACATTTTATTAATTACAATCTCATAGTTTCTTAATATTGAAATTTTAATTTTTTGTATCATCCACAGCCTTGTGAAAGGTGGGGATCGTGGTCTTCATGGAGTTCTTGTGATGCAACATGTGGCCTTGGAGTCAGAATACAAGACAGAGATTGTATCGGAGGAAATCCAGGAGATCCGGGTTGTCTCGGCTCAAGTATCAATGAGGAAGCATGTGCTGTTGGAGTAAGTATTTTAGGTTAATATTCTATCAGAAGATCATGATAAAAAATCTGACTGTTTTAAATATAGACTACACATAATCACTATGAATGAGAAATGTGTTGAAGTTGTTTTAAAACTGTTATAATTTTCTGTTTTTAACTTCTGTAGAGTTGTGCTTATTGGACACCCTGGACTCCGTTTACTGCTTGTGGAGCCACTTGTGGTGGATCAACACGTCAGAGAAGACGACAATGTATCAACGGTGATATGGGAGATGAAGGCTGTGAGGGAGATAACTCGGAGACTACTCCTTGCGGATTCGATGTGAGATTACATTTTTAAGTGATGGATCAGAAACCAACAAATTCTTTTTTCCACATTTGTAATTTTGGTGTCGTGCAAATGAAAGTACATCATTTTTAATGGGGCATTTCTAGGCCTGCATTCTGAACAATGTATTCTACAAGAATCCACTGATTCGCTTACCAGGATTTTACGAAGCATCATATTCGTCCGGTACGACGATAATTATACCTAATTCTACCCATTTGGGGATAGAATCTAGTTTTACGATAAACTTATTGTCCAAAAAAATTAAAAACTGTTTTTTGTTATATTTAAATGGGAAAAATACCAAATAGTATTTTATACTTTCTTTATTCTCCTCTAACTTTTTGTTGAAGTTTTATTGAACAATTCTACCATTTGCACTACAGGATTGTCCATTCTGGTCCGACTGGTCTGACTGGTCACAATGTACGCAATCATGCGATGGAGGACTCCAATCTAGAAACAGAGTTTGCATCAATGGAGATCAAGGACAGATTGGATGCGGGGGATCTGACACTGATGAAAGATTCTGCAACGGAGACGTGAGAATTTTTCCTCTCATTTGAAATTTATTGCAAATTAAAATTATGCTAATTGAAGCTTTGGTAAAATATTCGTTATTGTAAACTTTCCTTTGCATTACAGGCTTGTCCATTCTGGTCTGAATGGAGTCAATACAGTTCTTGCTCAGTGACATGTGGCGGAGGATCTAGAGTAAAAGCTCGTGTTTGTGTTTATGGAAAAGCTGGATCAGCTGGTTGCATTGGTGTCGAAGAAGAAGACGAGCTATGCAATCTAGAGGTTAGGAGGAATATTGTGATCGATTTTGAGCAATCACTCAAAAATAATTTTTTGGTATTTTTTAATATTCACCACTGTCAAAATCGTACGAAAAGTAATGAAATGATTTCATCTGTTTTGGTCATATCTCAGACAACCCTAAATGGAGAAGGTAAAACGTCGTCAGATTGGAGTTTAGGTATAAACTTCGTAGTAGATGATAGTAAAACAGAGTTTCGCCAATATTTTTGATTTTTCAGGATTGTCCCGTTTGGACACTATGGACAACATGGTCGTCTTGCAGCTTGACATGTGGAGGCGGAGTTACCAGGCGAAGCAGAAAATGCGAATATGGATTCATGGGACAAATCGGTTGCCTGGGAGGTGATGACCAAATGGAAGACTGTAACGAACAAGTAAGTATAAGATACAATGATGCATTATTATTCTATACCATTGATCATGCCATGTTTACACAGGACAAATAATCAAATTTAACTTCCAGTTAAAAGGAAACAATAATTCTTACTATTACTTTGATATTATTTATTTTAGCCCTGTCCAACTCTTAGCGATTGGTCAGAATATTCACAATGCAGCAGCACATGCGGACGGGGTGAGCGTATAAGAAGTCGAATTTGCATTGGTGGTTCTTTTGGACAAATTGGATGTATTGGACCAGAGACAGACATTTCAGAATGCATTGAAGGAGTAAGACTTGTATTGATACATTTGACATCTGATGTTGCCTTTGTTCTGTTAGCATTGAATTACTTAAAATTAATTTTGTTTATACAAATTACATTTCAAATAAACTCAATAAAAATCATGATAGTGTATTGTTCTTCAGATAAATTGACTTTCTATGTAAACACACCAAAGGTTCAAAGTCTCAATGTTTCATTTCATTGCTATTTGCAGAATTGTGCGTTCTTCACTGATTGGTCACCTTGGACTGACTGCAGTGCAACTTGTGGTGTTGCTACAAGAAGTCACATACGAACATGCAGAAATGGACTTCAAGGAGATCCGGGTTGTGAAGGAGAGACGAGAGAAGAAGAAATATGTGAATTACTTGTGAGTGCAGCGTAATATATTTGTTGGATAGGCTAGATTCTTGTATTTATTTAAAACCATTTTTCTATTGCTGAGGGAAAAAATATCTGCTTCTCATTAGGGTTCTGAGCATTATTCAAGTAAGTATACAATGTGTGTTATAAACTAAGAATTCTCATAAACGTTTTCTCCCTTGTAGGGTTGTCCATTCTGGTCAAGGTGGACTAACTGGGGCGAATGCAGTGTACCATGTGGTGGAGGAATCCGATCTCACTCCAGAGTATGCGTTGATGGTAATATTGGTGATGTCGGATGCGAAGGACCCGCATTTGAAGAAGACTTCTGCAACGGATATGTAAGTTCAGAATCAGTACTGTTTCAAATTTGTAGATCTTTTTCATTTTTCAACGACTAAATATCATTCATTTGCATTACTAGGCATGTCCATACCACTCAGAATGGGGTCCATACGGCCCTTGTTCGGCATCATGCGATGGCGGCGTTCGATCTAGATCAAGAGCTTGTTTGAATGAAATGGCGGATCAAGGTTTGACTTGCGAAGGAGACCTTTCACAAATTGAAGTTTGCAACAGTGATGTAAGATTTAAATACTTTTGAAAGGACAACGTTTAGTCCATAACGCCATTTTAACTGTTTTTGTATCCTACAGCAATGTGCTTTCTGGGAAAATTGGTCTTCTTGGGGTGATTGTAGTGCAGAATGCGGTTCTGGATACAGATCAAGATCTAGAGTGTGTAATGGTGGACAAGCAGGAGAACCAGGTTGCCGTGGGAAACGTGTCGATGAGGAGATTTGTAATCTCCAGGTAATATTTATGGGTCTTTACAACTTTGTCGGGAGTAACACAGGGTAAAAGGAATCTTTCATCTTTTATTTTTTTAAATCAGCGTTTTACCGCTCAAAATAACCTATTTGATTGTGTGAAGTTTGCATTTCAGTAATATTGTATGCCAATGTCGGTATTAACTGTGAAATTGAAAAAATTGATATCTAGAAACACTATCACGGCCAGGATTTTGTGAAATAAAAAACTTCATTAATCTTTCACAGCCCTGTCCAAAATGGGATAACTGGACAAGTTGGGGAAGTTGCAGTGTATCATGTGGCCGGGGTTTAAGAAGTAGATTCAGAGCATGTGATGGAGGTGATGCTGGTACATTGGGTTGTAGAGGAGATACAGAACAAATCGAATCATGCGTCACAGGAGTAAGAAATTTATTTTTCCAATATTCTAGACTCAACTGTGTCAAACAGATTTTCGTATGTGGTTATTGGTTAAATATGATGTTGCTTCTATAATGCATTTCTTTGATGCCTCTTATTTTAATATTTACTGATTGATTAAATTTAAAAAAAATCTCATTATTTTCAATCATAGTTCTGTTCTTACTATGATGAATGGAGTGTCTGGCGTGCATGCAGTCAAACTTGCGGCGGAGGTGTAAGAGAAAGGACTAGAAATTGTATTGGCACAGGACTCACCAGATGTGTTGGACCAAATGTCGATAGACAGAACTGCAACTCCAACGTAAGTTTATTCTAACATAAATGGTCTGTATTTAAACTCCCAATAAGTGTTTGATTTGATGGATCTCCGAAACATGGGTGAGAGGGATTGGCTAAAGGTTCACCATTTTGGAGTAAAATTCAATCTTCAAAGTATATTCATATGTGAAAACTATATTACGTGTTATTATTAATCCAGCTTATGTTTTTTAATGCATTTCAGCCATGTCCAGAATGGCAAGACTGGACTGAATGGACAGATTGTTCTACAACATGTGGTGGTGGACTCCGCTCCAGAGACCGAATTTGCATAGGTGGAATACCAGGCATGGTTGGTTGTGAAGGAGAACCTAGAGAAGAAGATTTCTGTAATGGACAGGTAAAAAATTATATTTAAAAGGGAATTATTGAATGGCAAATGTAAAATTATTTTACGAATTGTTATAGGGTTTTTATGTGTTTTTTACAAAAACATTCAAACTCTTACAGGCATGCTCATATTGGTCATCCTGGGGACCGTTTGGTGATTGCTCAGCGACATGTGGTGTAGGAAGACAAACCAAAACTAGAAGATGTATTTCTCCACTCGGACTTGAAGGATTCTGTTCTGGTGATCCACGAGTATCTATCGACTGCAATGTCCATGTAAGTAACTCATATAACTATAAATAGGCGCACAGATATTGCTTTTTTGGCAATAATTTCAACTGAACTTAATTACAATACAGTTCGATACAACGCTGCTTGGCAGTTCTGCATTTTAAACTTTCATAATAAATATATATTTTCAAATTTGGTTGAAATTTTGAACTCGCCTTTTTAAACCTGACGGATAACATAATCCTTGGCTGATAATCAAAGAGTGTTGGCTAATCAGAAATACCTATATTACCTATACCTTAAAACAAATTCCTTCAGGTTTGTTTTTTTGTGGCTTAACCCAACAAAACTATGTGTAGGTTGTACATATTTATATGTTTGCAATTTTTACAGCCATGCCCATCTTGGTCATTATGGGAGGAATGGTCTATCTGTAGTGTGTCGTGCGGTTCCGGATTCCGATACAGAGAACGGTTCTGTAACGACGGACATGCGGGAGATGTTGGTTGTGAGGGTGCCAGACGACAAGATAGCGATTGTAACAGTCAAGTAAGAAATGTTTTTCTTGTAATAAACCTGGCCTAATATCAGTCGTATCTCTATTGTTTTTCATTTCTATTTGAATCTTATAGCCACAATGTAATATGGTTGCCTGTTTAAACTCAAATGTGACCCGTATTTCAAGTTTTATAGCAAACACTTTTCCTTTATTTAATCTCTAATCTAAATATTATATTTTTTTTAATACAGCAATGTGTATTCTGGAACATTTGGTCACAATGGAGTGAATGTAGCGTTGATTGTGGACAAGGTGTTCGCACTCGATTCAGATCTTGTGCAAATGGTGAAATTGGCGAACCTGGCTGCAAGGGAGATAGTGAGCAAGAAGACTCTTGTACCAGAGGAGTAAGTATTTTTTCTTCAATTCAAATCTCATTGCATCACATTTTTTTGGCCATGAAAAGTTTACTCTCGAATAAATGTCATTAAATCTTGGAAGTCTATTGGGATATAAAAATAGGATATAGTCGTTTTGTTCTCGATACTATATTTATATATATATATATATATATATATAGCATTTTCTTTGCTTACTTTCAGAACTGCCCGTTCTGGAGCAACTGGAGAACTTGGTCTGGTTGTAGTGAGACCTGTGGTGGAGGAGAACGTACAAGATCTAGAAGATGTATTAATGGTGTTGCTGGAGAAGAAGGCTGCACAGGAGATTTCCAAGAAACTGATATTTGTAATATTGAGGTAAACTAAATTATTTCAAAAACTGTTATAAAATAATAAATTTTCTTTCATAATTTAATCTTTTCACGGCAAAAAAAAACATTTTTATTTTAATAATATGTAGACTAGATTATTTTCAGAAATACATTTTATACCGTGTTGTATTTATCAAACAATATGAATATTTTTGTTTACTCCAGGACTGTCCATTCTGGGCTCAATGGGGCGAATTTACTGCATGCTCAGTCAGTTGTGGTGGAGGAATCCGCCGTCACACAAGAGTTTGTATAAATGGGGATCCCGGCGATTTTGGTTGCGGGGGATCAAATTCTGAAGAACAATACTGTAATGGTCATGTAAGTGGTTTTTTTCTATGTTTTAATTTCGTAAATAATTGCGCAAGTATTACTATAGCCATTAGACAGTATCATTTTATAGGGCATTTACTTTGACGTTTTAAGACTTGGATGAAAACTTTATAAATTTCTACTACTCTACTAAATTTTAAACTGATGGTATTTGTTCTAACTTATTGCAATGTTGGTATATCATATCAAGTCTTGTCCATACATATCGGTCTGGTCTGACTATTGTGCTGGCCTATTTTATAAGTTATTTGCCCCGTCGTGACTTGCACCCTGAATAACACCTTATTGACCTCTGCTCGTTAAAATTTTAAACTAAAGTTATTATCTGTCCTAACTTAGAGGTGTGTTGTTATAATAATTTCAGTCATGTCCATACATATCGGCCTGGTCTGCCTATGGCGCTTGCTCAGTCACCTGTGGTGGTGGAGTTCACCAGAGAAGCAGAAAATGCGTCAATGGTGATTTTGGCAATGTAGGATGTATTGGCGAGGAATTTGACTTCGGAGATTGCAACGAACAGGTATACAAAATTTGTATTTTTAAAATTAAATATATCACGGAATTGGAAACTTTCGAACCAATTATTTATACCTTCAAAAGTGTTATCAATTAAAGGCATTCTGGAGGTTGACCACATGAAACTTTTCGCACAGATGTGTCTTCTTTACATCTGAGTGAAAGCGCGTGATTTTTATCAAATTTTCTCAAATATGGATTAGGATATTTAACTTATGTTAACAACTTGATAATGATACTAACAAAATTTGTTCAAAAGTCTTGCCCGCAATGGAGAGAATGGACTGAATGGTCTGTATGTGATAGACGATGTGGTGGAGGCTCAAGAGAAAGAAGAAGAACTTGTGCTAATGGCAAACCTGGTGAAGTTGGTTGTGAAGGCAGAGTTATGCAAAGTGAAATTTGTAACGTTGAGGTAAGAAGGCTGAGTCGAAGCATCTCTAATACAATATATATAAAAAATCCATGTCATAAAATCCAAATGAAAGATATCCCTCCATAAATAAGTGCTACCAACTTCAGATTTGCAATTTGTATAGTCGTTGGGTATTTCAAAGGAATATCAATAAAGCATATTACAAATTTATCACTTCAAATATTTTCGTTTTTTCCAATAGCCATGTCCTGGATGGACCGAATGGGAATCTTGGTCTGGATGCAGTGTACGATGTGGAGGCGGCATCAGAACAAGAGTACGAGTATGCGCCGGAGACGCTGACTACTGTCTTGGACCAGACACTATTGAACAATCATGCAACCCAAGGGTAAGAATTTTTTCTTTGTCTATCGAATAATCTTGCTCTTGTTATTGCCAGTGTTCAAGTCACATCAATACAAGTCTACTACAATCGTAACGCCATGTATTTTATTCAGCAACAGTGTCATATCGGGGATGAAAATTTAACATAATTTAATCGGCAACTGTAATTAGTGAACTCATATTATTACAAAAGTATTTTTAATGGGTTTTTATGATCAAAACAGTCACGGATAAATTCCGTGCAATGTGTACATCGTTGCCAACTTTGTTTTTCTGAATTTTTTCCCATTTAAAAATTATTTTTTTGGTAATATTTTATCATATTTGTCATATAAAATTTGTATTTTATTTTTTCAATTGTAGATCTGTCCATCTTGGGCATCTTGGCAGTCATGGTCAGAATGTTCTTCATCCTGCGGTGGCGGTATTGCAACACGAACAAGAGTTTGCCTCAACTCTTTACAGGGAGAATTCAACTGTGATGGTGACACCGACGAGATAATACCATGCAATTCTGATGTAAGTTAATAATTGTTATTTCAATAAGTTTGCAATGCCTATCGAAATTGAAAAAATCTTGGAGGGTAGGAAAGTCAGAAAGATGGCTCAATCATAACTGTTATGACAGCAGGCCTTGAGGCTTTGCGTTTTCGTCCAGGTCAGATATGTTATAATTCAAGTAGTCCTCTCAGATATGTAGGCTTAAGATGGTGGAGTAATCGACAAGCAGTTACGTGAACCATTCTGTGTCCATGGGAATCCCATCAATCCGCATGTACACAATCGTCGTCAGTAAATTGAATCTGCAAGCCGATTTGTTGTAGAGCACAAAGAGATATGAAAAAGTAAAACTCATTGTAAAATATTGTATTGAATTGCAATTAACTTTTCAGGCTTGTCCAGGCTGGAGTCTCTGGGAATCATGGAGCGAATGTACTCGCACATGTGGCGGTGGATCTCAAGCCCAAACAAGAGAATGTATTAATGGTCGTGTCGGAGTTGACTGCCGTGGCGCCAGACAGAGAACGCAAGAATGTAATTCTGATGATTGTGCCGTTTGGTTGCAATGGGGAATATGGAGCTCTTGCTCGGCCTCGTGCGGTAAAGGCACAAGAACAAGATCCCGAATTTGTTCACGAATGGACAATGGTGATTTCATGTGCGAAGGCCCTGCTAGCGAGGAAGTCATGTGCATAGAAGGAGTAAGCAAAGAGTTTCATATTTATTTTCTTTATAACTCTCAAATAATAATAGTATAACATAGAAATATCATCCTTTAAGCAATTTTGTGTGTTATTTTTGAAGCTAATTGTTTTGATCTAAAAGCAATACAGATCAATATTCAACTTTTCGATTATCTACGTTTTATGCATCGAACAATAAAGGAATGAGTCACTTTTCTAACTGCTTTATAATTATTTAACGATATATTCCTATTTAATTTCAGAACTGTCCATACTTGACCGAATGGACAAACTGGAGTGACTGTGATGTAACTTGCGGTTCGGGTACCAGGCGACGAGATAGAGTTTGTGTTAATGGAGTCTTGGGCGAACCAGGATGTGATGGACCTGACGCAGATTTTGAAGATTGTGCATTCAATGTAAGTAATGGGACATTTTGTATTCATGGTACTGTTTTTCATTTTTCTTGAAGTTTTAGTAACTCTAGTAACAATATCTTCAAAAAAGATTTTAGGTTTCTAGTACAGATTAAATTTAAAATCGAATCCCCAATCACCATCTTGCTAAGATATGATTGAAAATCTAGCGAATGAATGATAATTAAATTAGAATCAAAATATCCAGCAAGTACGCAATCACTCTCCAGACTTCGCTTTCGGTAGCTTGGCTGCAAGATATTTTTAATTTCATATTCATACTACTCCAACATTTCATGATTTACTGATGCATATGCAACATAATATTTATTCATGTATTTAATTCAGGGCTGCCCAACATGGACCAGTTGGACCCCATGGGGTCTCTGCAGTAATGAATGTGGTGGTGGAGTTAGATCAAGATCAAGAGTATGTATGGCCGATGGTGAAGAAGCACCTGATGGCTGTAGAGGAATTGACACTATGGGAGAACTCTGTAACCAACAGGTTTGCTTTTACTTCATATTGACTGAAAGCTGTAGACAGGCGTCCCAGACTTCCAAAATGCACTACATGAAAATTACAAATTCATGGATAATATGAAGTCTCCGGCTGCTTTTTCAAACATCTTTCTCTGAACAAGGCCTGTATAAATATCCATTGATATAAATTGAGATATATATTGCGTGATATGGGAAAACACGGAGTTTTTTTTAACAACTGTATTATTTTGCTGACGCCAGCTACTCATATGAATTTCTCGACAGTCGACACATTCCCCAAAAAAGCTACAAAATTGTTTCACCAAATTTTTTATATCAATTGCCATCGCAAAAATCAGACTGAGTACATATTGGTACAAAATAAAACTAATTTCACACAAATTCCAATGTTTGAAATGTCAACCAACCTTGTTATTAAATAACTGTATGTCCACAAATAAATTTCCACCTATTTTCCAAATTATGTTTGTTGTCATCTTTTTATCACAAGATTATTCACTTTTATAGCTCTGTCCAAGATGGTCTGAATGGTCTGATTTTGGTACCTGCAGTGCAACATGCGATGGTGGCCAAAGGATACGATACAGAACATGTATTAATGGCTTACCAGGAGTGGGTTGCCCTGGACGTCCTACGTCAACTGAAAGTTGCAGCGAAGATGTAAGATATTATATTTGATTCATATAGTAGAAAATTGAATATGCATGTTAAATATTTGAAGCCAAGTAAATAGAAACAGTTCTCAATCAGATATATAAATCTGGACAATATCTAATAATCAGTATTGTGAATATGCTGTCAATACCAAATTTTGGGAAAATGATTATTTTCAATATGTAGACAATGTGAAAGTTTTGGAAAATGAGGTTAAAGGGGCTGTAATGAGTAATAGTTAAGAACATTTTGACTATTCATATTGGAATAAAAATAGAATATTTATAGAATAATGGAATTCATTTTATGCGTCACTTTCAGCTTTGTCCAACATGGACATCATGGACAGAATGGTCGGCATGCAGTGTGTCTTGTAACGGTGGTATCCATGTCCGAACTAGACAATGTAGTGGTGGAGATCCAGGAGTTTCAGGCTGTCTAGGATCCACAATTCAACAAAGAGCATGTAACCTAAATGTGAGTTTTACATTACAATTTTATATTCTATTTACTGTGTACCAAATACTAACCAATGTATTGGGTTTAACAAATGAGACAGTAGGTACCGGTATTCTAAAACTTCAGCTAAAATCGATGTTTACCAATAATTTATCATACATAATTTATTATAATTCAACTTTATGTTATTTTGATATTCAGGGTTGTCCATTCTGGTCTGTATGGAGTGGATACGGTGCTTGCAACGTTACCTGCGGAGGTGGTGAACGCTCCAGAAGACGCATGTGTATCAATGGTGAACCAGGAAGTGATGGTTGTTTCGGATCATCAACTGATTCAGCTCTCTGTGACTTGCCAGTAAGTGTTTTGTAGCTAACTAATTATTTTAAACTCGTCAAAATATTGACAACAAATAGGATGAAGACCCAAGGAAGTTGCCAAAACTTGAAATGAAGTTTGAACATGCGAAATAAATTGACTGCAATACATTAAAATGGGGCTTTAATCTTGTGAGCATGGTGATAATATACGCCTGTGTCATACACGCAGAAGCAGTGGAAGGGGGTTTGATGTAATGTTTCCTTAAAGTACTTGTGAAAATTTCATTATCATTTAAACATATCTACAGCAATAGTTACAAATTGTCCAATGACTAAAATTTTGTTTATCATAGCCATGTGCCAGCTGGACACCATGGGGACAATATCCAGAATGTCCTGTTACCTGCGGCGGATCACAACGTATCAGAAGAAGAACATGTGTTGGAGGTATTGCAGGTGCTTTTGGATGTGAAGGACCTTCTTCCATGTCTATAGATTGTAATATATTGGTAAGTAAATTTTATGCAATGGATGTAGTATAAGGAAAGCCTCATTTCACCAATGCCAAACACAATGTTTTCTATCTCTTTCGAATTGCACATTTCTTTTACACAATGTTTAAATCTAAAAGTAAAATGAAATATCTTTTCAAATTTCATTTGTTATACTTTTCAGCCATGTCCATCGTGGTCATTATGGGAAAATTGGAGCGAGTGCTCAGCAGACTGTGGAAGTGGACGTCGAACTAGGCAGAGAATTTGTCGGAATGGTGCTGTAGGAGATCGTGGTTGCACTGAGGGTGGATTAGTTGATTATCAAACTTGTAATGAAGATGTGAGTAATTTACAGGTTAGGTTCTAGACCAGGAGTGAACAAGGTTTTTGAACCCTGTAAGTGTGACAAAAAAAATAAACATTTTATGAACAATATTCACAGTGTACAAAAACGAAAGTGGAAAACAATAAGCCTCGCGCTAAAAAAAAATTTAATTGCAATCTCAACAAATTCCTTGAGCTATTTTTTAGTCGAAACATCAAAATTTGGTTTTACTTTGTTTGTGGCCACATCGGGCGGGCCAGGTTGAATTACTCAACAGGCCGGTCATAATAGTATAGTAAATATTCTTGATAGTTGACTTTTAAACATGAATAATATGATAAATATAAGGTTTCCATGTTGAATCATTTCATAATACTTTTACTTTATTTTATTCAGCGCCCTTGCCCAAGTTGGTCAACATGGGGAAGTTGGAGTTTCTGTAGTGCCAGCTGTGGACAGGGTTCCAGATCAAGAGAACGTATATGTCTCAACATTCTCGATGAAGATGATTTCACTGAATCTTATTGTCCAGGAAGTCCTATTGATATGGCAACATGTGTTGAAGGGGTAGGTTCAATTTAATTTTTTTAATCAGATTCATCTTTTGACTGGAGCAGGCTAGCTTGTAATTTCATGTGATTTCTCAGGCTACATACTCAACTTTAATATAAAAAAAACAGTAGTTTATCTGAATATCATTTTAGCTGTAGTAGCATTAGTCAATTTTTCTTCAGTTTCATCTACCAAGAATTGTTCAGATCGTTTCCCTTAACTATTGATAATAACATCAGTAGAACCATTATATAAATAAATTTTGGATTTTCAGTTTTGCCCGTTCTACGCTGAGTGGGGAACATGGTCTGAGTGTACTCAATCATGTGATGGAGGCACAAGACAAAGATTCAGAAAATGTGTCAACGGTGATGAAGGAGATGATGGATGTTTGGAATCATCTACTGAAACACAGACTTGCAACAATGATGTAAGTGCAGTTTGAAATTGAGTTCGACTCGAATCATGAGTTGATTTCAGTATGTAAAACTGATATGTAAAGTATAACTTTTTCATATAATTTTCAATAAATTGTTATGTTATCATTCATATGATAGCTTGATAATTATATACTAATTTCAATTTCAGGGTTGTCCTATCTGGTCACAATGGACTGAATGGGCTTCATGCACAGTTTCTTGCGGTGGAGGTATCGCACTCAGATCTCGATCGTGTTTGACATTTGACTCTGCTGGAAATGATCTATGTCGAGGATCTGGCACTGATGAACAATATTGCAATGGCGGAGTAAGTTTAAAATTTGTGATGTTGATGATACCAATTTTTTTTAGGTTTTTGCAGTATAATTGCCTTTAATAAGTTTGAATAAATTTGTCCACTATGTGTAATATTTTCCTGAATGATATTAGTATTAACTAATTTAAACATATTCTAATTCAGGCATGCCCATACCTGTCTGCTTGGTCGAGATGGGGTCAATGTAGTGCAAGATGTGGCGGAGGATTCCGAGTTTCAACCAGATTCTGTATCAATGGTGAAGAAGGAGAAGATGGTTGCTTTGGATTGCTGACAAGAGAAGAAGCATGCAATGAACAGGTATGTGTATTAAACTCTCCATGCAGACAGTTTCAACATGAGTTTGGGCAAAATAAATTTCAAAAATCAATTGTATTGAACAACATTCGTATTTAAACTTGACAAATGTATTTATCTATTAGTACGATGCATGGTATGTGATACCGAATATATACAAAATATATCTTATACTTTTTTTCTCAACTTCTAAACAATGAAATAATTTTTTTTGTAGGCCTGCCCCATATGGAATGCCTGGAATGCATGGTCTGAATGTTCTAGCCCATGTGGAGGTGGAGTGCGTAACAGGTTCAGATCTTGTGTTGTTGAAGGCCTCAGTGCTGTATACTGTGATGGTCCATCTGAAGACTCTCAGATTTGTAACAACCAGGTTAGCTATTTTTTTGATATTCCTATTAAAATTTTTGAACGTGTAATTATTCATTGATATTTAATGTTGTAATATGAAATTTCAGGACTGTGTCACTTGGACTTTATGGAGCTCCTGGACAGACTGTGACGTCACATGTGGGAGAGGAAATCGCGTAAGATCACGAACATGTGACAGGGATGCTGATGGTGAATTCCTTTGCCCAGGAGAATTCTATGACTCAAGAAGTTGTATTGAAGGAGTAAGTACTTCAAATTTAATATATTTATGAATTAGATAAGTAGACCAAAAATGAAACAATGTCCTTTATGTTCCAAATCATTGCTGTAGAATAAATATATACTTTTAATGGCACTTTTCTATTTGTTCCGAAATTTATATGCATGTTACTCTTTCTTCTGAAGCTTTGTCCATACTGGGACGAATGGACTAGCTGGACAGACTGCAGTACCACATGTGCTGCAGGCGAAAGAACCAGAATTCGTCGTTGCGTCAACGGTGATGTGGGAGAAGAAGGATGTGAAGGCAGTGATTCAGAATCTGGAGCATGTAACGAAAATGAGGTTTGTTTACATTAAGTTTGGCTTTAATTATTTGTCACTAGGTCACTTTTCGGATACGTATTTTAAAGATACTGTGATCTTCCCAATTTCACTTTTTATTGAACCTATATAATCATTTTAACTTTCTAATCAGCTGTGTCCATTCTGGACTGAATGGAACAATTGGAACAGATGTAGCTTGCCGTGTGGTGGTGGAGTGAGAACACGATCAAGATTCTGTGAAAACGGACTACCTGGTGATATTGGATGCTTCGGAATTTCCAATGAAAGGGAAATGTGTAACAATAGAGTAAGTATATTTTATATATCTCCTTTTTAAAATAAATCGGGATTTTATTCTACTACTCTAAATGAAAGTGTTTCTATTTTTATCTTCAGTAAATGCGTTTTAAAATTATCGGACGACATTTTTGTAAACACAAAACACATGCACAATTCTGACAACAATTTTGATTTTGTAATTTAAACCTTAGTTCAATGTTTAACTCTTAGCTCAAATATGGCCCAATGTAATCATGGATGTTCATGATATAAAATTAAGAATATTTACACACACATAATTTGATAATCAATATGATTTGGCATACACAAAATAAATCTAATTCAACAGATGTGTAATATCTATCCAAAACTATGGTAGATAGCGAGGTAGAGTAAAAGGTGTGAATTACTGGCAGTGTTAAGGGTCATTTACCAATTTATGTTTTATTATATGCTTTTTTATCTTTTACATTTTTCCAAGCACAATATTACTGCATTTAACATGTAGTCTGAATTATAATTTCAACATGCTTATTTCATTTAGGCGTGTCCATTTATGTCTCAATGGGGAGCTTGGAGTCAATGTGATCGTACTTGCGGTGGAGGAAGTTACACAAGGACAAGAGTGTGTGTCAACGAAGGTGACGACACACTTTCATGTGAAGGAACCACAACGCAAACTGCAGACTGTAACTCAATGGTAAATATATATCTTTCATTTTTGTTAGGCACAAAGTGGACCTATGGATAGTTTTGCTAAATAAACCTTGTTTATTTTGTTGTTGTTGTTGCCATGATTATTGTGGCTGGAAAAACTGGGAATTTCAAATTTTCAGTACTTAAAGATGGAAGAAGGAGCTAGAAGGCTTTCTAGAATATCATTTCATATTTTAATTTGTTTTTCTGCGATTTTAGCAATGTCCAATCTGGGAAGAATGGTCAGCATGGTCAACATGCAGCAGATCGTGTGGAGGTGGACGAACACAGAGGTTCAGGACATGCAGTTTTGGTCTTCCTGGTGATGCTGGATGCGACGGTGACTACTACGAAATACAAAATTGCAACATTGATGTGAGTTTATATTCCATTTCTTTTTTATCATAGATCCACATAGTATCTCTTTATTATTTTTTTTTCTGTATGTTTTACAATCTGTCATTGTATATTAGAAAATTTAGGTAATTAAGAAATTGAGTAGCAACTACTCCAGCTTGCACATCATTTAGTTATACATTTTGTATTATATTATAATATTTTTTTACTACAGCAATGCGCACACTGGGCAACATGGACCTTATGGAGCAGATGCAGTGTATCTTGTGGTGTAGGCACATACACTAGAGAAAGAATTTGCTTGAATGAAGATGTTGATCAGGGACGAACATGCCCTGGAGACAGTCAAGAAACTGATGCTTGCACCGCTGGAGTGAGTATTGATATTTGTTTGATACATTGTCACAAAGCAAAGTAGCTTCAGTTGCTTTTTAGTTTGTTCTCTGTTCACTCATAACATTGTTAATATATTTCTCTTGTTTGAGGGTAAGAATATTTATTTATTTTTTTATTTTCTGTGGCAGGATTGTCCATTCTGGTCCAATTGGTCTGACTGGTCAGATTGTAATGCACCATGCAATGGTGGACTTCGCAAGAGAAATAGGAACTGTGTGAATGGGTATGTTGGACAAGGTGGTTGTGTTGGACGAAGAGAGCAATCTGAAGTCTGCAATGACGAGGTAATTATTTTAAGAAAAAAGTTTATGAATAGCTTGAATTCTATTTTTTAATATCTAAATGCTATATTTCATTTGAATTAAAAATATATTACTCAAAACGGCCACATCTGCCTTAAGTTTGTGCATTTGTCTGAAAATCCTATGGTAAATGATAATTCTACTATGCAATTAAACATATTGAATTATTATCTTATTTACATTTTAAACAGTTTATATTGTAAATTTTTTGCAGGCATGTCCATCATGGAGTGGGTGGTCATCATGGGGAAGTTGTTCTGAACCATGTGGATTAGGAATAACTATGCGCACACGTACCTGTAGTGGACCATTTGGCTGTTCTGGCGACACCTCCGAAGAAATGGAATGCTTCATCAGGGTATGATGTTACTCACATTTCGCATGTAAATTTTATATGATATATGAGTGTAAATTGATGTTTTTGCAATAATTGAAATATTGAAGCTTATTTATGATTTAACAGGAATAAGTCATTCATGTACAACTATATCAGATCACATAGACAACTATTTTAATTGCAGTTTTGCATAAATTGCTGTTATATCCAACTTGATATTTTGTTTTCTGTTTTTCAGGCATGTGCTTCATGGTCATCATGGGGCAGATGGTCAAGATGTTCAGAACGATGTGATGGAGGAATTTCAACAAGATCTAGAATATGCTTCAACTCTGGTGGTGACACATCAGCTTGTGGTTCAGAAAGTGCTACTCAACAACAACCTTGCAATAGCTTGGTTAGTGGTTTTTAGAATATAAATATGTCAGTGTTAAAGGAAATATGACTCATGCCTGAAAGTTTAATGCCAATTATTAAATTTAGAAGTAGAATCATTGCCTATTGGCTATTCAATCACTTTCGGTTAGCTTTTTGACTTTGTAATAATGATACATGCACTTGGATGCTTGGAAAGAGATGAGATGAAGTGCCCGGATAAGCTAATCATGAGCCGTTCATGTTTGAAAAACTAGACCAAATTATTCCAGAAATAATTTCATTATAAATATTTTCACAATAAATGTATAATATTCACTCTTATATCATAGCCATGTGCAAGATGGTCAGATTGGTCTGAATGGTCAGACTGTGATGCTCAATGTGATGGAGGATCACAAACCAGATCACGAACTTGTATTGGTGGCACTGTCGGTGATATTGGATGTCGTGGACGAAGAAGACAGAGCAGAGGATGCAATGAAGGCGTAAGTATAAGTGCATTTTTTCTAAAATTTGAAATGTTACTGTTGAGTAAATTATCAAATAAAAAATAGCAGGACAGGCTTAAGTTCGATGTGTACTGAATCCGATATTGGGAATCGTGTTAAGTTATGTTTCCTTAATCTAATTTTTTTTCAGGAATGTACTCACTGGTCTGCATGGAATTCTTGGTCAATCTGTGATGTAGAATGTGGACGAGGAACTAGATCAAGATCCAGAACTTGCATTGAAGGAGTTTTTGGTATATGTGAAGGTGAAGCAGACGTGACAGAGTCTTGCTTTGTTGGTGTAAGTAAATATTTATAACCTGGTCTGTTTTAAGTGGTGAGATAACTAACTAAATCAATAGGCTTCTTTATGTAGAATGACACAGATACAGAAATTCTTGTGTATTTTAATTTCTGTAGTATGTGTGACATATTTGTTTATGAAAATATATGGTTGACACACAATATCATTATTACACTATGTTCTTTGTGCTCATTGTGTGGTTGAAATTTGGGAGTTGAGTATCGTATGTATCATCCCATGCTATTGGACTCCGATAAGTTGAATTTATAAATATTATCAATACTTTAGCAATGTGCTTCTTGGAACGATTGGGCACCATGGACTTCTTGTTCTGCATCATGTGGCAGTGGATCTAGAACTCGTAGACGAGGTTGCATGAACGGAATTGCTGGCGAGGAAGGATGTGAAGGCGCTGACTCAATGTCTGCATCTTGCAACAATCAAGTTAGAATTGTTTGTATTTTGAAATTTAGACAATAAGCTATCAAGGCTGATTGATTCTAAACAGCCCTATGCTTTCTAGTTTGCTGATAAGTCATCAAAAAGATCAATGTTAAAATAATTGTCTTCACTACAGGCAGCCATGGTTCATGGTTCAAATTTTATCAGCGGTGTTCAGTTTTCTATAAGGCGTCTTTAAATATTAAGTTTTAACAATGCTCTGTATCAGGTACTGATATCAAGTAGCTACTATTTCTGAAACTTATTGGGCGAGGAAATGTAGATGGGGTTCGAACCCAAAATCTGCGAAGCCATTATTTAAAATTGATTGCCAGTATACTGGTAACAAGTTTTTTTTATACATCGTAGCCTTGTCCAGCTTGGTCATCATGGTCCAACTATACTGAATGTTCTGAACCATGTGGTGGTGGACTGAGACGACGATCTAGAACATGTATATCCGGAGAGATTGGTGACTTTGGATGTCAAGGAGCTGCAGTTCAACAGAACTTCTGCAACGGGAGAGCATGTCCGTTCTTCTCAAGCTGGGGAGCATGGAGATCGTGCAGTGTGTCATGCGGTGGGGGATACCGTGTAAGAGAAAGAATATGCATTAATGGATTCCAGGGACAAATTGGGTGTGATGATCTGCTCTTCCAACAAGAAGATTGCAATATGCAGGTAATGGTAGTAACTTGCTATCATCGTTAAGGACTGCAGTTTTTAATATGTAACTATTGTACATGCATCCTATTAACAGGCTTGCAACGTGGATATATTCACAATTACTTTATATTTATCAGCATCAATAATTTACTGCTGGAACATTGTTTGCTAAATATTTGAAAGGAATGAGATGACACTAATTGTGGTTAATATGAGAATTATCACTTATAGACCTTTTATAACAACATTTTTCTTATAATTCAGAGTTGTCCTGCATGGGGAAGTTGGACAGATTGGGGAGTTTGCTCTGCTGATTGTGATGGCGGATTTGAAACAAGAACTCGTATCTGTATTGGTGGATATGCTGGCCAAGATGGATGTAACGAGGGAACAACTAGACAACAAAGACCCTGTAATTCTCAGGTATGTTTTGCCACATAAGCCACATAAAGGCTGTAGGACATTTTAGTTAGATGATAACAGTCATTTTATTATGATAAAATTTTGTGGAAAACATATTTGAATATAAGGGACAGAGATGTTTGTATGTGGAATAAGGTGTCTCAAAATATTTCGTAAAAGTTCACTCATAACCATCATGAAAGTTGTGTCTTCTCTTCTGTATTGGCCCCTGTGAGAGTCATAAATCAATGGTGACAAACTTATTTTATCTATTTTTTTTTTCTCTTTAACTAGGCATGTGCCTTCTGGCAAGACTGGGTATCTTGGTCAAGATGTAGTGTAGATTGTGGAGTCGGTCAAAGAACAAGATCAAGAGTTTGTTTCGGTGGCGAACCAGGTTCTAGAGGTTGTATTGGATCTGCTACTGCGACTGAAGAATGTACTCGTGGAGTAAGTAAAAATATTTACTGTATTGAAAATCGATGAATTTGTCTAAAATAAGGAAATAGTAACTCCATCTGTTTGACATGGCATATCAAATATATTAGTTTTTATGCTGTTATAAACATCTGTCTCAAACATGACTGTAACCAAGCAAACACTGGTATAAAGAGTCTGTTTTGGAAGGAACCATCTCATTAAGGTATTAGTCATGGGAATGGAGCCCATGATCTCGAACCTTGTTAAAGTAGTTAAACCCAAACACCAGAACACGAATGACCATGAATATCATAGTTTGTTGCAATATCGAAGTATTCGACTGTTAAGTCGAGTCAATCATTTATGTCCAATTTTTACGTGTGAATCAAATATATAATCTTTGTCAATTATATGATATTCTAACTTTTTGCATTATCAGCAATGTGCCTTCTGGGCTGAATGGAGCAACTTTGGTGACTGCAGTGTATCCTGCGGTGGAGGAGTTCAATATCGCAGCAGAAGATGCATCAACGGAGCTGCTGGTGGACCTGGATGTCTGGGATCATCAAGTGAAATAATTGAATGTGCAGATGTGGTAAGAACTCCTTCATTTCGCTACTCACCGTATGTCTATGAAATCAAGTCTGTTCTACAATAACTGTTGATTTTAATATTGAATTGAATAAAACATCAACTTTGGGACACATTTTCAACTGGCTTCTCCATCAACAAATTTAAATTTAAACTCTTCTATTTTTATTCTGTTCTACTTTCAATTTCTCATAATGTTTTATAATCTCAGGACTGTCCAACATGGAGCAGGTGGTCAGACTGGACATCGTGTAGTGTATCTTGTGCAGGAGGGTTAAGATCAAGAACAAGAACTTGCACAGGAGCAGATGGACCAGAAGCATGTAATGGAGAATTCAGAGAAGAAGAATTTTGCAATGGAAACGTAAACAATATTGAATTGAATTAATACTGATTTAGATATTCTTTTTAACGTTCCCTCAATCTATTTATTTTATTATTACACAGAGATGTCCAGAATGGTCTAATTGGAGTATATGGGCAAAATGCTCTGCAACTTGTGATGGTGGAGTCACCTCCAGAACACGTATTTGCGTCGGAGGAAGCGTTGGTGACTTGGGTTGTATCGGAGATACTATGGAAACTGACTCATGTAATAATGATGTAAGTTGAATTTCATAACAAAACTACTATGAACATTGTAATATAAGCAAATTCCAAGTAAATATTGAAAGAATTGTTCATAGATCTACTCCCTGTCTCCAACAAATTTCAAGTTGATATAAAAGAAGAATGTACTTTCTTCAAATGAAATCTTGTTTTTCAAGCTTCATCTGGCACAGATATTGTAATAATTTTTTTTTCACAGGACTGTCCTGTCTTCTCATTCTGGTCAACATGGACCACCTGTAGCACCTCATGTGGTCGCGGAACACGTACTCACACAAGAGTGTGCCTCAACGGATTGGCAGGAAGTTTGGGCTGCGATGGACCACTCTCTGAATCCGAATTGTGTAATCCACAGGTACAGTATTGCACCAGTTTATTCTTAATGTTTATGATAATATAATATTGCACTTGATTTGCATTTGATTTAGGTGTCGCTGACACGTTAACTTTATAGTTTTTTGCAGCTCCTCGTCTATTGCAGTCAAATTATTGTACGTCCGTTATTTTTTTCTCTCAATTGATTTATTTTTACAGTTTATTTGTACAATTTTACATGCACGACGGAAATATATATCTGAATCTGAATTCACAGGTCTCATGTAACTGGCATAAAATTTAAAGCTGCTGTCAATATTACGGTCCAATATGCATTTTACAATATGCATCAGAATGAAGATTAACATCATATATCCATCCCTACTCCAAGTCAATTGAGTGGAATTGCTTTGTGTGTATGCGACATTTCAAATTTTTCAATCCGAATTTACGTGAATAACACAGCAAATTTCAAACATCTGATATACTTTTAATACTATTTGTAGTTGGGAATATGTTGATTTCTGTAGTCATGAACACAAAACTTGAATTCAAAAATAGCCAAATTAGACCTATTTCATTATAAAAATTTCATTTTGGTAATGAGTGAATTTATAAATTCCAGGATTGTCCTTCTTGGGCCGATTGGGCTTCTTGGTCATCATGCAGTACAACATGTGGAGCAGGAGATCGAACAAGATTCAGAACTTGTGTTCAAGCAACCTCTGATGGCTCTGAAGTTATTTTATCTGACGATTGTGCAGGTTCAGAATCACAAGTGGAACTTTGCATAGAGGGAGTAAGTATTGTACAGATCTCAACTGATTATACTGCGATATCCTAGAATCTAGATGTTTAAATTTGATATTATATCATTAGTAATTACATCCTATATTTTCATGACGTAACCTACAATTTTGCAACAAACAGAGTTGTCCATACTGGATGGAATGGTCATCCTGGTCAGGATGCTCAGTAACCTGTGGAGAGAATGGTAGAAGAACACGTACAAGATTCTGTGTTGGAGGAGATGAAACTAACGATGGATGTGATGGACCATCAACTGATTCAGAATCTTGTAATGAACTTGTAAGTACAGATCATGCAATTCAGTACATGTTAATTGGTCTCATTTTGCTGAAAAGCACGAAACTGCAATTTATCATCGAAGTTCAATTTTAGAAAGGTTGTTCGACCTTTAGCATGATAAATTTATTGCATTAAAGCATTTAAAGACTTCTCAATGTAATTATCTGTTTTTGTAGTGATAAAAATTTATTAAATTCATTTTTATTATCATGTTAATATCATGTTCAATTTCATTTCAGGATTGTCCGTTCTGGTCTGAATGGACTGCATTTACTGAATGTGACGTCACATGTGGTGGAGGAAAGAGAAGTCACACTCGTATATGTTTGAACGGCAAAGCAGGAGATGTTGGTTGTGTTGGACCCACATTTGAAGAATCATTCTGCAATGGACAGGTTGGTCATCATTTTGTTTCACTGTACCGTATAACCTAATTGGCCGTATTATACTGTATAGTTTATACTGAATTTACCATATTTACCAATGATTTTCCATTATTTTGTATTTTGTTTTATGATAATTTCATCAAAACTATATGAAATATTTCAGGCTTGTCCCTTCTGGAGCAAATGGTCGGCTTATGGAGAATGCTCGCAATCGTGTGGAGGTGGTGAACACACAAGACAGAGAACTTGTATTGGTGGCGAAATCGGAGACGCTGGCTGCCAGGGTCTAAATATATTTACAGATGCTTGCAGTGTGAGACCTTGCCCAATATGGACAGACTGGACCTTATGGACAGAGTGCAGCAAGACCTGTGGATCTGGAGTCAGATATAGATCAAGATCATGTGAATTTGGAAGAGCTTATGAAGATGGATGTCAAGGATCTATGGATGAGAGCGAAGCATGTAGTGTGCAGGTGAGAAATTACATTATTTGTTAAGCCAAATGCGAACTTATAGCTAAGTGATAAATTTTTCATATTTATTTTGGGAAGAGGAAAGCTTATAAAGTAATGTTATGGTTAACCATGTAACTCAAACAAGTTATTAAAATTGATTTCAATCTCAGCGAGAAAAATAAATGATTCCGATCAAGGTATAATATGTGAAAAATAATCCCCTTCATCATTAATGATGTGTTTCACTGATTTTGAATTCTCCTACTTTCAGGCTTGTCCTATATGGTCTGCTTGGTCAGAATTTGAACCATGCAATGTTGGATGTGGTCGCGGATCGATGACAAGAACAAGGACATGTATCGGTGGATCGGTTGGTGAACTTGGATGTCTTGGACCTGCTTCTGATACAGAAGATTGCATTGCTGGTGTAAGTTTATATGTATTTTGTAGTGGTCACAAACTTCAGCCTTGACAAGTAACAGATGTCTTTCTTATAAACATCTTTAAAAAATACATCAAAAACTAGGAATTTTAATGCTCATTTCTTTGAAATTATCTGATCTAGTTATCTGAAAGATTATTTCATAAGTAAGCGTTGACTAATATTTTATGAGGAAATAAAAGTCTTTCTACTGCCACTTTCTTTTATTGTTAGAAAACAATCAAGTTTGAGTTGTATAATTTTGTTACATTCAATCTATTTGTATATATCAATCTGATATTCAAAATATTTTTTATCTCAGGCATGTGCATTCTGGTCCGAATGGGGAATATTCAGTTCTTGTTCTGTATCATGTGGTGGAGGAACCAGACAACAGACCAGAAGATGTGTTAATGGTAAAATTGGTGATACTGGCTGCGAAGGAAGAGATAGCAGAGTATCGGAATGTAATGATAGGGTAAGAAAAAGAAATACATTGTAATAGCATTGAGTAAATTACTGAAGAATTGATGTAACAAGCAAAAATATTTTAGAAGGAACAACAGAAAAAAACATTTGCAAACTATAGTTACCGTAGCTAATGATCACAAATATGATCAATTTCGTGTTTTACAAGCTATTTTATATCATTTCGTTTTATAGATCTGTCCTACATGGGCTGAATGGGGCGATTGGTCAATTTGCTCTGAATTTTGTAACGGTGGAAATCAAATTCGAAGACGAGTTTGTAACAATGGTGAAATAGGACAATTGGGCTGCGATGGACCTGACATACAAGAAAGATATTGCAATGGCAATGTAAGAACTTTGAATACAAAATGTTTTTCCAGATTTAGCGAATATCATTAACTTTAGATTACAGTCCATAATATTTTCTAAATACAATGTCCCTTTGTAAGTATAGAAAAAAGGCAGTATCTTGAACATTTCTAAATTATTTGATATGATACCCCAATTTACAAGCCATTTTCAATTTGTATTTTGCTTAATTTTTTTATAGCCTTGCGCGTATTGGTCAGAATTTGGATATTGGTCAGCTTGTTCAATATCATGCGGTGGAGGTGTAAGAACACAAAACAGAATCTGTATCAATGGAGTAGAAGGCGATCCTGGATGCGAGGGAGAACCTATTAATTTGGAAGGATGTAATCCTCAGGTAATAAAGAAATAAGATATTTTGAAACTGTTCATACCAAAAAGAAAGAAAATATTTGTCATCATTACCTTTAATAGATAAAAAAATTATACATTGTTTATGACTATTCTACCGAATTGTAACGAATTCTTGTTTTATTATAAAGTTTTTTTCATAAATTATTCATGAAAATTATGTTTAAATTTTTGTTATAAAAAGGGTCATATTTAGCTGTCACTAATTCATATTCTATAGTATGAAACTGAATATTGATCTATATAAGAAAATATACTTTGAAGCTTTTAATCATTGATGTTCATCTGTTACATCAGATACATTCGCTCTCTGTGTCACAAATCAGGCGATTGGTGCCTCCTTTATCGATATGTCTATATTCGTTTTGGGTTAACCATTGTGTGCATTGTTTTATTCAAAATTGATAAATATTAATACAATTATTTTTTTTTTTTTGCAGCTCTGTCCAGAATTCGAACAATGGGGAACATGGGGTGAATGTTCAGCACCATGTAATGGAGGAGTTCGATCAAGAACCCGTGGATGTGTCAATGGTAATATTGGCGACGAAGGTTGTGATGGCCGAACCGAAGACATGGAAGCTTGCAGTGTCCAGGTAGTTTAAATATTCATCTCTCAATAAAACAGGTTGGCTATCACTGAATTATAACTCATGATAATGTACTTTAAATAATTTTTGCTAGGAATGTCCAAGCTGGACTCGCTGGTCAACCTGGGGAACTTGTAGCGTCACTTGTGCTACCGGTACAAGAATGAGGACCAGAATATGTAACAATGGTGAACCAGGTGATCCAGGATGTCCGGGCCCCAATGCTGAAGAAGACGTTTGCGTTGAGAAGGTATGTATTTCTCAAAAAAAAATTAACTCAAACCATACGATACGTTTATATATGAAGATGTTATAGTAAACAATATTGTGTGCAAAATTGTGAATATCTTTTCTCTCTTTTTTAGTTCTGCCCATTCTGGGGAGTATGGACCAAGTGGAGTTCGTGTAGCGTTTCTTGTTTCAATGGTTTTGATACAGGTCTTAGAATTAGATTCAGAGATTGTATCCATGGAAGACAAGGAGATATTGGTTGCGTTGGACCAGTTGAAGAACAAGAAGAATGCTCAGACTTAGAGGTTTGTTTGATTTTTTAAACATGATAGACAATTCAAGCATCACTCTTAGTTACTTTGACTCAATTGCAAACTGAGCGTGTATCATGGTTCAAATCATTTCATATATTACTCATTATGCAATTGATTGAAGAAATAAAGAATACTATTAGTTGGTTGCTGTACATAAGGGTTATATTTAATAGCTTTATTTTATCCTTTATCGCAATGATTTGTCTACCCTCATGAAAGCATAATTCACCGCTTTCAAAATATGAATTCTGGTTTTTATTCAGGATAAATAATGTATAAAAATTGAGACTATTTGGGAATACTTAATTACAGAAACTCATTCTTTATCGAGTCATTAGCTATCAATTCTGCATTATTTACATTAAACATATGATTTTGTTTTAAACAGACCTGCCCAGATATTTCTGATTGGGGACCATGGGGACAATGCTCTAAGTCTTGTGGTGTTGGAAAACAATCACGATTCAGAGAATGTCTTAGACAACTCAGTGAAGATGTTTGCGAATACGCTGTCTTCAAAGAGAAAGCCTGCAATCTACAGGTACGTGAAAAAAAGTATATACTGGAATTTTTATTAGGATCAACTTATTCTTAATAATACCTAATTTAAATGATAAAACTCTACTTTTGTACAGTCCTGTCCTTACTGGAGTGAATGGGGTGGTTATGGTGCGTGCAGTGAACCATGTGATGGCGGAGCTCAAAAACGAATCCGAGTTTGTATCAATGGAGAAGTTGGCCAAGATGGATGTACTGGAGTATCAGAACAATCTATTGCCTGCAACCTCAATGTGAGTAACAAATTGAGTACTTTTGAAAATCCTTCATCTGTGGAATTGAATTTTGTAGTTAGCTTATTGTAGTCAGTTATCTTGGTGTAGCAAGTCACTCTCAGATTGAAACACCGTATGAATCATGGTAGGCTGTATTGAGTGAGTAGCTATGTCGAATTGGACATAGTTCAGAAACATATATAAAAAACTTGTAGGTGGTATATACAGCAGTATATACATGTCTAGATCCTCGTTGGAGTTAGGGTGTGAGAAATTTTGTCAAAACAATCTATATGTACCTGCACTGTGCATGTATTGCCTTTTGATTTTCAAAATTTTGACTTGAAAATTTTATTTATCATATTTCAGTCTTGCCGTAACTGGGCTGCCTGGGGACCATGGGGCACATGCAGTGTGTCGTGTGATGTTGGAACTCACACACGAGCAAGAAGATGCCAAGGAGGTGAAGCTGGATCTCCAGGCTGTGAAGGATCAGCAACAGATTCTGGAATATGTGGCAGTGAGGTATGTAATTTGAGTTCGCTATAAATAGCAAATAAATAAAATAAAAAAAAGCATTCTTAGATAAGCATTACTAACCTCAAAATTCACCTACCGGTAATTGCTTTTTTCAGGATAATGCCTGTCCATTCTGGGAACTCTGGTCATCGTGGAGTTCTTGCAGTGTTTCATGTGGTGGAGGAAGACAATCAAGATCAAGAAATTGTGTCAATGGATATAGAGGTGTTCCAGGATGTGAGGGACCAGATAGTCAAACACTAGCCTGCAATCAAGAGGTTGGTGAAATTGGAATCTAGTTTTGTTTGGAGTATCTGCTATTGAAACATTTTTTTGATCGCCGGTAACTCTCCGTCGACCTGCCCAACTTATTAGGATTACTGTATAATAAGAAATTTTTGAAATGCTAATTTTTCATGAGTAAATTAGGATGAAGTGTGCTTGCTTTGAGATATAGATCATTTTATGAGTTATTTTTTTGTAATAGGTGTGCGGGTCATGGGCATCATGGCTGGAATGGGAAACTTGCACTGTTAGCTGTGGAGGAGGAGTTCAAGTTAGAGACAGAATATGTATCGGAGGTGTGCCTGGCGACAGAGGATGTACTGGCCCACAACAAGAAACAGAGCGTTGCAATGGCAATGTAAGTAGAATTATTAGTTTTTTTGTCTTCTGGCTGGGGCTGTATAAGCAGAACTTCCAGAAACGTTTGACTGTGACCCTGGTCGAGGTGATAACCCTGATATGACAAAATTTCAATACTGCAATAAATCGCAAAACTTAAATGCTGCACTGTCATCCTTCACAGAATGTAAATTATTTTATCACTGAAATCAATGTAATAATTCGAAATATTATGCAATATACAAAAAGTAGTTGCAGTTATTCTGATCTTGAAGTTTTATTCAAACATACTTGCACTCATTTTATGGAATGCTAAATCATAGTCTCAATGCATGCAAAAAACAAATACTAGATTGACATATTTGATCCAAAACGTATACACATTTTTGAATTTAGGTTTGTGAATCATGGGAAGTCTGGGGTCCTTGGAGTGAATGTAGTGACTCATGCGGCGGCGGTGAATACACCAGAAGCAGGGTATGTGTAAATGGCAAACCTGGCGATCCTGGATGCCCTGGTGACGATGAGCAATTCGATGTTTGTAATTTGGAACCATGTGGAACATGGGGATCTTGGCTCGAATGGGCCGTTTGCACAGTAAGTTGTGGAGGTGGAACCAGAACTCGAGGAAGAATATGTGTTGGTGGATTACCAGGTCAGGGGGGATGCATTGGTGGACCGCAAGAAATAGGACCGTGTAACGGAAATGTAAGTAGACTGGATGTTTCTGAAATTGAAAATTGATTTACTGTATGTTTATAAATGAATTGAATTTTATACGAGGCAGCTATAATTGAAATGGATGTGACAAAAATGCAATTAAAATCGAGTCAAGCAAACAGATGTGACAAACAATTATGGCGGATTAAATAAATGTAAATATTTTCGACCTCCAACTAATTAGTTTTGAACAATTATTTTTGTTTTAGGTTTGTGAGAGATGGTCACTCTGGTCTCAATGGTCTTCATGTGACTTATCATGCGGATCTGGTCTTCAAACTAGAAACAGAGAATGTATTGGTGGCAGTGTAGGAGATCCAGGATGCCCAGGAGAAGCATTCGATAATATTATATGCAACGCTCAGGTACACAATTATCACATCTCAGCAAATGCTAAACTATATATAAATGCACTGAAAAAATACGATGAATTTAAAATGGGGGCAAGAATTCGAGTTGATAACAAATTGTAAACCTGTATATAACTAAGCTTACATTCCATAGGAATTACCTTATAATTATTTATCATCAATATAGCCTTGTCCGAGATGGGGAGCCTGGATGACATGGAGCTCATGTACGGTAACTTGCGGCCTTGGTACAAGAATAAGAGACAGACTATGTGTTGGTGGTGAACCAGGTATGCTCGGATGTGAAGGAGAACTAGTAGAAGAAGCACCATGCAATGGAGAGGTGAATATGTTTTTCTTGACTCATTACAAAACATAAAACTGTGATTTGTTCTAACAGAGTGATATTTAACTGAAGATTTATTTTGTGCATTTAATCAATATTCTGTTGTTATTTATTGCTGCAGAACTGTGAAAGTTGGGCCAATTGGGGGCCATGGTCTGAGTGTGATGCGTCATGTGGTGGAGGAATACATGAACGTGTCCGTGAATGTGTCAATGGAGAACCTGGCGATCCTGGTTGCCAAGGAGACAATTTTGAAACCAATATTTGTAGCACACAGGTGAGTTTTGACTTTGCAAACAGATATTTTATTAACATTGAGAAAAAATATTTTGTATCAATATGATTTTCGTATTTGAATGTAAATTTAATTTTAAAATTATTAGGAATGTGGAACATGGGCATCATGGCTTGAATGGGGAACATGTACTGTGACTTGTGGTGGAGGAATAGCTACAAGAAACAGAATATGTATTGGTGGAGTACCAGGTGACTTTGGTTGTCAAGGTCCTCTAGAAGAATCACAGGATTGTAATGGAGATGTGAGTATTTTCACATTTTACAAAACTTTTCACCATGAAACATGACTAACGATAAACTCAAACATTGGATATTGTTCTATTTCCTGATATAAAAATATTCAAACCTGCATTCTGCATAATTACATGTCACCATTTATTTCTTCATATTGATTTGTACATTTTTATCTCTTCAGGCATGTGAATTCTGGGCCATATGGGGACCATGGGGTGAATGTGATAGGACTTGTGGAGGAGGATCATCACTCAGATTCCGAGAATGTATCAACGGCAAAGTGGGAGATGTCGGTTGTCAAGGAGATGTGTCACAATTACGACCATGCAATTCACTGGTACGTCATTTTAAAATATATCATCACAAAATGCATAATATATTTTGATTGGAAAAAATTTTTTTGAGTAACTACTCTACATCTAACAATACACTTAAAAATCTAACATGAATCCATGAGTAGTCTACTAAGCTTGCCAAAACTAGCATAGTCCACCCCATTTAATGTACTTCAGGTCTGAGGTAATGGACACAGGCTTGAAACCAAGATAATGTTATAATTAACATTAATTTATGTTATTGAGATCAGATTTTGGCCAAGATTTGAAAAAACTTAATATATTTCATTTTACCAAGCATTCATTCCTGTAATTCTGTTCACTGGGCATCACAAAAAATTGTGACCTTTTTATTTCATTTATTGAATTCTGATACAAATTGACACCTTGTATAAATGCATATAAACGAAACTTTGTTTCAATACAACGTAATAAAACTTGCATTAATCCTTAGATATGTCCTGAATGGGCTTCATGGCTTGAATGGGGTAATTGTGATGTCACTTGTGGATCTGGAATACAATCAAGAAATCGAGTCTGTATCGGTGGTGTACCTGGAGACATTGGATGTGACCTTGGAGGTGATGATGAAATAAGAGATTGCAGTGGAAATGTAAGTTCTATACAATATTGTATATAGCATGAAAGGGTAAAATCTAAATTATTAAATTTCCCTCAATCAACGAAATCCAGGGTACACTACTGTTTGTAACAACATTGTTTTATTCATTTCGCCAACTATATCAATGCTACTATAAAATTATCAACGATTATTATTAAAACTTTTTAGGGAGTTATTAAATCTTTGTAATGATACATTCTCATTTTAAAGGATTGCGATTTCTGGGCAATTTGGGGACCATGGTCAGTCTGCGACCAACCATGTGGTACTGGACTCACAACAAGAACTCGAGAATGTATCAACGGTATACCAGGAGAAGGCGAATGTCAGGGATCTCCAAGTGATTTCAATGTTTGCAATTCACTTGTAAGTAGATTTTTATCAGTTTCAATGTAATGCCAAAATATGATTTACCCTATATTGAATCATTCATAATTATGTTAATTTTTTTTTCAATAAAATGCAGCCGTGTGCTGAATGGGCTACATGGTTAGAATGGGAAACTTGTACAGTATCGTGTGGACGTGGTACTAGAACTAGAAACAGGATTTGTATTGGTGGAGAACCAGGAACACAAGGATGTGTGGGACCTCCAGTTGATACAGAAGATTGCAATGCGCAGGTAAATTTGTTATTTTCATTACTGTCTCATTGAATTCGCTTTAAAAACAACTGTTCAAAATTAAATCTTGTCAGATATACTGAAAAAAAAACATCTTAACTAAATATATATATTTGTTTCAGGATTGTGAATTCTGGGCAATCTGGGGATCATGGGGTGAATGTGATACAACTTGTGGAGGAGGAATAAGACTTCGTTTCCGTGAATGTATCAATGGTAATGCTGGCGATGATGGATGTGTTGGTGAAGTTTTCAAACAAGAAGTTTGCTCTACAAATGTAAGTACTCATTACGCTAGACAATACAACATTTTTTATGTTGCTCGAAGTTAGACCTGGCTAAGTTTTTGGGTGAAGGTTTCAAAAAATAATAATTCATTCAGGTTGTAGTATTTCCTCATTAAGATATTTATGCCTTCTTATGTCAGAAAATAATCACAGTTGTATTAAAGTGTAATAAATCTTTAAATAAAATGGTTTTCTGTTGCTTTTCTCATAGATGATTTACTTCTTTCACTCATTTCTCCCTATACTTCTTAGTGAGTAAGAGGGATCTTTTTTTTATTTCAAATTTTCATAGAAAAAACATTAGTTTTATTACATGTAAGATGTGATGATGTTCATGCATATTAACATTCATGCGTTAACAAATAACACACCCTGAATATAAGCTTAATACATACGTTCACACTATATTCACTTTGTTATTTTTAGCCATGTCCAGTTTATGGTAATTGGCTTGAATGGGAGAGATGTACTGTATCATGTGGTGGAGGCACCAGATTAAGAAGACGTATTTGTATTGGCGGACAACCAGGAGATATTGGATGTGAAGGCAGAGAAACAATGGACGAGCCTTGCAATGAAAATGTAAGCTCACTTTTTGCAAGTAATGAGAAATATCAACATGCGTTTACTTTACTCTATATGTAATATTTACCTTTCAGCTGTGTGCATTCTGGCAATTGTGGGGCAGTTGGTCATCGTGTGATGTCACATGTGGACGAGGACTTCAAATTCGAACTCGAGGCTGTTTCGGTGGTGAACTTGGTGATCCTGGATGCCAGGGTGCTTCAGAAGAATTCCAAGAATGCTCGAGAGGGGTAGGATTTTGACCAATCACTCTCTTATAAAAAAAAAATTAGCAGTCCCAGCTATCTATTTGTCCTGAGAATAACGTTGGATGAATTAGACAATTTCAACAAGTATTTTATATATGCATATGTTACACCATTGTCTACTTTTAGCTATTTAATTTGTATATAACTATTCAAGTTAGGTCTACTTTAAAAACATTTTCCCCAGAGTATTTAGCACTCGCAATTGTTTGTTATACATATTATTGAGTGAACTATAATATTTTTGTAGCAATGCTCATCGTGGGAGGCATGGGTCAGTTGGACACCCTGTAGCGTTACATGTGGTACTGGTATTTCTAAACGAGCTAGAGCATGCCAAGACGGCGTTCCTGGAAGCGGTGGATGCATTGGTGATTGGCAACAAGACAGAGACTGCAACACCGATCTCTGTGCAACATGGTCAGAATGGACTGAATTTTCACCATGTGACAGATCATGTGGAGATGGTTTCAGACAACGAGGTAGACAATGCTTGTTTGGAAGTGTTGGAGATCCGGGATGTATTGGCGACCCAGTACAACCAGAAGAATGTAATGAAGGGGTAAGGATATTAGTCTTACTCACAGCAAATTCATCACATATATCAAACATATGTGTTAAATTTCTTTAATTGTTGTTCGCCACATATTTGGTACTATCATGTCAGTCATATATGAAATTGCCAAATTTGTTTTGTCATTTGTGATTGAATAAACAATTTTTTTTTTTCTTCAGAGGCAGAGCAATACTTTACAGTAAATAATATGTATCATTTAATAAATAAAAATGTGATGAGAATATTAACCTATGCAGAAATTTATTTATTTATGTATTGATGTTGAATTTTTAACAGGCGTGTCCTGAATACACCCAATGGACAATTATATCAGAATGTTCGGCTACATGCAATGGTGGTGTGCAACAACGTTTCAGACAATGTTTGTTCTCCGTTGATCAAACTGCTTGTAACAGTCTTGGACCTGCAGAAGACGCTCAAGTGTGCGCGACCAATCCATGCCCTTGTGAGTATTTACGTACTATTTGCCGCATATTTACTGAACTAGAATTACATACTATCAAACGATAAAAAAATCTATTTACTGCACTTTATAACAGTATAACTTTTAATAACGGTAACAGGTAAATCATATCTTTTGCTCATTTTAATTTTCTTTATAGAATGTAGGTAAATACGGTGCATGTTTATCTGAGATATTTCCAAATTGTATCAAAAAGAGTTAAATTTTTGCGCACCACAATTTTCATATATCACTACAATGAGGTAAATTCTTATATTTTCTCCTGGCGTATCAGTGAATACTTGAATACAGACTTCATCTCGCACACATAATTTTTTGATTACAATTGTAACAAGCCCTATACTTGAAATGGAATGTTATGCCACTCTTTGAACCAATGTCATATTTGTCTATTTTACAGCTTGTGAGTTGGAGGTTCATACAACTCCAATTGAAAACGGTCAGGTTGTTTGCACAGAACAATCCCATATTGGTTCTGTTTGTAACTTTCAATGTGACCCAACTCATCAACTTGTCGGATTGAGTACTATATTCTGTGGACCCACTCAGCTTGGAACAGTTGGCGTTTGGAATGCAAACACACCCATCTGTAGAGGTTAGTTTATGTGGTAGATTCTTATTCATTCATCAGCTATCTTTTCGTTGCTTAATCGTGCTCTAGTGAACCTACTGCGGCCCGGTCTGTCCAAGAAATATATTTCACAATTCGTATAAGGAATTGTGACTAAGCACCAAATTTGCAACATCAAAACAAAGCACAGGCACACATGACGAAATAAAGAGTTTTCATGATTAAAAAAAATGAAATTTGTGTTACGGTAAATACTAGTTATCATAGCCTTCAACTTAATTTTAATATTCTAAGTGGGATTTTTTCATGATACCGGGGCATATTATTGGTTTAAATAGTTTTTTTTCTAAATAAATTAAGTTAAAACACATATCAATAGAAAAATATTCTTATTTTTACAGAGCGTTGTAATGACGAAGCCGATATTGTATTTGTGATCGACAGTTCTTCTAGCATCAAAACTGCTAACTTCGAAATCATACGTCGTTTCGTTCGTGACGTGGTACAGAGCTTCGAAGTTGGTCCTACCAAAGCCTTGGTATGTGTAATAATAATTTGGATAGCGTAAATTTTTTGTTTTAATCTTTTGGAAAGTAGAAATGATAAGAAAGCTAGCATATGCCGACCATGGCCTCTCGTCAGATTATCAATTACTGTATTAAACCACACAGCTATGTTGAGGAGTCTGCAAGAAAAGTAAAATTAGCGCTGCTCTAGTTTATACTGAGATTTAAGATGTTTATAAACGAATGTATCTAACTAAAATTGTTGATTTTCGTTGTTTTTTGACTTCTTATTTTGAAAATTTCCAGTTCGGTGCACTTCGCTACAATGAAGAAGTTGATAAGCAGTTTGACCTGAAAGACTATAAAACTAAACGTGACGTTTTGGATGCAGTGACACGTATTCCATACTTGGGTAAAGGAACCAAGACTGGAAAGGCTATCAACTACACAAGAGAGAACATGTTCACTGCTGCAGCTGGACATCGTCCTGGTGTACCCAAGATTGCTGTTGTTGTTACTGATGGTAAATATCATGTTAGCAGTATTTCTGTGCGAAAACTTCATGTTGAATTAGAACATGGTGCTTATACGTAATTTAAATATATGTACTAGGTTCATTTACATAAAAAACTTTATGTAATTTACTTGAGTGACCTTCTAGTCACATTGGTGGCTAGATTTGTCGTTTGCGCATAAAGTTTTCTTGCAGGAGACAACAGCCGACGTCATATATGATGAGAGGATGAACATTTTAGTTTGTCAATAAATAGATTTATATTAAAAGTCAGGAAAAAAAAATTGCCGTCATGAACATGACTTCTAATTTAAAATGAATCAAAGCGTTCTCTTGATACCTCAATTCCCTAGCTTTGGAAGTTACCAAACTTTACATCGCTGAATGAATTGAGTGCAAAGCAAAATATCATTACATTCACGAAAAACTAATTGGCTCAGTTTATATTATCTTCTTATCTTTGACATGTTCACATGCAGCATTGGTTTGTTGGGTTTGCATATTTGGAAATCTCTTTCTTACTTGACTAAAATCAAGCTGCATTTGCTTTATTCCCAAATGGAACAATTTAATGTAAAATGCTCATTGTTACTGTATATGGTATGATAAAAATAAATTGGGTTTTTTCCGTAGATGTACTAATATATTATTTTATTCTTCACATTCAGGTATCGCTTTCGATGATGTTCAAATCCCATCACAGTTACTGAAGGGTGAAAACGCAATCGTAATAGCTGTTGGTATCGGAAACATCAGAATTGTTCAGATCTACGAAATTGCTAGTGACCCAGACAGATTATTTGCCACAACCGTCAGTGATTTCGATGCTCTCGACAAAGTTGTGAAAGTCATTTCTGACCAGATTAAATTCTGTACTCAGGTAAGACGACGAATTAGAGACTGTTATGCATGCAACAAAATTCCTACCTTAGTCCTAGTATTTACTTCTCAATTAGAATCCCAGTATGTTCAGACCGTAAATAACCAATATATTATTATATAAATGAATGTCAGTCGTTTTCTCCAAATATGTCAACTTTTTCATTGAAAGTACTATCTGCATATGAAGCTTTAATTGGGCCTGTTTTCGTTTTGTTCCATGATGATAATGAATTATTGGAGACCACATATAAGAAAGGGGTTTCATTGTTTATAATAATAACTCAAAGTGGAGCTATTGTAAAAATAATACCCTTTTGCTTTTAGGAACCTGTCATTGAGATTGCTCCATGTCCACCTCAAGCGATTATGGATCTTGTTCTCATCCTGGACAGTTCTAGTTCCATTGGTGATGATAACTTCGGTCTGATTCGTCAATTCATTAAAAATTTCATTGGAACATTCAACATCGGACGTGATGCTGCACGAGTAAGTTTAATTTCCTCATTTGGTCAAAAGATTTTTTACTCGATTTGTTGTTGTTGTTTGATAAATACTAGTTTAACTGATTTTTTTACTTTCTTTTAGTTCGGTCTCATACGATACAATAACCAAGCAAGAACTGAATTTAATTTGGGAGATCACAATAATCTGAGAGCGCTGAATAGAGGTATGTATTTCACAAAAATATGTTTTCCATACTTTACATATTTCTATTTTTTTAAATTTCATTTTTCTAAATAATCAAATATTGTCATAAATTTTTCAGCTGTCGACGCAATTAGATACAATGGCGCCGGTACAAGAACAGGAAACGCAATTCAGTTTGCTATCGATAACGCATTTACCGCAGACGCAGGTCGAAGAAATGACGTACCCCTGTTAGTCGTCTTGTTTACCGACGGTAAGATTGTTGAATTTTTAATACTTCGATTTTGTTATCTTTATTCGTAATACTTTTTGTTGCATTTTTCGTTTTTGAAACTGTTGATTGAAGTTACAAGTATGCTTCTTTTTTGGTCGCAACGGCAATTAATCTCTCATATTTAATATCAGTGGAAGATAAATATGTGCAATTGAGATTAAATTCTTGTCTTCACATCGATTAGTCGGTTACACTCTCTTTCTCCAACATCCCTGTTTCTGTATTCGGAACCAGTATTTTTTAATTGAATAATCCCATTCTCGATGAGGTAGCTTTCCAAATGAGGGGGGTGGGAGACATCTTGTCGGCCTCTATTACCTCCTGGATATGAAAAATTTTATCCTGACCACGATGTTTTTTAAGAACAAGTCTTTCTTATTTGGTATAGCCTGTTCAATTCATTACAATTTGGATGAGGTGTGCATACCCCGGGATCACAGATCTATTATGTTAGCACAAATACATCCAAATCTCCAACCACTTTTTAGATTACGAATTAATTTGAGAACCTTCCTGACCACCCTTTTATTTTACTGTAGGTCGTTCATCCGACGACGTTATTCGACCAGCAAGAGCACTTAAAGAAATAGCGAAAACTGTCATTTCCATCGGAGTCGGAGCTACCGACAGAAGACAGCTCAGAGCCATTGCATCACAGCCAGTTGCAAGTAATACTTTCGAACTTGATGACTTCCAGGCTTTAGACGGAGTTATTAACCAGATTGCAACAACTGTATGCTTTGGTACTCAAGAAGAAACGCTTTTTTAAAGATGAAAGTTTATAAAGCAAAGGAAATATTTGCATGAAGATACAATATTTTATAATAAACTACTGAAAATTATGAAAATTTTGATACATTTTTGCAAAATCACTTACGGTGTAATATATCATATTGTTTTACTGAGAACACACCATCTAGTAAATAGACTTGTATTTGTAGTCATGTACCTCACATTTTTCTGAAAATCTCCGATTATTTATATGCGATATAATCCTGACCATCGATATGTGTATCTAAAGACATGCAGATCTTCCAAAATTTATTATCAGAACAAAACAATTTTCATCTTATTTCAGTTAATGATCGCACAACTAAATGCCTTATTCAAGGTATTTACTAAATTACCGAACAATACCTCTTCTTATGACCAAAATAATCGTCTTTCGTTCAAAAAATGGCCTTGTATATATGCTTCATGATGAATTCAATGCTAAAACCCTTTTGGGATATTATCGCTTCTAGCATGCCGAAATAAATTATTATCGGCTTCGTTTAAAATGCAATTTATTTCGGCATGCTTTAATTCTTAAACGTAACTCTATAAAATAGTCTTTTACACATTGTATTTAAGGTGAAAATTCACTTCTGTGCCAAAATCTTTTTCAGAAGTTGTAAAAGAATAAATGCACCAAATTGGTAGTAATTTTGTCTCTGTTATGCTGTGAAGTCTGAAGGATTCAGATAAGTAGCTAATTTCGGAGAGAAATGATTTAGGATGGTAAACGCGATGAGTGTTTCTGAAGCGCACCAAGCAGATTCAAGTTCAACTTTTGATAGCGATATAGTGCAAAGTCAGTTAATTGTCAAGGAATTTCTTTAATTGAGATTTGAGATCTCCTACTTGGACGTAAAGACACGAGCGAAGTTACGGGTGATCACTGAAGAACCACGAGCAGGGCGGATTTAACATAGAGCAGAGCAGGCTTAGAGGCCTCGGCATACAATTCTGAACTATTATTCATTTTAAATCGTTTTTGTCCCATATATCAACCGTTTAAAAATATTAAATAACTGCATAGGGTCCAATAAATAAATTTCTATAAATTTGAAAAGCCTTTCTTCTTTACCTTTAACAACAAAATATTCCGATTTAAATTGATTGGACAGTTTTTACCGTAATAAAATCTTTCATTTTTAAAAAATATAGCTATATTATTTGAGCAACAACGAATCTAAACATTATTATATTTAGGATCCTTTTTTATCGCAGAACCAGTTTATATTAAAAAATGGGATGATAATTCAAATTATCAATAATGTTTTATTCATCATTTAGGATTCAGGTTGTAGGACATCTTGGTGCGCACACTTCTGGAGCACTAGCCAGTGTGGGTTCCCATACAAAGCGATGGTTATCAATGGAATCTTGCAATTGCATTGCAGAATGAATTTGTGATTTTTAGTTCTAGTTTGTGACAAACATCGAAGTATGTTACTCAAAGACAGATTATTATTTTCTATTTCATAAAACGTAAGTATTTTGTTGCCGGTTCGCGAGGGGAGGTGATAGGTCAGTAACCACTTTGATAAATCTTTTGTTATCACTTGTCCACCGTCACTAAATGAAGTCTGCAATAAATACATTTAAATATTTCAATAGTTTTATTAGTTACATTATATGAGTTGGCTGAGTAATTAATATTTCTGATAATAAGAATTTTAAATATTTTGTGTTAGTCTGCAGCAAGACTTCCGAATCACTTTAAATAATTTGTTGCTGAACAGTTTTCTATGGTCTTCTAAAGTTAGGACAGATAGGAATCCATTTCGTCCATCTATAATCAGTATTGAACGGTAATTGATAAGCTTTCGCTTGATTTCCTGATTTGTCACTGGATTTTGTGTAGAATGTTTCCAGACCTCGTTCTTTCCTTGTCCCTGAATCATTTCAAATAAATAAAAAATTTAAATTCATAACTCCTAACCGAAATGCTAGCCGCGCTGGTTCGTTAAACGCAGTAATTTTTAATTGAAATATCGTGAACCACTCCATTGTCGGGATTTTTGTTAATGCATTGTGTGACCCCATAAGCGAGTCAGAGGTACACGCGTGCGAAAAAGTATATTTCAAAATCATGCTTCGAAACATGTCGGGAAAACGTAAAATCTCTGTTTCATTTGTTTTTTCAATTTTATCAACACATTAACCCCGTTCTTTCGTAATCGTAACTAATCAATCAATCTCTTATTCTATATCTTGAATACGCGATTGGTTGTCAAACAGAAATGAATGCTAATAGACATTCTTAGCTTATTAGGTCGAACGTTGGCGTGTCGGAAGATAAATATTCGAACACCGGATAAAAATGCTTTGCAACATAGTACTCATATCATAAGAGTTTCTGAATTCTGAATTGCTATCTAAATTGCTGTCTTTTGTCTGCAAGTGTGTTTCAATATACTTGATTCAATAAAGTGCTATTTAAAAAAGACTATTTTCTCATTACCTGGAGCAATGTTATCCAAACAAAAGCCAGTCAAGCCTCCAATGAACATAGGACTTCTCATTAACACTCTCACAACATTTGTCAATTCCTCTACTCCTAGATCTACTCTGTCCTCGTGTTTTGATATATACATTGGCAAGGCGATACCGGTCAACATACTTAGTCCAAAGATGAACAGATTTCTAAACAAAATATTTTTATTCATCCAGAAATGGTGATGGTGTATCTCTAGGGGAGGTTTGTCAATGAATATAATACTATTGATTTCAAAATGCATACAATGTTAGCTGATTTCAACCTCACATATCTCAACCGTTTTGGCATACTGAGATGTTATTAAAGTATTTTATTCTCTGGCATGATCAATGGGAACTTGTTCTGCCAGTGACACACATTCGTTACCCGCACTCATCCAAAAGATGATGGGTTTTGACAAGTTTGCTACTGGATGGATGTTCAATAAATGATTTAAATCCAAATCCAAGAACATAACATATAAATACGCTGAGTATGGTAATGTGTTGAAAAAAATATATATAATGCTAGATGCTAGAAAAGATTTATTTTAATCATGTGCATTGCTTTTCCTGCGAAAGTTGTTATACTAGATGACAATACTAGATGCCCAGAATTCAAGATTTTAAATATTTCTCATCTGAGTCTCTTGTTTGTAGTATATTATATACTTTTGATCATTTTGCTACATCGACTACTATGGTATTTATTCAACCTATTTTCAGCGTGTAGCATACATCGCTCATATTTAGAAAACTATTCTTACCTAGTTTTCTTCATGTCAGTGTGCTTCAAAGTAGATATTCCGATTGAAAATAACATTCCAATTGTTGAACTAAGTGCACCACCAAGCACAACTTTTGGAATAGATGCGAATATACTGATCAATTTTGAAAATATCCCTATTATAATCATATACAGTCCAGTGAACTGAAACACCTAAATTTGAAACATTGAGAACGTGGTAATACTCATGCACATGCAAGTGAGCCGGTGATCGTAATTAACATAATATGCGAACATAAAACATCAAGCAACGCAGTCAAATATGCAATACATAATACTAGTAGGTGTAAGTGATGTTATACCTTAACTGAATTATTGTTTCAAAATATCTTCATATTGCAGCTTCATATAACTGACAATAAACAGAAGATTAATGCTAACTTACTCTTCTACTTGCAACTTTTGATACGCCTAGTATAACAATAGTGTGACTCCAAGATGTTACTGCATTCCCGGTGCCAAGCAATCCGGCCAAAAGGACGCCGACCCCTTCCATCATAACACCTCTAGTAAATGATGTACGAAAGTGTATATATATATGCATTCGAAAAATGAGAATAAAGCCAAAAATACGTGTCTGTTGTATTCTAATTTAAATAAAAGTTTACCGAATTTATAAACGAATCTATTAGTTTTATAATCAAAGCAATGCTGATAAATGTGATACAGTACAGATACAATTCTATAAATATATGGTTTCTATAATCGTAGTCTATATAGATTAGAAACGGCGTGATGTAAGACAACTTGACTTGTGCATTGTATACAAGAATTTTCCCTGATGTATAGTTCGATTAACATAACCGTTGTATAAATAGAAAACGTAAAATAAAATATTTTCAATGTTACATATAGATACGTATTTGAAGGATTGATGTTACCGATTAATAGCATGTTTTGGTGGAGACGACTCTTCACAAACTCCCGCTGTAGCATTATAATCTCCAATTGATTCTAATATTCCTGGCAACACTGCTGCCATCATTCCCAGTGTTGTACTCGCAGTGAAAGTTGGCATTCCGAATTGAAAAGGGTATGGAAAACGAAACCTGAAAAATAATGCAACATTTACTAATGAGCTACTAAATCATATGGCACAAGAAGCCCAATTCATACAAGTCGGTGAAAAAGCATGTATATTTTTTATAATGTTTTATAATTTTGGTCTCAGGATATTCAAGATTTTTTTAAGTGAAAATAATTATTACATTTATTTTTTGTTTCCTGCGCGTGTTTCTTCATGTGAGCAATTAAAGTTGTTTAAAAATGAGTCAACAAAATTGAATAACTTGGCACCTAATTCATCAGTAACAAATGTGAAGATAATTCAAACATTCCGAAATGATAGTTATTTTTAAAAAGTCTGTTTTATGACGGCGATTCGAATTTGTCACCATAATTACGCTAGTGAAGTTCAGTCGACACTAACCAAGGACTTTTAGAAGTTGCATCTGAATTGATATCGGTGCGAGCATAATAAGATGGATCCTTTGGGTCATCCGAGAATCCACCTGCTGTAGTGATAACGTAGCATACAAACCATCCGATGAACACAGCAAATAAAACCTTAAATAATAAAGTATTTGAAATGGAGTTATAAAAAAAATAATACATATTTGTCAATAACAGAAGATCTATGCATTTTTATCAAGCTTTAATAAGTAAGGTTTGTTGTGCTCTTTGTGTTTGAGTTCAATGAGAGAATCCCGTATTCATATGTAAACATTAGTGTGTGTGTGAGTCGTATAGATAGTCTTGTGCAGAATCAAAATATTTGTAAGGTGTCCAAAATAATGTGAGAATTAAATATTTCTTACCGGAAACATTGAAAATAAAGGGAACTTAGAATTAGAAGAAACAGATATATTTCTTCCATTACGTCTGCAAGTATACACTGGTATCGAAACATTTACCATACACACAGCACAGATGAAAAAGATGCCGACGATTCTGAAATGAAAATACATTTATAGTTTGTTTGAAATCTTACATTATTTCTTTAGTTAGCAGATAGAATAATTTTTTTGTTAAAGATAATATCAATTACTTGGGAACGTTTAGCACAAAACACATCGAATACTAAATCTTAAAAGATCAATTCTATATCAATAAAGATAAAAGTGATTCACAACAGCTATACCAACAGAAAGAAAATACCAAGAATAATAATAACATGATAATTTTGATATCATTATATACATGAACCGAACAAAGCTTTATTATTTCTTGTAACGCTTAACCGTTGCCACTCAAATATATGGCCAGAGCAATGTCAGCAAAATTCCAGGCAAATGCTGGCAGAATTATTAATTTCATATTATGTGTGCCCGTGAATAGTAAAAAGAAACAGCAAAATTTTGATGAAATGTAGAGGCTGGTAGGACTAGAAAATTTGAAAAAAAAAATGAAAGTTATAGACTTCTAGCGACTTCTTTACGGAAAATGTGAAATTGGCTGGCTAATTAGTTTGCGAATAAAAACAGGCGAACAATAGCACCCACGCACTCTAACGAATAACTCGTTACACAAACTTACAAGACGGTGATACCCCACTGAGCGCTTGCCAGATCCTGTGCTAAACCGAATATTCCATATGCAATCAGAGCTAAAATTGGGGCAACCGTTAGTGGTCCAATATAGTAAGTCAGAAATCCCATAGCACCAGTGAATCCCAAAGTCAACTGCAAAATCGAACCGCAGATCACCCCGCCTTGAATCTGTTAATTAAAAAAAACATTCGTAAATCGATATCAGATATTGTCGGTCCTAGTGAACAAATTTATTCAAGAGTAATACGACCCGTTTAATTCATATCGGTACATTTAACTTCATTTAACTCTTATACTTTTGCAATAAAACATAGTTTGTAAAAAATCAAATCAGAATATATGGTTAGAACTCGCTTGGGTTTCAAAATGCATTTTGTATATAATTTCCATAGCTTCAAATCATAAAATAATGTATCCACGTAATTTTATCGAATCACGTCAGGTAGTCCATTAACTGTTACTTAGTTAGTTACTAGCCTATCTATTATTAACATATATACGTTTGTTAAGCTAAACAGTTATTACCTCATGTAATCGGCTGACCCATAGTTCGTTACTAGTCCTTATTATTCCATCATTATCTCTGTAATAATTTGACTCCACATCGACGTTGATAGTTTTATTCAGCAAATTGTCGTAAATTATTTTGCTCGAATTTTCATCCAGCGAAACTGAGTAATCTTCATACGTCGAGTTAGGATTCAAATCCATCGGAGCCGGACATTTCAATCTGTCGGTTCCCATGACGCTTATAGCAGAAACCAAAAACGATGCAGTTGTTCCTTGTATTATTGGCAATCTACAGTAAACAAATGTGAACACATTTGTCATCGCGGTTTTTCTCTGTAGTACTCTCTTCGTAATCAATTCTGAACTGCTCTCATTGACACAAGAAATCCCGCCATGAATTATCGTTTTAAAAAGTTAGAGAAACAAGGCGGTTTGAGCCAACGATCTCCGCTAATACTTGAGGCCCGCACTTCAGACATACGTTCCGATACAAGCAAAATTGCAATCTATTGCGGCAGCGTACTGCAATCACCGCCTTGCGAGAGTAGTATACTGTGACTAATAATTAAAACGTGTTCACAAAAATTCCAGAAGCTCCCCCATTTTATGGGTTAAACACGGCCTGTTCGAAAAAGTATTTTCTTCCGCGGATGGAACCGTTCTTGAAATTTTAATTTTCGACTTACTTTATGAAAAATTGGCGACAAATTGTGTGGAAGTTGAAAATTTCCCAGCAATCGGCGCGTTTTTTCGCTGCTGCCATGGAAACGAAACGCCAATTCGGACATTCGGGGGAACGCACATAACTAGAGTGAGGGAATAACCCACGTGAGAAATTCCATCAATATCGGTCGGGCCGTTTAGACGCTACAGCTAGACAGGACAGGCAGATACACGGACAGACAGAACAACTGAGAATAAGGGTATCTGAAAGTGGAGATCCAATAAATCATTATTACGTGCAGATGATTCGTTTATCTAGTATGTGAATGAGTTTATTGTTACCTCACTCCAAAAGTAGTTTGAAGGAACGTTGAGAGACCAGCGACAAAAAATACAGTTCCGATCATAGCTGTTTTATATTCAGTCACTGATGGAGAATCATCAGCACACAACACCGATAATATGATCAGCGGGAATGTTATAATCATGATACACAACATCAGTTGCTAAAAAATTAAACAAATCGATTATTATCCAATTCTTCGTTAGTTATTTTTCGAAAAAACATGAAATACAAATTAAATACCCATCAGCGGTTCCACTAAAAACTTGTAGGTTTATCATTAGGATTTTCCTTACCCAATTCAGTCGTGATTGTGTGGATACAAGGTTTATTTGGCCATGAATGAAAATCACAGTAATTTTGACAATAAGATTATGTTCAGATAATGTGAAGTATTCTCTTGACATGCGTATAAATTTCCTAAAATGCCAACCAAGAGGATACATGTTTTGGCTAAAAAATCTCAAATCTAGATTGGTTTGCGAGTAATAAAAATCAGAAAACATTTTGGAGATTTGGAGTGAGTTTCAGTAAATAAAATACCGATGTCGTTATCGCAATACAATTGTTAGAAAGATAAACGTAATTCAAATGATACCCCAAATTGTTAATGGTCATGTTCCTTGGATGTGACTAAGATAAATGATTTTGTTTCTCCTGCACTGACGAATCACGTTTAAAATCACCATAGGACCAAACACAAGAGCAATGCACAAATATATGGACACGAAAACCTAAACGCCGCAGTACGGGTGTGCAATCTGTCATAGTACACTGGTACCAGCCGCCACGATGTCATAAAAACGTGTTTCCAGAATTAATAATTATACAGCGGATTTCAGATGAAATATCATATTCCACAGAAAATTTAATAAAATTATAGCCTTCTGGCAAAAAAAAAATCTTCAACCACTGAAAATTGGTCCACTGGTAATGAGAAAGGCACTTTTTTAATAACAACAAGAAGAACAAAAGAGCTGTGCTCAAATATATGGATACGTCACAAGGTGTCGCTATTTTTTATTCTGACACATAAAAAACGAATCTTTTGAAGTCCACAGAAATTTTTGAAATAAGTAAAAGTAATAGCCTTCTGGCAAAAAAATCAATCTTTAACCACTGAAAATTTCAAAGCAATTGGTCCAGTATTCGAAGAGAAAAGCGATTTCATCATGACGAAAGGGAAGAATATTACTAACAAGAACAACAACATAATATTGAAACGATCGTTATGTACACTAACGTGTCCAAAAATACGAAGAAGAACAACATCAAATTAATAGCAAACCGACCCGTAGTCCATTTTGTGACTAATAAACTACTGAGACTTGTCTGTTTATGTAAATTTTTATATACCTGAAATCCGAAGGCCATGCTGATGTACAATGGTGGACTCTCATCCACTCGATAATAAAGATTAGTAGCCGGTTTTGCTTTTTCAACTTGCATTGGCGTCTCTTGTTGTAGTGAAATGTCAACAACAGATTCTACGCCATTGTCAGTCAAATATTGAACTACTGTTTCATCTTCATAGGCACTACCTGAATTCTCTTCTTTACCATTCATATTACGTATTCTATGTATATATATCAATATTTGGTCTTCTTGAGAAAGTTTCAAACATAACTTTATGACTAATTTTTATAAGTTAAAGTTTGAACTATTTTATACTTGCTCACGATCAGGTTTTTATAAAATGAAGTTTTCATTGTTTTCATTGTCCATGCACTACTGATTTTATGATGATAGAAATATTACCGGTCAATTAACTTTTTACATTCACAGTTAAGGAAATATCACTATTTGATGCTTTCCATTTACAAAGGATTCATATATATAAATATATATATATATATATATGCATCGAATCCGATAAATTTCCGAGAACATGGCTACATCTTACGAAAAGAATACAACTTCAAAAGATTCAGCTTTTCAAAATCTCCTTTGTAACTGAATCAGTCTTCGTTGTTGTAGGTTTATCTAAAAACTACGGGATATATTTTCATAATTGTAGAATATTTACTTGCAGCTTTGCTAGAACAAGTCTATCTGCATTTCACAATCTCACTACCCTTTCAAATAAACTTTATATAGGTGATAATATTACGACAATACTCGTTCCAACTTACAGACATGTATTTCACAATGAGTGAGTATAAGATATGCAGTATATAAGATGAACAAACTCTTTTACTGAACCGAAGAGGATGCACGATGTTTCCGTTTATCTCTGCAAATCCCTCACGCAATGCGTGTCTTAGGTTTCTGAACACGTCGAATTTATCAATACTATCACGCGGTACGGCACTGAAACATTCTGAGACGATTTATATACAATTCTCATAAAGCTCGAGAGGATCATTTGCATTATTATAGGGAGGTTTTCGTCGTCAAAACGTGTGATAATATGTTTTAATATGTTTAGATTATGTCGGTATTTGTCTCTGAAGCAGACATATTGGGCATGCGCATGAGCTTCCATCGGACAAAAAAAGTATTTCACCCAGTACAATATTCGTCGCCACTGAACAATTTTCTGCAACAGTTTCACACATTTTAGTCTAGATTCGTTTTCACTTGTAAAGTGTTTTAACAGTTTAGCTAGGGTTACCATAATTTTTTGACTTCAAAGCGGGACGCCTCCAAAGACACGACCCCTTAGCTATGATCCTGTAACTTTATAGTTTCCGATTCTACTACATAGGCCTACATTTAAAGCCATCCCGGCTGTCTTTATTTACCATATTGTCATCGATAGTTCATGCGCATATTATCTGTCTAAATATTAGGTTCAATTCGAAAAATAGAAATTTAGATTTTTTTGTACAGCAAAAGAAATAAAGAATAATGAAATAGTGTGCCGTTTTCAACCATTGAGAATTTACTTATTCGCCCAAGCATGCTCTTCTGTAGATAGCACGTGAACGTCCGAACAGGACCAATTAGAATTAATTTTACATGTGATACGTTCGCTAACAACGTTAGCGGGAAACAACGAAACAAACAAAATAACGCCTTCAGTAAGTATAGGCTAGCGTTGCGCTACACAGCAACAACAGTAACGAGAACATGTTCGTGTATTATGCTAGATGATTGAACGCCAAAGCGGGACTTTCGGCTGACTTGTCGGGACTGCGGGACAATAAGCTAAAAAGCGAGACTGTCCCGCCTAAAGCGGGACGTATGGTGAGCCTAAGTTTAGCATGTAAAACTAAAAGGGTAGGAAGTTTCACTCCTCAAAACAATAATAAAGCGTAGGTTTAAAATAAACGAACATTTACAACACTTTGGCCAAGAAAGATTGAATTTATCAATTTAGAAGCCATCTCACCTGTGCACTCATTTAAATTTGGACTTATTTGAAAAATCTTCAAAATAGAGGCGATATGGAAGCGCCGTCTATATATAGCAAATTGTCATTGTGCAGACGTAATAAAAGAATATAAAATCATTCATAGATGATTTCTGATTAACAAAACTAGTATGTCTGTTTGTCGTTTATGTGTATTTTCTTCTGGTAATTCAAACCAGTTATCATCTCAGAGGGCCATAAAATTTCATAGAAAGAACTTAATACTATTCGTATCAAATTTCAAAACAGTAATGATGAATGATTATGCGGTCGGTAAAACAAGGTGATGGACTTGTGTACATTCCATATTAAATGTCGACTAAATGCAATATTTGAATGAGGTTAGCCTATATTAACGCTTTGAATCATTCGTGGGTTTGCAAGCAATTATTATGTATAATATAAACATTCTTTTAGATTTTAATCTTATCCTTCTATTTTACACGACACAAAACAATGCTCTGCAGTGCATGATGCACGCTATAGCCCTAAAAATTAAACATTGATTATTACATCTTTCAATATAAAAATCCAACTGATTAAGATATATGTATGGCAGCTTGGTAGGTTTGTACTTTTGAGACATTGGCATTACAAGAAAACCTATTCGAGGCAATCATGCAAATTTGATTTCATTTTGATCAAATGATCTTAGTGAATTTTATTACTATAAAATGCAAGTAAGTTTTCCAAGTTCATGTTATATTAGAAAGAATGCTACAACGTCATGCTTTGTCCGACAAGTTGTACCAGGTACAATGATCAATTTCCGGAATCGAATTTACCCGATATAATTGCAATATGCCTGGGGCCAACGCCTGTAATTATACTATTCTTACATGAAATATTATCTCAAAAATTTGGTTTCAGTCCTTGTAAAATTTAGAATATAGGAAGTTCAGAGATAGAACAAAATGAAGCTAGGTATTTTGTTATGTCTATGCCTGCTGCTCGCAATCCTTTCGGAAGTACAAGGTAAGCTTTATTTAAAGATACAACATAAATATAAGCGTAGAACAAAATGTATTAGTATTAGTGATATTTCTTTCTGATTTTACTTTACAGTCAAATCTGATGTATGTATGTTTTGCTTGCCAATGATATTGTGATTGACTTGCAGTGGTAGATAAGGGCAGTTTCTCCTCAGTTTGAAGACCGTGGATGCCGCAAGTTTAGTCTGTGCCTTGGTTGTAAACTGTACTATTCGACTGGCTCTTATCGTTTTCGAGGCAGAATTTTTGTGTTGTCGACAGCTAAAATATAGTATGGAGCAGGCCTGCACAACATACGACCCGCGGCCCGCATGCGGCCCGCTATATACTTCTGTGCCCACGGGTGATTTGGGAACACGCCACTTCTCGGGTCTAACAATCAAAGCCGGCATTGTTATGCAAGCGCGCCGCTACTCCGATCATATTCGAAATCGTGAGATTTATGTTTTGCAATAGTTTCAATAAATATCAAACTTTGTGTGGAATTGGTGTGTCCTTCGCGACCCCTCAAATTCGTCACTCGACCCCCAGTTTGGGAAACCCTGATTTAGATATCTCAGTATTCAGACTGAATCACGCCTAAAACAATATCGGTATACAATCTCACATTCATTAGTGCATATTAGCAATCTATTAATAACCCCACTATTTTTTACTAGCAGTTTATGAAACTGGAGTTTCTTTTTTGATTCAAATTTAGAACTTAAAAAACAATTTCTTCATTTATGAATGGTGCAGAAATTTTCACACAACAGATTTTGCTATTTACTGTAAAATTTCAAATAAATTGGAGCAGATTTTGTAGAAAAATGTAATTTAACAGTCAAAAAAATACAACAGAGGAAGATCTATTGCTACTAAACGGATTGTTTGTCTAGCCTACAATGGAAATATCCAATAATGGTAGATATGACTAAATAAATTGTCATATATATATATTTGGGACGATTTTACAAAACTGAACCTGAGTAAAATATTTTTCTGCAGTCAGTTTATACTGCAACACGCAATATCTAATTCTAATAAAAAAAAAATATTGAAAATGAAGGGTGGGTTTTCAAGGTAGATGAACCACTAAATACATATTTGCCATCTCATATGCAAAAATACTGTACCTTGTTTTTACTCAAGAAAATAAGATTCTTCATATTTTTAAGCTCCCCAGTAATGAAAGTGTTTCATTACATATAACTGTTTCACAATATTATTTTGATTTGTAGTTCATCTTGTGAAATATGTATGTGGCAAAGTTTGCGGCCGCCGGGCCTTCAGATTGCGGCCCTCGTGGTAATTTGGGTTGTGCAGGCCTGGCACAGAGTATAAGATCATTTTAAACAATTGCACTTTTAATATAGAACTTGCGGAGAACTGAAATATAATATTATCTTGATTTAGGTTGCCATCCTTTGAAAAAATGTCGCAAAGGCAAAAAACCAGGTGGAGGTCACGATGATAACTGCGATGATGACAACGACCAAGGCGACGTGGGTCCTCAAAAAGGTCCTTTCGGGGGTCCCCGGGGTCCTCGAAGAAAACGTCAAATACCGATTGACCCATTCACAGAATTTTTTGTCAATTGCTTAGGAAGATATCAGTTAAACAGTGTTTATGATCTCCCCACAATCGTTGATTTTACCCTTCGAAAAACGAGCTGGTTTGGAAAAACAAGTGAACAGTATTGCGCGTAAGTATTCAAAAAATTCACGGTCAAACGTGGTAGAATTCGGCGCGAACATCAAGTTAATGAAAATGGTTCAATGATACATTTCCGTCGATAATTACTTCTTAGTTTAGGTGTAATTTCTTGTCTCAATATTTTTGGAATAATAACCAAAAAAATGAATACAATAGCGTATATTCCTTACAAAGAGCACATTTTGTTGCATATCTATATAAAATTGTAAATCTTTCTTTAACACGATAATGCCAGTTTTCGGTTTACTAAGTTTACTTCTATAATAAAGAATACTGGTCATTTTTCTAATTTATTGTTCGGAAACATCAATTGTTGAATGGGCAAATGCGCAGATAATAGCAAGAATACTCAACCACCGAATATTTATATACAACTACAACCTTGAAAGCCTCTTCAAAGATAATAATACCAGGCAACCCCCCAATATTGATACAATTTTACGACATGCTTGCTGTATGTCATACAGTGTTGGAAATAGACTGATGACTTAATTTATGTACCTTTATTTTTCAAACAGTGGGGATGCAGTCGATTGTTGGCGATTTATGATCAATTCTTATTTGACCGAAAATTCTCAATTTTCAACGCCAGCGAAGAATTGCATAGAAGAATATGGAACAACCAAGGGACGTACAGGTGTGTTGACAAAATATACTATATTGAAAAAACGTTTATAGAGAAATAACATAAATGAAGATTTTAGCGCGGGGTTTATCTCTGGTTTCTATCCCGTGGCTTCTAACTCACCCAGGGTGTGATAAAAATCGGACAGAAAATGCATGACCAGAAAGAACAAATCTCCCTAAAATTAGTTAGATATCAGTGGATGATTGTACAGGGCCTTGTTCAAAGTTAAAGACGTGTATATTCGTCATACAAAAAGCTTTGGCTGAACATGTCAAACGGCATACGATACAAACTATTTCAGCTCTTTTTGCGAGATGTTGTATATTATTAAATTAAGTTGCTAACGAAACAGTTGTGAAACAGAATTTGTCGCCATTTTTTCAATTAATCTGCTATTAGTCCCACAGATAGTCGATAAAACTAACAATTATTTGGTAGAAAGAATAGCAGATGAAAGAAAATTTATAGTATGAAATATGCTTTGCTGTTTTTTTAAATATTGAAGTTATTTATTAAGAATTTATCTTATAGCAATATAATAATAGGAAAAAAAAACAGGGTTGGACAGCTAATTCCATATCGTTTATCTATGCTAATTGATATAAAAGTATAATTCTATTTAGTTCCAAAATTGACCTGAATAAGAATTTGTTTAATACGACATATGAATCTATCATCGAAATAAGACTAGTCTATTATCAACTGCATTCATTTGTTGAGAATATGATATTGTTAGGATTTGTTTACATATAATCAAAGAGAACAACTGATAACGATCAAGATGATGTAAGGTGATTTCCGTATCACTATGTACTCGGCTAAATGTGTGCAACGCCTATGCTGTTGATAAAAAATGGATATCTTTATGTAAAATACAGTCTATTTATTTTCGATTTGTATTCTGATATTTTAATATTAACCAGTATTGTACCTAGTAAATTTAATAACCAATAATAACCCAGAAAATTATAAGTGATTATCTCTTTTACTTGTTTCAACAATTCACGTTTCCAATTTCAATGCGATGGTAAAAAAATTGCTCTTACAGTTCGATGTCTCAAAAATATCGTTTCCCCATTTGCTACACACTTGTATCACATGTCCTATATGTTCAGCCCTTGACTCACTTGTGTGTGGTGGGGAACAAATGATACAAGTTGTGCATGTGGCACAATAGTGGGGCGTGTAGGCTACCCAGTGATGCGGGTGGAACATGTGATACAAGAGGGATACGCAGGGCAGGTGGGACAAGTGATGCAATTGAGCGACAAGTGGGCCACGCGAAAATTGGGAAAAGCGAACAAGCGTGGGACAAGTGAGTTGGGCTTTTGCTGTAAGCAAAAACTAGCAAAACCCATATCAAAACGATACCTCAAAGTATATGTTAAAAAATTATTAGCAACACGACCCCCCAAGTTCGGAATTTGGTCAGTTATGGCAGTTCACACATTTCCAGTTCTTGTATTAGGTCATAGTTCGTCGATGAAAATTTCGCTTGCCTAAAATAGCATCGATTTATCCTTGAAGAGGCAAAGGCAGATTGAATACTTTATTTTATTCAATGCAATGGTGTTTTGTCGACTTTAGCTATAATTATTTAATAATAATTATGTATTGCATTTTTGATGGGGATGGGAAATATAGAATACCAAATCCGGAGGATTCGAATCCAAATAGATCCGATAACAGGATTCGGTTTCCGCCTCTTCGGCGCCGTACATCAATTTTTGTATTTCGCATTTCACGTTATTAATCAGTGAGGAGCGTTTTCTCCCGCGACGAAATCTCTCTCGTTTGATTGTATTTGCGTTTTCTCGCAAAGAACCCGCAAAAGCGGTAAACATCAAAAACCGTATTTCCAGCTTGCATATTCAAAACGGGATGACGGCGTTGTTGCACAATTTTTTTGATTTTCACAATTTTATTATCGAGTTCGCTTATAATAATAACTATTATTGGTGCAGACTTGGCGATTTTCCGATTGCAACAATCGTGAATTTTTGAATTAAATGACTTTACGAATTCTCCCGGAAAATGATGTGTATCAGACGTTAGATGTTACAATATTATTTGCGATTGATTCAGATCAAATTCTACTTTCACGGCATCCCGTTTCCATAAATACAAAGTTTTATCGCAAAACAACGCGTTTTGTTACTTTTATTTTGCGCTTCCAATAAAATGCATATTTTCGGAATTCAAGTCGCCGACGAATCCGTTTCTATCGTCCAAGCTCGACACACGTTGGGTCGAGTGTCGGGCGGTATTTCAGTGATGCTAAATTAAAAAAAGCATCGCGTGATGTGTATAACGATAATAACTGAAAATTAAGATTTTGCAATAGAAATGTATTTGTCTCGAGATGTTATTTTACGAGTCTTGCTCGCAACAAAATAAACACGCTGACATACTTGATTCTAATTGATAGTCGTTAAATTCATTTCACACCATTAATTAACCGCCCTACCAAGTGCGGCACCCGTTGCGGCCACATGGCCTCGGTCTGGCCTGTGTGTTTTCGGCGCTCTCACATTAATAATAATTTAATTTTTTTGTCATATTCACAACTTAGTATTAAAGTGTATAATACGCTATTTATTTCAACATATAAGAACTTAGGAATCATGTGCAATTTGAAAATTTCAAAGCAAAGATTAATTTTTGGAATTATTATATTTCATTGGTAACAAATAAAATCCAATGATCTAATAATGCTCAATGCTTTATTACAACTTGTAGGCGAGAATAATTCCAATCGATTCGCAAAATGTTGACTCAACCCGTAAGGTAGTTCCTTCAGGCTTTAATATTCAATTAGTTATTAGACGAACTCAAACGAATCCGCTAATCAACATTGATGCTTCATTTCGTGAGTTTTCGAACAAAATAACTTCTGAAAATAACATCTCTTTACTTCATACAGCAAGTTATCCAGACTCTGGCAAGGGCGTCAACAATGCTGGTCAGAATCAAGGTACTCTTCCTGTGAGCGCCTCACAATTCTCTTCCCTCTTATCATCGCGTTATCGACCGAGAGATCCGGAAGATCGTTCCGTTGATAATGTTAACTCTCTCGTGAAATTTATAACTGACGAAGTTGGATGCGCGTAAGATCAATTTTCAAATATTTTTAAATATAGTGTACATGAAATATTTGTGTAATAAATACTGTAGTTTCTTATATTAATAATTTCAATCTCATATACGATTATCTACCAGACCTGTTTAATATGATACGTTATGCTAGATAGGCTTTGTTTATTCAGCATAATCACTTTGAGAAAACAGGACAATACTATATTTTCCGGATTAAGCTATGTAAAGTCAAAATTCTATGAAAACCGTAGCTAATTGACAAAAATGTAAACATTTCTGCAAAATTTAAATTTTTTTGAATATTTTTCTGGTATATTATTACCCTTGAAGTAAAAAGCAGTGTTGCTTTTTCGGTTATATTTCTCACTACATAATAAGATATCCTATGATCAGTGCCTTTTCGGCTTATTGTATGCAGTTACATATATATAATATTCATTCCCTGTGACTAGGATCAATTTTTATTTCGTCTATCCATTCAATACGCTTAAACAAATCCATTTGTTTCAAGTTTGGATTTCTGTGATTGTGAAAACGTCAGAGTTCCAACGGACGAAAATTGCGGACAAAATTGGTATACGAGGATTGCTGCTATAACAACAACTTCTAGTGATTTGAGGCCGGTCATTGTAGAAGTAGTCAGTAAGTTATTGAGAAACGTTTGAAAAAACATTACGAAGTAGTGAAACATTATAGCATAATAGTATCATCATATCCTATTCTGAGATTCTGCGGCATTGAAATATATATCCTCATTGCATATCATTGTTGATTTATGGTTTAAAATTTGTGGTTAAAACTATTTGCACACAATTTAAATTCATGGAAAATTTGACATAATATTAAATCAAAGCCTTTTTTGCTTTAAAAATTGATAGCTATCAATTACATTTTAAATTATCAATTTACAACACAGGAGGCAAATGTAAATGTCTCACTCTACTTATCTTCGAATTGTAAACAAACACTACTATACGCAAATACATTATACTTATGTTGTTTCAATTTTCAGACGACGTTCTTCAAGAAGCAATCGCTCCGACGGGAGGTCCAGCTACCACTCCATTCACTCTTCCATTTACTCTCACACCTCCAATCCCAATATTTTTTCTGACTCGACCCCCAATACCACAGGGTTGTGGAGCCTTGCCACGACCCGCAATTGGACAATTGAGGTAAAATAAAATACCATTTCTGAAAAGGAAACCATCCACTGATTTAAAAATCATTGTTGTGTCGAATCACATAGAAAATAGAAAACTTTAATGTTTACAGAGAGTGTATGATAAATATTTTCAAGTTCAATTCCGATCCAATTATTCTATGCATGTCAGCATTTGGCCTTACAATCTTAATCATCCAGTTTGCAGACAATAAAATGAAAACACCCATTTAGATTTAATTATATTTTGGATGTTTTGGGAAGCTTAGAACCCGGACTGATATGTATCTAACCCCAACTCAACTCCAAAAAACAGACTTTATTATGCAGTGCTTATTAATTACCTAATTTTATTTTAAACTTCAGTTGTACCAACGCTTTCCAAGCCTATTCCCAATGCGATATCATATGCCCCGGGAATTTTAGACGAGTCGGATCAATTTCTACATGTTTGTGAGTACTGTTTTTACTGTGAAATATTTTAGTATAGCTTTACTATTTTACATTTGCTCTGTAATCAATACGCTTGTGCCTTGGGCGAACGTTTTTGACAAGTTATTAACAGCTTTTTCCTTACACAGTCCAGTGGATTTCTTCGATTTTCTACCATTGATTGTTGGTTTAATGACTGGTGTTTCTGCATTCTATAACTGTGAAAAGCTAGATAATTATTGAGTTATGGTGGTTTGTGCTTGGTGGTTAGAATATTTCGATTTATTTTGACAATGCACAATGTAAAGGCATTCATGGAGTAAAGGAAATTCGTCCCCTAGCAAAATTTTGGGCTACCACCGAAATGTCAAGAGTGAAAAGAGTAAAAATGGAGAAAAAATATAATTTTCTTTATTTTCTATCCCGATATAAGGTTAATACAAGGATAAGTGGTATATTAAACAAAAGATTTGATAAATATCTCTGAAGCCAATGAATCAAATAAAATTTGTACAAAGAAAAGTATACGAAAAAGAGAATTTGTCTAGAGAAAATTTCAACATGTATCAGATTCAGAACCCAAACTCCTGATTTTGAACCCATTTGCAAATTGCGATACCAATGAGGTTTAGTAACTTAAAATTATATAATATGATTGGAAACCAGTTATTCCACTCAAAAATAAGTAACTTAGAAGATAAGATATAAATTCTATGCGCAGGCGAGAATTGGTATAGTTACCCGCGAAAATGTTCTGTAGAACGTATGACGCGGTTTGTTAGCTCACGCATTCGTTTCGGTAGTTTGTTTTGCATAAAAGACGATTAGAAAAGGTCTGCCAGCGGTTCTTAGTAATTGCTAAATTACTACTCAACCGCTCCTTTCGCACTGCGAGCAAACCCTTGTAAGTACATTAGGTGATACTGTGTTTGTACGTTGCTCTCTTGTTTCGTGAAATGTTTATTTTCACCGGGTGACAAGTCAAAATTGTTGTGATATATTAGACATTATTCTCTGTTAATTTTACTAAAATTGCAAACTAATATCGGGTTGCATGTTTATCTAACGGAGGCATTAAGAGTTTAGTGTTTACAGTAATACGGATGCTGGTTCTCTCCCTTTACTTTTCTGTTTTTCCCTCTCCTTGTTCTCCCTGGTATTCAATTTCTTTTTCATAAACCTCTTTGTTCTACGAATGTTCTATAGTTTTCTAAAACCCTTTTACTTGCAATACTTTCAATTCAAGACATTATTTTCCTGTCTGTTTCATTTTCATCCTTACCTCTCTCTTCTTATAGACCATGCATGCTACTTAAACGTTACTTAGCATTTTACAAAGAAGAGAAGGGAGCCAAAATTTGTATATTTGTGTTCTGAGAAATCTATTTGTCTTCACATTTCATCAAGGTGTCTTAGCGCTTTCGGCGGATGTCAGTGGAGTGGAAATCTACCCACATGTCAATTATCACCAACATCAAGAACACCCAATATTTTACAATCAATAATTCTGTATAGACTGCTTGTTACAACAGAAAAAACAGGAGTCGATTGTACTGATCCTAAGAATGCAGACAAACCAGAATGCATTGACTGCGCTGATCCTAGTAATTTTGACAAACCAGAGTGTGTTATTGACTGCACTGATCCTAGAAATGCCGAAAAAACAGAATGTATCGACTGCACTAATCCTAGTAATGCTGACAAACCAGAATGTATTGACTGCACTGATGAGAAAAATATTGACAAACCGGCATGCATCGATTGCTCGAATTCAGCATACGCTAAACACCCAGAGTGTAGAAATGTGGGATAAAAAATGAAAATACGAAAACAAAGCAATTGCGTAATTTGATTACACTGCGGTACCATTTTAAACACCATCAATGAATAATTTGGTACACTATTTGTTTTCGTCTTACAAGAATGTATTTACTTTATTTGGGGACATAATAATATTGTAGAGTTCCATTACATTTGAACCCACGCTATACTAACCCTAACTCGTGGGTTTTAGCGCCCGCATATAGATTGATATACACATGGGTTCAAATGTACGGTCACCATATTGTATACTAGAGATTGAAAGCTGCATAGAGCATATGAGGATATAACTTCAATTTACAAAATTAATATATCTGTTTATCGAGTCTGTAATAACGGAAAAGATTATCTATATTAATAAATATGTGGTAAAGTCTCACTAAAATCAAAGATAAGGTTTACTAATTCACCTATTTATTTTTTTATATTTCACTTTGTACATAAGCATGCTAATGAGTTTATTGTTATTTATTTTATATCATTATGAGTTGTGGAATAGAAATAACAAGAAATAGTTGCTGCCAAATTGCAATCACATACAAAATCGCGAGTTTTTCATAAAAAGGGTTCTAAAAATGGGCTCATATCTTGCCAAGTGAAGTCGTAATCTGCATGCAATATTTTAACACCTTACCATTATTAAAGTACTCTTATTGGAATTGCAATAAAGAATAGGAGATGAAACAAGTCAGCAATAATCAATGTAAGTACTCCAATGTCAAAAAAAGTTGTTCAAGACTCCGGAAAAACAAGATAGCGATACTTAATAAATGCGCACGAATGTTGCGCATAGGTAAAACCTTGAATGGGCACCGGGTTCGCTGAAAACATCAGCGGTCAAGCGTGGCGGAATAAAGTGCTCTCATAAATAATAAAAATCGTCGCATGTACAAAACTAAAAAAAATTTAAATGAAACATCGAGTCCAATAGGAACATTTAAAAAAGTACTAGTCTCCTATCGACTTCTTCCGTCTTTGAATCGATGGAAATTGCAATCCATTGGTAAGCTACATAAGGAATGAATTAAAGTGATCATAAGGATTTCTAAACATCAACAACTCCATTTGTCCAACTCTCTTCGTGCTCATAAAATATGAGTAATACCTTTTCTGGTCGGTTCTTCCATCTATAGATAATGCAAATTTAAAATCGATTCATAAAATACATCAAAACGAAGGTAGTCAGTGTGTGTCATTGCGATAAACGACGGGCCAACGCATTTCAGAGAAAAACGTAAAAGAATATATTAATATGAACCTCGTGAATTACCAACGTCTTTAGCTCGTGCAATTGTGAAAGCGATAGATCTAGTTTAGTTGAAGAAAAATAACACTAGAAATGACAGCAGCAACAATTGACCAAAACGAACTATTGATTCACTATCTGTATAGAATAAATCACTGACTTTATTCTATTTCCTATATAGATGTATAGCTGCAACAGGCGGATGTCGATGGAACGGACCTGCACCATCATGTCAGCGTGTAACCAACATCTTGCCATTTTTTATATTTTATAATCTATTTACAACAACCCAAAAACCACCAACTGATTGTACGGACCCAAATAATTCTCACTTGGTGGAATGCGGTGGAAGTGGCGTGTATTGTAAAGACCCTGCAAATTCTTACAAAGTTGAGTGTGGCGGAAACGGCGTGGATTGTTCTGATTCAGCGAATGCGTACAAGGTAGAATGTGGTGGGAACGGCGTGGATTGCACTGATTCAACAAATTCTTACAAGGTAGAATGTGGCGGAACCGGCGTTGATTGCACTGATTCCACAAATTCTTACAAGGTAGAATGTGGCGGAACCGGCGTTGATTGCACTGATTCCACAAATTCTTACAAGGTAGAATGTGGTGGAACGGGCATTGACTGCTCAGACGAAGCAAACAATTTTGAAGTAGAATGCGGAGGCACAGGAGTTGATTGCACAAATGAAGTGAATTCATGGAAATTAGAATGCGGAGGATCTGGTGTTGATTGCAACAATTCAGCAAACGCTGACAAGCCCGAGTGTCGAGCACCCCCTTAGTCATAAAACATCCTTCGCGGAAAAATAAAAAATGGTGCATAAACTTATAATTTCAGCATAAATACATTTTTGACATAGTTTTGGTCAACTGCGCTCTGTTTGTTAAGTAGATTGGCAAAATTCAGTTTGTTTAGATATTTTTCTTTACCTACGAGAATAAAAATAGGACTCAAATTTTTGTGAATTGATTTTTGAAAACTAAAGTGCATGGTATTTCCTCGTGGGAACTTATTCTGACATTTCGGTATTCTGCCAATAATTAAGAAATATTTTTCGCTAAATCGGTGGCTCTGAGATGTCGGTACTGTGGGGGTATTGTTTTCCTGCGCCCAAGATAAGATGATAACCAATCCACTTCTGAAAGTTCTCATATGGGAATAGTTAGCAAGGTAATTGTTCCATATAAAATTATAAATGAACGTAAACAGCGGAGAAGTTCCTGTAATAAATAGTTACAGGAACTACTCCGGGTATTGAGGCGTTTTTGGTTGTTAACCATCTATATACCTTTTCCCCGGAAAGCGTAGGCCGAATACACGTTTAAATAATACCACAGTTCGTGTAACATCCTGTAACTGCTGCTCAGTTACAATTAGCTATTTCCAAACCAGGAGTATGCTGCAGAATAACCAAAAGCATGTCGCTACTGTTCTTTCGTCTAGAGTAGACCGGTGGTTCCCAAACCGAGGATAATTACCCTCAGGGGAGTAATATGATGTTTTCAAGGGGAAATTCAGGCGATATTGGTATGAAGAATGTCTCTGCATAGTAGATACATAATACCAAATAATGTTTCGCCGTACTACAGATTGTAGAATACGCTGAGCAAGCACAACTCCAGCCTATTGAGGATGGATTAGAATTTGCAATGGGCGTTCGTGAAATGTAGAAGATAGTGTCCGCTTACAATTTCGGGTTGGCCCTCAACATGAATAAATCAACCTTTCGAAAAAGGTATTAATATTAAAAACAAAATATCGAAACAAGCTCATGAATGGCGATGATATGAGCCTAGGTTTGAACGTTTGATATCGCAGAAACATTGTCACCCACTGAGATTAAATCAGGACGCTGCTGTTTTTATGGATTCCCATGTTTTTGTTGCTATCAAATTGAATAAATTGTGCACTAGAAATTTCATTTTGTAGAAGGGATAATTGAGCTTTTGGTAATTCGATTTAGGGGTAAAAATATTCAAAAATTTTTTGTAAACTTCTGGTCTAGACTCTAAAATCCATTCGCCACAGCACTCTAACAAAACAATTGATTCAGCGAATACGTCGTGATCATTAGTAGAATGTAGAAATTTCATATTCAGCTTCCGCGCAAAAATTGCAAACCCTCAAGACATTAAAAATCGATCCATAAAAATTTATGGTCTAGTTATATTATAAAAGGTGAGGTAAAGTATGTAAACAAACTGAACTTTGCCATGCTTCTTGATAAAAATAACGAAATCTGATTAAAACTACTATAAAATACAAATTTAATCTTTAGTGACCACATTTCTCATAAAGCCTATTGTTCAAAATTGTTTGTTTGTTTCACTTTTTATATAGGCTATCCCCGTGTACCGGATTTTAAATAACCAACGTCTATTTAGGACTGTCTCTTTAGTAAACAATAGATCTCGCCTTCGTTAACCGGCGACCTCTCGATACATGTGTATATAAGATCGAAAATAAAAGAATCTTATCGAAATTCTAATAGATGTATCAATGCTGTATTCGGATAAAATGAGATAACCTTATCCTTGCAATACCATCATCTGTTTTATTTTTATCATTTCTTCTCTCTTATCTTCATAAAGTCATACGTATTATATACTTAGTATAACACTCAACTGATACATTGCATTTTACTATGATGCTTAAGTGAGCGAAGCAAGAACAATTTGTATAAATTTTTTCTGACAAGATTTATTTGTCTTCACATTTATTGCAGTGCTTTGTTGCTTTGTAGAATATCATTTCGTTCTTGTTCTGTGCCAAAACATTTATTGAATACGGTAGGATGTTGTTATTCTGACTGGAATAAAATGCCATTCAGTTCTTCTGTTTTGGAATTTTTCATAGGCGAACAGCAATCTTATTGATAGGATTATTTGGAAAGAGTCGTGAAAAAACATGTTTTGCCACATTTTCAAGCTGTGCATCAACCTCAAATATCCCTGAAAAGTCTTTCACAACTGCAACCTCATTCTCGTCAAACATTTTAATACCTAATTGAGATTTTTCAATATATTGCCAAAACGTCCCATGGCTTCCAAGTATATTTATCAATGAATTCCATCAAGTAGGTATCCAAGAGCAGAAAAAGTCTCTTTTTTAATCCTATTTTTCCGTTATTTTGCAAGCAGTCATTCTTTTGCGGGCTTCCCTGAACAGTCCGGGTAGCGATAATTTGCGATCTGCGATCGACTAAAATCTTCAAAATAGCACGCAATCTACTAATCGGTAACACAGTCATACGCAAAAACGAGTACTGAATATGCAGATAACCGCAAACATGCATACAAAAGTTCCACATCTACCAACAAGCTCGGTTCTGTGGGCGCATTCTTAATGAAATATTAATGCACAGCACAAGGCACGCGCACCCAATGACGATAAACGAAGGGCCTAGGCAAAAATCACTTACGCCTTTAGCCCAAGCAAATAAGATAGGTCTAGTAGTTACAAAATTCACTCTGTTTAAAATGAATGACTAACATATTTCTATTTCTTGCATAGATGTATAGCTGCAACAGGCGGATGTCGATGGAACGGACCTACACCAACATGTCAGCGTGTAAACAACCTCCTGCGATTTCTTATATTTTATAATCTATTCACAACAACCCAGAAACCACCAACTGATTGTACGGACCCAAATAATTCTCATTTAGTGGAATGCGGTGGAAATGGCGTAGATTGTAAAGACCCTGCAAATTCTTACAAAGTTGAGTGTGGCGGAAACGGCGTGGATTGTTCTGATCCCACAAATTCTTACAAAGTTGAATGCGGTGGAACGGGCATTGACTGCTCAGATAAAGCCAATGCTTTTGAAGTGGAATGCGGAGGCACCGGTGTTGATTGCACAAACGAAGTAAATTCGTGGCGATTGGAATGCGGAGGATCTGGTGTTGATTGCAACGATTCATCGAACGCTTGCAGACTGGAGTGTCGGCAACCTTAGGTAATTGAAACCCATCCTGCGTGGAAACCAAAATAGCGGCATAAATACCCAATTTTCAACATTAGGTCATTTTGTTTGATACAGGTTGAATTTCAAGTATTCAATGGACCAATAACCAGTCAATTCATTCAATGATCCAATTGTACAGGAGTTTATTATTACTTTCTTATTACAGCTTTCAAAATAGACTTTTCGATTTGGTCATTTTACAGCTTAAACATCAGAACCATTCTTCCACTTAAATTCCCTACGTATAAAGTTCGTAATTTTTCAAAACTTAATTTCCTTCCTTACTTGTGATCGCCATTTTGCTTCAATGTTTTATTGCCATCTCATTTCTCCAATGAGGAGAATTCCAAGACACCGTAGAGACTCCTTTGAAATATTTGTTCTTGTATTTTATTTCTTTCATAACGCGACTTAGCTTCTCTCGTTTGATTAGGCCATTTATTCACGATGTCGTATAGTAACTATATACTACTGTCGTATCAATGTCGTTTACTAATTTTTTTGTTGTTTTCAGATTCAACTCTCGGATGTCGGGCCTTACATAATTTAAAAAATTTGCAAGCTAACTTGTTTTTGCTTTTTGGGGAAGTAGCGAATGTGGAATATAACTATGGATTTTACTGTTATTTAACTCCTGAAAATAGGCCATTTAGCAATCTCCCGGATGGTATCGACCGATCTGTGACGTGTTTCCGGCATCCGGCATAGTGTTTTTCATGTTTTTGCATTATTACTGGAATTCAACCATATAACTGGTATTAAGGTTTGAGTGTATATTACAATATATCTGAATGGATTCAATTCGATCGTGCAACTTTACAATATACGAACATTGGCAATATAATCGATTGTGTGTTTATTGACCTCTGAAGTAGTCCGTTGGGGTTTACTCCGATAACGTACGTATACCGTGTTTCCCCAAAAACAAGACCGGGTCTTATTTCAATTTTCCTTCGAAAATTACCACTAGCGCTTATTTTCGGGGGATGTCTTATATTTTCATTTAACAAAAACAAAATTACAAAGTTTACGAGAGAATTACGAGATTTTCAAATATATAAAATATGAAAACCGATACCCGCTTACTGTACTTATAAATAACACGTTTTCCTCTCTCACGCACCTGTAGGAGACATTTCTTGCTATCAACTGAATCAAAAAAAAATCGTGCTATTGGCTAGAACTTATTTTAAGGGGAGGGCTTGTAATAAAATCATTTATAAAATTCAGGCTAGGTCTTATTTTCAGGGTAGATCTTATTTACGGGGAAACACGGTAATAATAGTCATACTATTAACACAAAGGGGTTGATTGACGCGAAAAATCTCAGTTACAGTCCACATTCGCTTCAGCGGCATAAAGAACCAATTCTCAACATTTGGTCATTTTGTTATAATTTTGTCGCTTTATTTGTCGAGTAGCTTGGTGAAATTTAAGTATTCCATTTACTTTCGATACTATGAAAAAAAGTTGAATTTGAGTGCAAAATTAATTCGCGTGGAAGCTTACTCTGAAATTTCAGTTTTCTGCCAGGAGTATTTTGGCTCAACTTGTAACGCTGAGATGCCGGTACTAGATTGTAATTGATTACATGCGCCAGCGATGAGATGATAGTTAGCAAGGTAATAACTTTTAGTTGTATTGTCAAAAGATTGAAAAATATCCAAACTGTGCTACCACTACGATATACTAGTTATTCACTCTGACATTCTTGAGCGAAGTTACTCGCTCACCATGAAGGCTCACAGCACCGTATCGGTAGAACGATAAACCTTGAAAGCAATGCCCCAAATATATGGACACACGATCTGAAACCAAATTTTTTACCCCCAATCCTCCCAAAATCTTATCCTGAACGCATTTACTCGGACTGTCCTAGCTTTCTAAGGTCCTGTGACGATGATGATTCATTCTATGTGAGTTACGACTCAAAATCCTGTTTTTGTGTAAAATGTGTTGTCAAAATTTTACCTATTCGTGAAGAGTTCCTCATATGCTTCAAGCTGATAAGAGAATTATTATCGTGTCTATCGTATAACCAAACTCATATTTAAATGTGGAGTTGTGTAAAATTGTGTTGGAAAAACACCTGGATAAGCGATCACGCGATTGATACCTGCAGTTGAGACGTGCTGCGTGGCAAAAACATCAGGAAATAGCTCGTGATCACGTTTTCAGCAGGACATGGGTCGCCGAGTTCCCATACGACTTTAACCCTGTCAACTTTGAAACAACGTAGTAAAAGTAGTAAAAAATGAATATTGGAATGTTCAAACCCAAAATCAATTTCTTGTGGAAAATGTTTCATTTGCTCGCCAATATTTGTTCAAATATCAGCGAAAAATGAGTATTTTCTTGCTCTACAGATCCAAATATCATCTATTGTATGAAATAATGTTCGCCGGATGGAATAATGCTCATGAATTTCATCGTTCTCTGTCAGGATTCATAAAATTTCGTATTTTCCTTGACTCACAACGTGAGAGGAAAAGTTATTTACATTCCATGAGCAGCTCGGTGAGAAAAGCAAAATTTTGGGGAAGAAATTGGAAGGTTGTAGAACATCAAGAAAAAATAACCGAAATTAAAAAGAACTAAACGTATGCACGATGTACAAACCGAAAAATGCCAGCCCCAATAACAGATGCGTCGTAAACTACTAAAAAGGACAACAAGATAGTCCTTAATATTCAGCTGCCCTGATGTGATGGGATTGTCATGTCAACAAACTAAAGCGCCTTATTATCTGAGTAGCTGGTGCGTCATAATCAAGGATACAAAATCCTGCCTGTGCTTATAATACTCTGCAATTAACGCTGGGTAAAATGATGTCTCTGTTTGCTACCCTTCAAATCCCAGGTGTATAGGAAGGCCTGAAGATAAAATTGAACCAGTAGAAACAAATAAAAATACAGGTTGGTCGGTTCAAAACCAAAAAATTTTCCGTTATTTGTTTATATGGAAATATAACCCTCAATTTTGGGAATATTTTAGAAAAAATGAATGTATTCATAGTTGACGTAAAATTTCTAATTCTTATCGTAAAAGATAGTTTTTTTTTGTTCATTATGACTAATCGCGAGGTATCTATTCCCAACCTTGAATTTTATATTGTTTCCTTTGTCATCACAACACAGTTAGGCAAGGGATTCAGATCAGTACAAACTCGTTTTTAATATGGCCAGGTGTTGTTGAACGATGTCATCCTTGTATAGATATATGTAATGTCGAGTGTATTTTTGAATCATAAAAACTAATGTTCGGCGTTATCTAAGTTTGATCTACAATATTTGTTTTTAGAATACTTCGTATCATAAAGGAATCAATTCTTTTCGACGTTCTCAAAAAATGAGCTTCGAGTAAAGGCAGGCAGAGAAAAGTTCGTAAAACTGTAATAATGTTAGAAAATCCGCAAAATATAATTGGGCAAAATATTTTGTAGCCTTGTAGAAATTTATAGCTAATTGTCGCAGTGGTCTGATTTTCGTAATTGTCTTTTATCTTTTATCCGTTGACGAAATAACAATGAACTGGATCCTGCGAGTAAAATCGCATCCGATCATATTGGACATGAAGGAAAAGAGCCCACATCAATTTACAAGCAATGGCGTATTTTCAATGTTGACAGAGTCTGGAAAGTACGCTGCGTGCGGCCTGGAATCAGATATATTTGAGCCACATGACCTTCCTTTATCGAGGCGAGCACCGATATGTAAATACACAGTCGTGAAGCGTCATGATCTTTGCCTATCAAAACGTTATCATTTGTTGATGGAGTACCTTTGGAGTAACGGATAGTTACATTTTATGACAATGAACAAAATTGGCGCCCTGAGGTCATGCGATTTACAGTTTAGAAGGTGATTTGTAACGGTTGTACTTACGCACAATTGCATAGGTTAGTTGCTCAGTGCTTTGGGAGAACATATCCACCATAATTTTGTCTGTGATGTTCCAGTATAGGATAAAGTAGCAATAGCATATCCAGGATCGTGGTTGCGATAATCGATATTTTACTGTGGTCACCTTGCGTAAATTATTGTAAAAACCAGCATTCGCGGAGAAATTTGAGATACACAATAATAAAATTCTCGCAGGGTACTATTATATTCCAAAGTGTACCCGAGTCGCGTAATATTTATCACTAATTGTTCAAAATTAATCCAAAAGTGGTAATTATGATTAAATCTATGCTAATAGGCTTACTTGCTGTATACGCTGGATACAAAATCAGAACTTCAGTTATAACGACGAAGATTGAAGAAGAATATGATTTTATAATCGGTAAGAACAAAAACAAATCTTTTTATTGTGATTTGATGAATTCAATATTTCAGCAGTGACTTTTTAGATGAGAAGCCCAAACAATATCTGAAAACAATATCTACATTGCACATTTACAACAAAAAATAGTGATAGCTATCTTAATGGATAAAATTTTACATAATCGTGGTTTCCATTCACTTACACTACTTGTCAGCGTTTATGTTATTGAATTTCACCTAAATTGCTGTCATTGTAGGGTAATCCATGTTCTTATCAAAGACTCATCTTACGTTGGTATTGCGAGCTAAAAACGCAGACAAAATTCAAAGAACTATGACATATCATCCAAAAAATAATTCTACTTAGTCCTTCTCAACTTATTTAAACAAGTAATTCGAATCTTACAAAAGTACTGAATAACAGATCCGTTAGGGTAGATTATCTATGAATTCAATAAATATGTTGATTAGAATATGCTAACAAAACAACATGAACAATCAACACATCTCAAACGCCGTCGAGTCATAAACAGCCAAACTGTATTTAACTCTGAGATTTGTAGCTGTCAATATCAATGTCCAGACGTGTTTTTAAATTTATAACGTATTAAATTCTCAGTTGGAGGCGGAACTACAGGAGCAGCAGTTACATCAAGACTTTCAGAGGATCCAAATGTCAAGTAAGCCACATAGATCTCTGCAAAGCAAGATCATGTATTTGTGTGTGCGTATGTGCGTTCTTTCGGTACAACTATATGAATTTTAATCATATCCACATCCAATTAATAATAGCGACTGGTTAAGGCGTTTTATCATTAAACCATACTTTATGATAAAAAAAAAAATTCCAGTGCTTCATATACCTATGTTTTTATGCTCATTAATTTTAATATCGTCATTTTACTTTAGAATTCTATTATTAGAAGCTGGAAAATCTGATTTATCAATTCCAGCCATTCGTGTTCCTTCAATCGAACCAATTCAGATGACAACAGCTGATTGGAACTATAAAACTGTTCCTCAGAAATATGCTGCGCAAGGACATCTAGGGCAGGTTGGTGACCTCTTTTGCGTGGGGGCCTAGTAGTAGTAGGTGAAGCGTTAGACTTGACTATCAGGGCAAAATCTTAGCATTGAATCTCTCAAACCAAATTGATTTCAGGTGGACAGGCTTCCCACAGGCAAAATATTAGGTGGAACAAGTTCAATGAATCATATGATATATCATAGAGGAAGTCCACATGATTATGATTCATGGGAGGATAATGGAGCAAGAGGATGGGGGTGGATCGACGTCAGAAAGTATTTTATTAAAGCAGAAGGATCTGTAGATGAGAGTTTGTCAAAAAATTTAGGCAGATATGGCCCAATACCTCTACGCAAAATACACTTGAGACCTAAGCTCAATCAAATAATAGAAGAAGCAGCAACTGAAATAGGTAAGATACAAAAACGATGAAAAATGTTATTTATTAATTGTGTAATATTTTTAACTGAATTAATCTGATTGATAAAACTTGATAAAAGTATATTAAACATCACACGACACGGAAATGAAACTGAATGAAAGAGGATTCACAAGCAGTGTTATGTCGTTAAAATTTGATCTTTCTATTTCAACTCTCTTACTCTTCTGTAAACTAGGAATTTCCAAAACGGATTATATCGACAAACTCGAAGGTTTTTCGGATGTGGCTGCAACAATTCGTCAAGGTTTAAGGATGAATTCGATAGAATCCTATATCAGAAGTCATTTTCCAGAGAGGTAATTCCGTCAAATAATCACAATTATTGGGACGTTTTATTAACGCTGTTATACACTAGTTAGATAATATATCGATAGTTGCTAGATGAAGCGTTCATTCTCGCAACAGACTGTACGAGCACATGTTTATTTTTCATCTTTTAGATCTAACTACGTCCATAGTACCAAATATTTAAAAAAAAATTGTACAGAATTATCTTTTTACTATATATTTTAAATAATTCATATCGGAAAGTTCATTTCAATTGCATTTAAATAGTCGTTTGTAATGACTCAACTCCAAGAAAGATATGACAGAAAAGTTTACATAAATTTCAATATTCTGATCAGCTCGCAATTCTGCATATGAGGATGGAGGTTTATTCGAACACATTTTACAACAACTTTTGAAACTAGCAAGCAAAAACAATTTACAAATTTGTATCAAAACATCAAATGTCTATTTGAATCCAACATAAATTCAATCTGGCACTGTACTTTTAGTACATTAAAACCATCAATGCACCCATTTTGAGCAGCTGGGCCTCTTTACATCATCATTGACACTCCTTCATTATAAAAACGATTTCATAAATTAGAACCGCCGAAGCTTGTTAGGCAAAGTAACAATTTTACAATTGCTATCATTTGAAGTTAATCATTCAATAAGAAACCTTTTCCTTAAAAACTCAAGTGGATCAAAGTGTCCCAAATCAAACGGATAAAATGAAAAAGTGAAGATGTTTTCTCTGCAGTTATTCAAGGAAAATTATCATGTTTTTCAAACCCATGTACTTATATATATATATGATTTACTCAAATCTAACACGAATTATGATATGCTTATCCCTACCAGGAAAGATCGGTTGCATATTGCTATTGGGGCATACGTGACCAATGTTCTTTTCGCCGAAAACAAGAGTATGGACGAAGTTCCTCGGGTAGTAGGAGTAAAATTCATCAAAAATAACAAAGAGATGATAGTGAAGGCGCGCAAGGAAGTCATAATATCTGCAGGTGCTTATGCAACTCCAAAAATTCTTATGCTTTCTGGAATCGGACCAAAGCAGCACTTACTGGAAAAGGGAGTATGTAAACTTTAAATAATACATGAAATTTGCACGATATTCGATAGTTTAGTGCTTTAATTCACATTTGTCAAATATGTAGATATGTATTTATAAAGACACAAAGAAAATGAGTTCTATTATAAACAACACTTTATTTATGATATATGTCATTTATAGCCAACATTCTTCGTCATCAATTCAGAACAATACAATAAAAAAATAATAGAATACAGTATCTTGCCATTTGTTATGAGTTTGCTTTAAATCCCAAGTAGTAGAATATATATATATAATAATAATTTACTTCCAGATTATTTGACACAACTTGCCGCAAACTGGTTTCCTTACCTACAATTGTTACGGAATTTGTTTGAACATTTTGTTCAACTATTATAAATTAACAGATACCAGTGATTGCAAATCTTCCCGGAGTTGGTTCAAACTTGCAGGATCACGTAAGAATGCTTCATCTCATGTATTCTAATAAGTTACCTAAAGAATCTGTCATCACCAAAAAAGAAGTAAGCAAAATTTCTCAATTTTTCTTTAAACTTTAGCAAATTTTAATGAAACACATGATCCACGGACTTTATATTAAACAGATTGACTTCATCAATTTTGCTTAATTATAATTGTGTATCTCCTTAATGCTCGAACCAATTGTATGCCTACAGCTCAACTTATTAAGGGGATATATATATATGCCTACATGTTCATAAAATCTCATTACATTTTATTCCGCCATATTCTAAATTTGTTCACTGTTCACCAATATCTTGTAATATATTTTCCCTACGATAACAGATGCAACAAAGCGTTTCAGAATATTTAGCTAACGGTACCGGTGCCCTTACATCAAACTTCATCTCATCCTTCATGCATTTTCGAACAAAACTTGCCGGCACTTCGACAAGCTCCAGTAAAAGGTAGGCTATTTATTATATAAGTTAGGAATGACAACCCAGGGTTATATTATCAGAAACATTTAACTGTTGTCCCCTATTTGTATTATAAGATTTAAGTAACTTGGAAATACGAATTGATTGTTTTTCACTCAAGCCCGGGCTGAAATTGAAGTCTTATACTTTTTGACGTTTTATTCAGTTGTTCCGCATGGCTTAAAACGTTTCGAACGCCGCTAAAACCCCATCAAAACACTGTTAAACCTTATGAACTGTTGTCTCTGGATGTTATTATAATACATCAAATTTCATTGTGCAACATTACTGATTTTTGTTGTATTAGATACACTGCGGATTGCGCGTTTTCGAATAGGATGGAAAAACAGCCAGATATTTCCATCACCCCCTTATGTGACACATGTATATATATATATATTTTGACAGGATACATAGAAAAGGCGTTACATTTAGATCTGGTTCAATAATAATTTACTTGTCTACACAATGAGTTGAAAATCTCATATTTTCAAGATATCTCTTCTCAATTTGATGACGTTTTTAATATATTACAAATCAGTTCAAGGTCTTTCAGCATAAATATATATTATTTGTCTTAGGAAACGCCCGTTTCCAGAAATTCAGATGGCCGTGTTTCCTGCCGAATCAACAGTACGAGATTTCACTGGTGGCACTGAAGTTACGGCTTATAACGCAACTGTAAGTTCCACTGTACTTAAAAAAGCAAATATTATATAAATTAAAAACAGTAGAATTTCTTACATGACTGATTGCCTGCATGTTTCTTAGTTATATTTACCTGAAATCCGCGAAGCACTAGCTATACGAAATGGAGTTCTTGCAAGTTTTGGCCTAGTTGCGGGATTGCTTCATCCTAAATCTACTGGAACAGTCAGACTAAACACTAGCAACCCTCTTCAGCATCCTCTTATTGATCCGAGATATTTATCCCACGAAGACGACGTAAAGATTTATACAGAAGGTAAGTTTCAATCTCTCAATACAATCATCTTTTGTTTTTTGCTTAATTTTTTCGCTTTTTCCAGTAATTGATGTTGTATGTACTTTTATGCTCAATTTTTGGCGCTCTGAAAGTGTTCGTACCAAGATGATGCACAACCTGAACAACCCTAACCTGGTACAGGTTTGTCGCCATCTTGGTACGAATACTTCGGGAGCACCCAATTTGTTTTAATAATGTTGTGCACTATAACAGGTCTCAAGGTAATAGAAAAACTGTTGGATAGTGATACATTCAGACGTTTTGAAATCAAACAGGTTATGCAACCGTTTTGCGACACAACTGAAAATAACCGATTTCCAAGGTAAGTATCGTTGGGTCGAGGCCTACTTTAAAAAAAATAAAAAAATAAAGAAAAATTTTCATGATGAACAACTAATTATCTGATACGATAGAATCTTCGCTAATTGTACGATTTTTTAACAGGAGTTCAGAGTTTTACAAATGCTGGTTAGAAAATTCGGCAGTGACCGAATATCACCCATGTTGCACAGCAAAAATTGGAGCAAAGTCTGACGAGTTGGCTGTGGTCGATGAAAGACTGAGGTAAAATCTTGATTCGAGTTATTATTTTCAAAATGTTAGCCGTTGCTATTCAGGGGCAAAATATATTTCACAAAGCATACGGAGTCTTATTGTAATTTAATTTCAATCTTATCCGGGAAAAAGGCGATAAAAAATGAAAACGCCAGAATTCGCTTGTTTGAGAGCATCAGCTTACTATAATTATTACAATTTAGCCCCAATAATTTGCGTAGACGAAATAATTGGAATGGCACCAAATTATACCCTAAGGTATATTTTCATTTCAAATGGTGTATATATAAAGAGTGGAGCGATATTTGAAATTATCTTTAAAAATATTTTAACATTTGCCAATATACAAAACAAAGTATTTCCCAGTCGAAAACATTTAATATTTTGTTACCAGGGTTTACGGCGTTAATGGATTAAGAGTAGCAGATGCTTCGGTGATGCCTCATCTAACTTCTGGGAACACACAAGCACCTTGCTATATGATTGCTGAGAAAGCTTCAGACATGATAAAAGAAGATTGGTCTATGAAACTACCAAGGCATTAGCGACAAATGTATCAATTAGACATGTGAATTATCGGTTGTTACTACGCGTTTCCCAAAGCAGTTTTAGCGTCATCTTGTAAATATATGGAAAATTTGACAACAAGTTGCTTAGGTAATTAGGACAGAAATTCATTCGTACAGTAAGTTTTACTCTATCTGTTAACTCTATCTTGTTTGACGTTCCCCAGTTTTTTATTTTAAGGGGGGGGGGGTAACTTATAGAAATGTGTTATGTATTTCAATGATCATCTTCACCGGAATGTGAGCCACCGTCTAAATATACAAATACATTTTTATCTTCGTCAAAAATCAAAGTATGGTGTCAGGGGGCGGGGTGTTCACCCTTATTGGGGGGTGTAGGGAAATCAATGGTGGTTGAAGAGGCACGAGTCGATGACCAGACTTGGACTCTAGTCACCATCTACTACAAAAGACTCGAAGAGAGCCATCTAAATTCTAAACTACATATTCAGTACAATTTTACCTGTATTATATTTAAAAAAAAAAAAGGAAATAAGTTTAAAACGCCTTTAGTTTTTTTTCTTTTGTCTGCTGTTAAATTTTCAATTACCGGCGTGGAAAGTAGATATTGGAGAATTGAGTGCAAGATTTTACGATAAAACATGTGAGTAGTGCCTAAATGTATGGATCACGAAAGCCAAAGCGCTACATAAAAGTCACATTAGAACAAGGTAGTGCACGCATACGGAGAGAAACAAGTAGCTCATGTAAACAACTTCTCCACAAAATAAAAACCCATGAACTACAATTTCAGCTTATATCGTAATATTCAGTCATAATTTTTTCGGTGGTCACTGGTCACTGTTCGTCCGAGGTCATATGTGGAGCAATAAAATGCGAACAACGCGATGTGGTCGCCTCCTACTACGTGGTGATAATCGTTGTTCCCGGGTGCAACAGTGGTTTTTATAGTTGTACTTTATGTTGCGGATAAAAACGTTACACCTACGACGACAATGAATACAGCAATTTCTCCTACGCCTATTATATCCCACACAAACCAACCCAGTATAATTAGCGGTGTGATGACGACTTTGATCCAGTCACCCAGTACAATCTGCTAGCCATTGAGCCAAAACTTTCATGTACCGTAGGTCATGGGCACATCATTACCATGAATTATTTATAGTTAGTACATACAAACTAATAAAACTGATTGCGAAATACTGCAAATACCAGGAGATGCCTCTCATCTACTACCGCTTTTCACCTGCATCTGGTTATGTACAATCATTCAAGACAATTGCACAAATTATATTGATTTTCAATTTTTCAAAAGTAACGAATATATCTAAATCATGGATTGCTTTCCTTAATTAGATCTGCAGCTTTTTCGCCAATCATGTAACATGTTGCCTGCGGAGCAGCAGATATCTGATGAGGCATAATTGAAGCATCAGCTATCCGTAGGCGGTCCACTCCATAAACTCTATACGAGAAAAAAGTTGTTAGCGTGAACTATACACAAATGCATTTATGTTACATGCAATACAAAACAATTTGCATTAGACTTTTCTTACCAGGGCTGTAACACTTTTTAAGTTATATTTTATGGTTGATATTTATATGGGTTTTCCAATAAAACTGGTGTCATGCTTACTTATTGTTCAATGAATTGAATCAATATCCTATCGAATACTCTCATTTCAGAATATCATTTTCAATTTTTCCAGCTGATAATCTGGGTTGTAAATTAAATTAACCCCTACCTGAGCTGTGGATCGACGACAGCTTCTGTGTCTTCAAATCTTCCCATCTTAGCTGAACAACAGCCATGAAATAACATAGCCTCACCAGTTGCAAGACATTTGTTAAATGCATATGAGCTGAGAAACGAGTGCAGTCATAATCAAGTTGAATATATCAATTCAGTAACATACATATTGGCACATGAAAACCTAGAGCAATATTCAAAAATTGTGAAAAAACGAAGCCATAGATTGATATTGTTGACTGTTACTCAAATAAAAATAGGATGGATGAATTCATATGTTGAATCATGGATTCCAAGATGTTGAGATGGCTCGGCCACGCAAAGGTGGTTCCTCAACCATCAAGTCCATGGATCATAATCAAATAACTGTGTAACTAATCCAATACTCGACATGGACTGGTAACCGGACGAGACGCCGTATGATTAAGCCGTCTTATCGTCTTTCCTTTTGCATGAAATAAATATGCAAATCCTATCCTATGTTGTCAACATTGCTGTCTGACAACTGTACTAGGTAATGCATTATAACGTTATATAATTATATTATAAAATTTTAGTAAAAAAAGATGAGTTATTTGACTCGACCCACCCTGGCTTCTCTTTCCTACATTTTGACACTAAAGGAACAACTTCTGCTCCTATTTTACGAAATGCTGCAGTAGTTGTTAAGTTACTAATCCATTCCATGCCTGTAACAAATTATTGCATGAACAAGCGTTAAATAAACACATAGACACAGTTAAATCTAGTTGAGGTTGCCTCATCTCTCAGCATAGGAACAAATTAGGAAGACTAAAAAAAGGTTGAAGAAACAGGGTTGTTAAAACAGATATTGAAATACTGACAGCATCAGCCCAATCGAAAAATTTCCAATGGCATAAAACTTAATAGACGGAACTACAGTTCATAGTCTTTAGTTTCTTTCTTTTAATTTCAACTAACAGAATAAGCCAGTGCTGAAAAGCTTAAATGAAGCAAAAATATACAGTAGTAACTAGTAAGTATTTTGGCTATATTGAATATCACCTTCATATGTTGTCATTTGTCACATTGTGTATGATACCAGGAGTTGCTGAATTGGTATTATCTGATTTGCAATATTTTCATTGCTCAACAAACATACCTTTAATCATTGTTTCTAGATCATCAGGATGAGAGTGAACATTAGGATTGATTTTCGGCTTACTGAATGGACTTGAAGACCTCAATCCCACAGTACCTTTACTTTTAGGGTGTAGTAAAACAGAGTGAATGAAAAATGAAAAAAGCACACCATTCCTCTCTCGTTTCGCTCTCAATCTCTTCCTCGAAAATCTGAAAGCGGAAGAGGGCCTTGTGTAACGTATTAAGTGATTAGTGTAAAACTAGTGTCAAAAAATATTCAGCAGGTATTTCATCCCATAAATGGCAATGCAATTAATGAGGCAATATAATAATATATCTAAAAGCATCATGTGGAAATCCATACATAAGAAATATATAAACATAACCTAATACCAAATAAAACACCAAAAAAGAGGGATTATAGGAAGTGTATCCAGGAATAGTATGGCAACCCTAGTATATTAGAGTAGTACCCAAGTCGTATATGATGTACTTCTGTGCCTTTTCCAGATTGTAGAAAGAGTTCTAGTACAAGTTTAGATTCGCTATTTAATCCGGTACTAATACTTTTACTCACATTGTCTTTATATAAGTAATTTGAAATTAACAATCGAAATAAGAAAGTGTCCGCCTCTGCAGGTATCACTATTGCTTGAAAATCCGGAGTTTTTTTTCTAAAAATTGTAATATTTATCACAAATTTAATGTAAAATATCGCTAAATTTTCTGGGTGCAGTGGTCTAGCGGTTAAATGTTAGACTTGGATTGTCAAGCGGTTAGACTCAATGATGCATTATTTTAACTACGGCATCACAGGTTAAAATCTCAGGTTCAAAGTTCATGTCAATCACGTCACTCAGGATGAGGTAAATTGAGTAGGCCGTGCCCGTGCAGAACAGGAAGGATTCCGGTCCTTCCAAAATAAAGCAGCTCTTTTGCAGAGCATATAAAAATTATAGCAGAACAGCATGCAAGTTCCGGTTGCTGATATGTTGAAACCCTGAGTTCAAATTTTAAGTACGAAGTTGAAGGTTTTTAACGAAATTTACCCAAAGACATCTTCAGTTTTAATATGTTTATATCATTTTTTGTCTAGTATATTCAATAAACTGGTTTGTATATCCTTGCGTTTCACTCATTATTGTCTTGAACCATTAAAACACATTAGTTTAGTATCACCAGCAAAAATACATTTTTTCAGCTTCCCTGATAACAAAACGTTCAAAAACATCCAAACCTTTCCAATTTGTCAAATTTCAAGTTTGCGAATACACCCCCAGTATTTCCTAAAGGGCCGCTTCCCTTCCACAACCATCCAGGAAAATTGTATAAAATCTGTTAACATAGCAGTATAGTAAGACACATTATAGTTGGAAATGAAATAATTATGGGTCTAAAGAAGGCATAAACAGCAACTCAGCATAGTATAAATAACTCTGGCTGTATATGTACATGCATAGATAATTGTGGTTGTATATGTACATGCATAAATAATTGAGATTGTATGTGTGTCGTGTGGTTGTATGCATGAGCGTGTGTGAATTAATTTAATACTTTTATGCGATTGAACACATACCACTTCTTTTGACAACACCTACTAATCCAAATCCTTTAAGATTTGAACCTTTCTCAAGGTTTTATGTGCTCTCCTGATTCTACAACAGTTTTAATTTGCTGTATTCATTTTTATCAATAATTTCATAGTCTGTTATGCTGATTATGTGGTCAACATAAACTTAAACTTCTAAATAGCAAAATGAAGATAGCAGCCAAACCAGGACGATATAGATACCAGTAATGTGTAACTAAATGAAAACATTTCCAAACTTGATGTGAATAAGAATAAGATATCATTTTTATCCCAGGGGAGAAGTAACCGAGAAGACAGCTTAATCATATGACATACCACAGCTTCTCGTCTGGTTACCAGTCCACTATGAGATTAGTTAGCCAGTTATTTGTTTCAGATGCATATACTTGATGGCGAGGGAAACCGTGACCAACCAGCTGTTATGTGAACCAACCCATGGTAGTGAGAAGTCCAGCCATCCTATCGCACATATTAATCCACCACAGGATTCGAACCTGCGACTCCAGGTAGGGTAGCAATATTCCTGGTGCTTAGCATGAAGCGCCATGTGCTGAGTCGAATTTTGGTGTGAATGTGAAAAAGCTTAACCTAATTTTCAAACCAAACCTATTGTAGAAGAATTATTAAAATTTTACCTCTTTTATCCCTGCTGTGTCACCAAATGATAAATTTTTGGCATGAAAATAAACCGGTGCGAACATATGGTCTTGATAATTTGAACCAACTCCTGGGAGATCTTTCACAACACTGATCTGAAAATCAAAAAGTCATCATTTAAAAAAAGATTACAAAGTATTTCAATATGATTTCTGATCCTATGATCAGTTTTTTATTTATTTTCATTATGTATATTATTCCTGTTATGCTGATTAAGTTGAAATAAGCCTACTCTTATTCTAAATTTGGACTCAATAACTAAGAATACACAATAAGCCCGATGTGCCTTGTGTATAGATGATAGCACAATCCAAGCAATTTATTGACAGTGCACATAATAACCTGGTGCGCTCTATGGTCCGCATAATACGGTACTTCATAAGCAAGCCTTTTAAGGTTCATTCCATCTCTATCAACGTTTACAGTCTGGAATCAGACGTCTATATTTCCAATTTTGTAAAGTTTAGAAAACAACTCCAGTGAACGATTGCAATGCAAGAAACAGTGACATATTCTAAAACCACAACGGGACAGTGTTTAAGCCCTTTCGCCAATAAGAACAATTTTTCACACACCATGTATTATATATTTTACCATTCATTGTTGTTTTATTCTGGTAATAAATAATAACATGAACTTTTGAATACGGATTTTTAACAATTTCATCAATTAGACTTGCTCTTATTCTTTACTTTGTTCATTATCGATGTAATGTGTAATAACTGCATAAAATGTTTTTGTACATCAAACCCAATGTTATCTGGTATCTAGAATTGATATAAAAATACACACACTTACTCCATGTTCTAGCAAATGTTTGGCCGGTCCAATGCCAGACAACATTAATATTTGTGGAGTACCAAACACACCTAAAAGATTCAACAGTATTGAATAAATAAGCATCAACTAAAGTTCTCTCTCAGCCTTTGTGCCTAAAAATGTTCGCTTTGTCAGTTTTTTCATCAATTAGTAATCTGCATAAAGGTTAGCTATGAAGAAATTAATCTTATAAAACACAAAATGCTCGATATGATCACTGCTCAGTATTCACATCCTTAGCTAGTGAATCAAAAAATCATCTGCCAAAAAACATGGAATATAAACTAGAATGCAAATCAATTCTTATTGAACTGCTCACGAATAGATATATCTAAAATATAATAATGAAAAATATCAATTATTACTTGGGAGATGAATTTCAGACAAAACTACCTGCGCTCAATACAACTTCTCTTTTAGCATTCACAGAAATTGTTTTTCCATTTTTAATAAATTCAACTCCTGAAGCCGATTTAATTCCATCTTCTCTCTCTTTGATCAGAATTTTTGTTACATGGGCATCAGCTACAATGTGAAGACGATCTCGCCTAATTATGAAAGAAATTTATTTTAATTTGTATTATGTTGTTTATATGCGTGGAACAGTTGGCACATAGTCACTTGCTGGAATGATCACATTTATATTATTCCGCAGGGCATAAAGCTCACTACAATCTGATAATTTCTGGCTACTCTTTTCAACCAAGTAAATTTTGCCCACACTTTTAAAACAATTTTTAAAATCTGAATGATGGTAATTTTTACTAAGATAAAGTACCTAAGGTGTGCAATAGATCGCAAGTATGATGTAGAAGCACTTTGTCGAAGTCCTCTCTTTGCCGATGTTTGTATAACTGCTGCTCCAATAATATCCTTGGCATTGTGATCAACAACATAATCTAATCCTGCAAAATGAGTACAAACATATTAATTGTGTTTGTAGAAGAATTGCTTCAAAAATATGAAAGCAAGCATAACCCCAATCAATGGTAATTTTATACTGGATAATATGAATACATTTTGAGTAGAAAAGGAAAAATGAATCCATCAATCAGCAATAAAGTTTATTTAAAAAACGTTGTGAGTTGTGACTCAACCGAAGACAAACAAAGCATGTGACTGAACTGGGGTTGTTCCAGTACAAACGATATGATTGCGAAATTAACCTTGAATAAGTGAATTTTCATGGGCACATGGGCACAGGCCAAAATGAATAATATATTCCTAATTCACTAGTTTCCTACAGTAACGCGTGCACATAACCTCAAGGGTTGCATGTGGCATGTTTTTTCCCTCAGAGATTGTGACATTCCAATGGATGGTGACCAGATATAATACCTTTTAATGATGCTCAATTATTTATGCATTATCTTAACTGACATTACAACAATATTAATAAAGCTCAAGTACCAGTTTCTTTTGCAGCATTAAGGAAAACATCAGACATTCCAATCTTTTCACTATGCGTAACGTGTAAAGGTCCTTCATGCCCATGATATCGCTCATCAATAGGATAAAAATGATTTGATGTTTCTGATTTGATAAAATATTTCAAAACACTTCCAAATCCCCATCCAACATTTCCTTCAGACTCCCAGGAATCATAATCTGATGGACTTCCTCTCATATAATATTGAAAATTAATAGAGCTGGTACCACCAAGAAGTTTTCCCCTGGCTAGATGTTCAACCTTGAAACAGAAAATGTAAAACATAACAAAACTCCTTTCTATTGCCAATAGTTCAATAATCGTAATACACATAATTTTTAGACATGGAGCCTATATATTGTTTGGTTAAAATGTTGGCGGTGTTCACATAAACTACTGGACCATTAGCTTTCAAATTTTTTATAGCTGAAGAGAGGCGTCCACCAAAGAGCTTCAACTGTTACATTTTTCCTTTTTTGAGAGCCTGTAACTCTACCCAGAGTTTTAGTTATTTAAAACTACTTTAAAACTACTTCCAATCAAACAGTTTCAGATGTTACTTTGATACTAGCAAGTAGCAACATCTTGTTTATATATTTTGTAATTCTCTATTGTCATTCTATTTTATTCAAGAGTCTTGCTGTGCACTAACACAAATGCATTTCAGTACATTTCGTCAGACACCATATTGAATCAAAAAGAATAGTCATCTTCAACCGTGCTAGAGCAACCCTGTTAAATTATACGCATATGGATTCACTACCACAAAGACATAGAGTAAGGAAAGGTAGTTGTTAGTCTTGGGTAACCCCAACTGATAGCTTTGTTGAAATCATTTTTCACATACATTATCAGTTTTCATATGTAAAGATGCTGACTGGCTTTCAGATTTAAATTTCCAATCATTCCATATTCCAACGTTTAAAGGACCAAGAAGAGGAATGTTCACAAACGGATCGTAGCCATCTTCAGGACCTGCTTCCAGTATTAGTACTCTAAAAAATGTAACATTTCATCAAGTCAAGATTATTCTCTTCGACCAGTAAAAAATTAGTTATATGCAATATTCGAAAAAAAAGATAACCGCATCGTTTTAACCCAAGGTTCTGATAATCAAACGAAAAGGTTAGGAATTTTCTTTTACGGAACCACTTTTATTGCTGGTGAGTGGTGAGTACCGTACGGTTTTGCTGAATTACTAACATTTCTTACTAGAAAATGATAACTATTAGAGATTGTATTACAGAGCCATCGGATGACCATATGAACGGGTATTCGCCGCTTCAACTTGTTTACTTGAAGTGAAAGTACTTCTGTCCTGTTGTCTAACTGATGCTTTCGACAATAAATACCGGAAACAGTATCAACCACTAATCAATAGCTTTTTAAAATCTCACTTGAATGAGGTATTATCAGTCAGTCGACGAGCAATAACAGATCCAGTCAATCCTCCTCCAACTAGAAAAATCAAATCATAAATTCGTTTTTGATTCTATTCACATAATATATATAAATCATAGAATGTATAAATTTTGATCAATTAAAAGTGTTTCAATAATTCTCCAAACAAGAATATGCACAAGCACTATTTACATGAAATGACATTCAAAGATTTTTGCATGAATGGGAGTCGAAATTACCTACCGTAAGCAAAATATAAGGATTATCAAAATAAAGTTTTTCAAAAATAATGCACATCATATGAAGTGTTGATGAACGATTATTTTAACATAATCAATTCATACAATGTAACATAATCAATCCATGTTTCATATTCGTAAAGAAGGGTAACATGTTAACAGAAACTTAAAGTTCCAATTCTTAGAGCTTCTCCTTAACACATTTTTCACCCGTTAATCTATCAAGATACTATGAATAATTGACAACAACTTACCAATTATGAAGTCATATTCTTCATCTGGTAAATCAATGGTGATGCTGATATATCTTGAATATAATTTGAATAAAACAAATGACAAAGTCAAAAATAACACTGCCGATTTCAACATGATGTACATACACAGTGAACACGATCAAGAACTCTTATGGTTAAGTCATCATATGATAACTTTCCTAATTTATTTACAAATCATAGAAAAAGCACTGAGAAAGCAATGGTAGCATGTTATCGGCAAGAATAATCAAGTTAAATATCAATCATTACTACAATATTTTAATTCATATGTTAGTTTTAGGCACACAGATGTTCCATGTCATACGTGTGCATATTGTAACAGAGGTTCCATGTCATCGCGTCAAAACAACAAGCAATTATCGATCAATGGATCAATACCATGGTATCCTCTATATTCGATGCCCTAATGTTGCAGCAAATATAAAACAACACAATTTTACTCTAAGCATGATTGCCTCAACTATAAGCGAAAAGATTCGTGTTGTAGAAGTGATAAGCAAACACCGCAATGCGTACCTTCACCACAAACCATTATAAGGGGGACTCTTGTTTTTTTCTAGTGGCAAAACGCTTCTGTATGGATATTAGATGTAATGAAATGTAAAACAACACAAAATTTTTACTGACAGATTATTCCAAATCTACCAAAAATAAACTTAAAACATAAACACATGTGCTGAAAACTAGAAGCACTATAAAATATGCCTGTATATATGAAGAACATTATATATTGACATATAATTTGTTGTTAATGTTGATGTACAGGCAGTGGAATAAAAATACTGAATAATGATGCTTGGAATAATTCTTTCAAAAGATTATAAATATGAGTAAATAACAACCAAATATATTTCCCCAAAAACAAGTTTTGATTTTCCACTCCCCAAAAAGCAGATAATAATAATAATGATGTTGCATTCTAGAAGCAGCAGATGATACTATTATTTCAAATGTGTTTCCTTGATTAATTCAGCAGCTTTCTCCCCAATCATAAAACATGTTGCTTGTGGTCCCGCAGATATTTGATGGGGCATAATAGAGGAATCAGCTATCCTTAAGTGCTTGACACCAAATACTCTGATACGCATAAAAAAATAAAAATAAAAGATTGTAGTTACTGAAAACATGAATATATTGAGGCATTTATTGAATTTTTTTTTTCGTAAATTGATTCAATTTATTATGTTTTATTTGATTAGCTGCATAGATCAACTTAGAAGAGAGCTAACTGCATAAAAACATGTCCACCATCTCACCCAGGGTTTATTAGGTAGGCAATGCCCCACCGAAAAGATTACAGAAAATAGTATCTCTTTACATATCATCAAATATCAAGGACTGCTTCTGTATAGCCTTGTTCAGAGCAAAAAGACTGAATAAGCTCATATTGAAAAAATATGTATGTTGCCAAATATTGATTTACTTCATATGACCGCCAAACTTATACCATAGAGTCAAGTGAGAATGTAAAAAAGTTAAGACTGTATTCCAGTTTGACATGACTTTAAGTGATTCTTTGAATAAAATACAATTATGAATATGAATGTAACTGTTTATATATAGATAATTATAAATAATGATTGTCACATTATGTGAATTCTCAAAATACCAATTTCTTAAATGAAAATATTCAAAATCAAATCTGCTGCATATAGCCTATATTGGCAAAATGTGTTGGAATATTTGAATCATGTCATGGTTCTGAAGTCTTATCAATAGGAATATCGGGTCTTAACCAAATTGAACTTGAAGACAAGAGCATATAGCATGGAGGTACATCAACCAGTTTTTACCCCTCCAAATAATCATACTTGAATGCTAATATTACAACTAACTATGGTACTCCCAAAGTATGTGAACCAAAATGGCGGACACCAGAACATAGCATGTATACCAGGTTAGGGTTACGCCATAATTTCAGTTACAAATACTACGGGAGTCACTTGGCTAGTCTCCGAAATCGTAATAGAACTAAAATATGGAAAATTGAAATAAAATTATGGCCTAACCCTGACCAGGTACACATACTATGTTCCGGTGTCCGCCATCTTGGTTCACATACTCCAGGGGTACCCTATCTATTTTTATATTTGAAAAAATTATACCCCTGTCATACCAACAACATAATAGTACTATTCGACTAAATAAAAAAAATTTACTCCTTGCAAACTGTAAAATGAACTGACACTTCAGTAGATACCTTAATTGAGAATCAACAACAGCATCTGAGTCATCAAAGCTTCCCATCTTAGCAGTACAACAGCCATGAAATAATGAGGCCTCACCAGTTGAAATACATTTATAATATTCGTCTGAACTGAATAAAATGTAATAGGAAGATTAAACAAATGTTTGCAGTTGAAATAAAGTTCTAGAAGTTGAACCTTTTATCTTGATATTAAAAGGTTATGGTAAATGTAGTTGAAGAAACAAGAAAAAAGCCTTTATAACAAGTTTTAAATAGGGGGAAGAATGAAAAGTTTCAAGAATTCAAGAATTTCAACGAAATAAACTTATGCCAAAATCATTTCAAAGTTAAAATAAGTATTCACAAAAAGAGATTAAGATCTTAATTTCAATTTCATTATTTTTAATTTAATTACATTCTGCAAAATAATAAATAGAATAACGAATTCAAATCCTGTTGGCATAGGATTTACGTTCGGATGAAATCTAAATCCCCAAAAAAGACACACAGAATAAGTATGACAACACAACAACACAAAGTATTTCACCCATGTATTTTATCATCACATTCTGTATGCATTGGAACAAATTCTGCTTCTACATTAGCAAATGCTTTAGTTGAAGTCAAGTTCAATATCCACTTCACCCCTATGAAAGTAAAAGACACATGATAAAAAGTGTTCTAATATTACATAGAATGATATAGCAACAGTGTTCAGAATAGAAATGCTACATTATGAACCAATACGCATCGCTGTGTTTATTTTACAGATAATATAATGAATTGTTTTGATCAGAACTTTTGGAACTTGTTTCCGCAAAATAGTATTCAGCTATCAAACTGGCAGTGAACTCTTCACTCGTTTTGAGTCGTGTACCCACTAGACAAAATTCTTTCAAGGTTTCAGACCAAAGTTTTTTTTTTGGACTTCAGTTACCGTGTGTAAAAATCACTACCTCATAGCAGCTTTCCTCATCGTATTCACATGAACTAGTTTAAGTTTCAAGTCATTCAGTATTTACTGGAGTGAAATTCTACACTAAAATTCCTCTCAGTATCAGTAGCTAGGATAGGACTCACGTATTTATCCGGGGGAAGAGGAAAGCCGGCTTAATCATATGGCAAACCATCGCCTCTCGTCTAGGTACCAGTCCATGTTGGGCATAAGATAAGTTGGACAGCTGTTTGTTTTCAGAAGCATGGACTTGATGGCGGAGTAACCAACCAGTGATTAAGTGAAACCCCCTCTGGCCGAGAGGAGTCCAGCAATCCTCTCGCACATAACTATCCCTGCATGGGATTCGAACCTGCGAACCCACGCAGGGACATCAGAGGTGCGGTGGTGAGCGTATTTCCATTGTTAAGTACAATGCACCACACCAAGCATTTGGCATTTTAATAGTCGCCTGTAAATTCACTCAGAGATCAATCTCCTCCATTTCTCAGTGTGGGATGCATAACCTTGCTTTGATCAAGTTTTTCAATAACAACAAACCTTGGCAACATTTGGGAATTGTCTATTTGAAACCCACCTTCCGCCAATGTGATTAAATCATCTGGATGTGAAAATACTTTCGGATCGATCCTTGGTTTGTCAAGTGGATTTGAAGATTTCAACCTGACATTACCTCTACTTTTTGGATGAAGAAGGATAGCTTCAACCATGTAGGAAAATAAAACATTATTTCTTTCCTGTTTTGCCCTTTCATATTCATGTTTGAATACCTGAATATGAAAGAATTTGAACATACAATAGCAGGCTTAATCAAATGAGAAAATAGGATCGAGTTTTCATATTTATTAGGGGTAGAGAAAAACCAATGCAAATGCTTAAATCACACAGTAAACCACAGCATGTCGACTAGTTGCAAGTTCAGATGTGGTTTGAGAATAGTCAATTTACTAAAATTGGAGCTAAATTTGACCCAGCCTGTAAACAGAGATTATATTTAAGAATGAGAAATAAGATAAATAGAAATGAGATCCTGATAAGATAGTAAAAAAGATTCCAGGATAAAATGGTTATGCTTGATTTTGAGATGTCGCAAGAGAGAATTAGTTTGCAGTGCAGGGTACAGCTATTCTGCTCTCGTGTCATCGAGCTTGATTGGGTAGCTAACGTCATGATATATATTCTTCACCCTCAAACCAGAAATGTAAATCAATCATTTAAATAGTTTTGCAGTGCTCACATCTTGTTTGTAGTTCCAGTTTGAAATCATCAAATCAAAGAAGAATGGTTCCGATTTTATTGGAATAAAAATAGCTTGAATATCTGGTGTATCATCTACATCACTGAAATCAATCAGAAAACAAAAAAATTTGTTTTAAATTTGTCATTGAATCAAAACACAAAGATATTTATTCATAAAACTTATAGTGCTCACTGCTCATATTTGTTTGATTTTTAAATCCATTCATTTAACACAGAGAGCAATGCTCAAAGACATGGACACAATTGGTGGGTATCGGTGCTTGTATGGGGAGGCCTGAGAAACAGAGTTTGCTGAAAAGATCGGTGGACAAGCAATTCAAGAGTGGTCACATGTGAGGAAAACTGGAAAAACAGGTAAAGAGTGACTTTGCCTTTATTTAAATACTGGGAATTTGAAATCGATTTGTCCATTAGTTGCGTGAGAAAGATGTTTTTCTCAATAATAACAAAGTGACAATATGACTAATAACAAAAATTTAGAAAAACAAGCCATAGGTCCACTTCATGTCCAATGTATGAGATGCAAAGAAAATGTTTTTTAAGACTCTAGGAGTCTAGATAACCGAAAAAATATAATTAGTTCTCTGTACAATTTGCCAGTTTGCATGGAATCATAATTTAGGTCAAACTGGATGAAAGTGAAATGTTTCAAAAATTCTTGCCATGCCAATATGAGAAAACCTGTGCATGTAATGAACTCTTGATAAAAATAAAGTGACCCCCGAGTTGATCTCCTTCATAATTTGTGAAAGAACAATCAATATAAACTGGCTATTTATTCCTTTTATCAGTAATTAATCAGGGTAGAGCATGTTTTATTTTTATGCGAACCAAAACATGAATACATTGCGCAACACATATTTTCGGTTCATGTAATGAAAAGAATAGCACTGGAGAGTACATGTAATATAATAGAAATAAATTTCTATATGTTGGTGCGGTTTTCTGTTGTGGTCATTAGTGTCAAAAAAGGTGAAATTTTTTGTAATAAGATCCTGTGAATCTGTGATACATTACCTACGTATGTATGTTTTTAGAAATGAGATCATATCATTTAGCTAGATATTGTCCGTACTGTACCTTTATAGACAAAAACATGTGCAAAATGAGTAAAAACAGAACAAATTATAGACTATATAGTGAAATTGAGGTAAACTTGATATCGCCGCCACTGAGTCTTAAAAATGCGTAGATTTGACTCCACTCTGAGTTCAAATCGAAATCTTGGCCCATTCCTACTAATAAAAGACATTAGTGCCTGATAACTCAGTGGTTAACACCGATGACGATGAAATTTTCCAGCAAAAGTAGGTATGAAACTCTCTTTCAAAATGTTTTCATCCACAAAACTTATGATTGTAATATAATTAGTTCACTATCAAATAAAACAGCAAAAAAATGTACCTTTTGGTATCTTTGACTTTAAAATTTGCCAATGCACCCCCTATATTTCCCAATGGTCCAGTGCCTTTCCATATCCATCCAGGAATACTTGAAAAGATCTTTAAATAAGATACACAATAATCAAATCCTCTAAGGTGTGGCATCAAAATATTAAATATTGATTTAATAGATAGGTTGCTGAAATAAGGCTAAAACAGCCAAATTAAGTATGAACAACATGTCAGCGAAGCTATTCATGTTTTGTAGCTTGAATGTCCACCATGTAAGAGGGGCAAATAATAGGTGTGATATCCAAGTGGTTTGAGCATGAGTGTGTACTGTGAGTGAGTGATACAATGTACTGATTGCTGTTTATATGGCTTAATAAAGCCACTGAAATTATTTTCTGCCAAGATGCCTCCTAATCATTTTGTATCAAAAACATTGAGTTTTAGGCTTTTAGATCATTTCTTACTTCTTCATTTCCTGAAGTGTCACCAAATGATAAGTTCCTTGCATAAAAATACAGTGGTCGAGCAATATGATCCTGATAATTTGAACCAACTCCATGAAGATCTTTAATAACATTGATCTTAATGAATTAAAACAATTTCCAATAAAGATTTTGCTTAAGACAAGGCAGCAGTGACCCACTCATTCCAATTATTTGTTGTTGGCCCATGTGTACATTTTATCTAAGGCGAGTATACCATGCCTGTGTGCTCTCACTAACTTACAATTTGCGAACAGTGCGGTTATTTGACTAAAAATCAACTGATAAATGACAAATTATTAAGCTACATTTAACTTTTAGCACGCAGAGCAGCAGAAACGAATAATACTGGTAAATGAGAAGGTATGGACAAGAATTTTATAAAAAAAGAAAAGCTGATCATATGGCAAATCATGGCCTCTCGTACAGTTACCAGTCCATGTTGAGTTTGGGGATAGGTAACCAGTTACTTGTTTTAGACGCATGGACTTGATGGTGGAGGCAGGCATAACCGACAGAGTGACCACCCCCCCCCCCCCCAGGATTCAAACCTGCAGACGATGCCCTCAATAGTATCCAGTCATATAAGAAAAATATCTTACTCCAAGCTCTTGCAAATGATAAGCTGGTCCTATTCCAGACAACATCAAAATATGAGGTGTTCCATAAACTCCTAAAATGTATAATAATACATCCAATCAAGGATGGCCAAAACCAAATATTTTTTCAATATTCCGAAAACATTCTGAGAACATATTTTCAAAAACCCAATATCGAATTCATTCTAAATTTGGGTTAATCATATTTAAAACAGCATAAATATAAAGTGTATTGTGTTCTCTGTGGGGTTTGTTACCAGTTAAGATATCATGTGTTTTGATCTGCTTGTCTGACAGCTCAAAATACCTAATTTGCTAGAATTGTTCAAAATTATTTTTAAATTCAAAAAATTACTATATCAAAATGAATTTTGAACGTATTCGAATATTCAATATGTTTTGGACATGCTTATAATACAATTAATTAAATTATTCTGATTCATAAGAATTCAATCCCATAAAAAGTTTTTCCAAAAACAAAACCGATTGGTTATAAAAGTTGCATCTTTTCATGAGGTTCGTCAAACAGAGTATGGCTACTTTTCATACCCGCACTCAATATTACTTCTTTTTTAGCATTCACAGAAATTGTTTTTCCATTCTTAATAAATTCAACTCCTGTAGCAGATTTAATTCCATCTTTTCTCTCTTTGATTAAAATTTTTGTAACGTGGGCATCAGCTACAATGTGAAGACGATCTTTCCTGAATAGCAAAGCAGTGTCTCTTTGAGTGATAGTGCACACATATACAGAATTTGAGAGACTGTAATTTGCATTTTCAATTTTTTTACTTTTGTTTGTTGGGCAATGGAGACATGTTAAAAGCAAATCTAATTTTTTTTATGGAAGAGCAGGAAGCCAGTGTTGAGAGTCCTTGGAAGAGGGATGTGGATCATGAAAGTTTGAGGACCACTGGTCTGTACTTTTGGAAAAGCAGCTAGAATGAAGTTTTCCCTCCAATATACTGACAATACAATTTGAGCAATAAAAAAGAACAAACTTTATATTTTTTCAAAAAAATTTTATTGAGCAAAAGTGAGAAAATTGGTAGAAAAATAGCAAAAGGGTTTGCCAGAAAACTTACAAAAATTTCATATACTGTATATACAAAGTTCAATATAATATCTGGGCAGAAAATTAACCATCAATTACCTCTGTTTAGCAAAATGACGTAAATAAGCTGTTGAAGAACTTTGTCGAATTCCATTTTTCACTGAAGTTTGCATTAGTGCAGCACCAATAATATCTTTACCATTGTGATCAGAGATATGTTTCAGACCTTAAAATGTGTTATAATGGATACTTAAAAAGAGGGTGTGATTTGTGTAAATAGGTATGCTTCTGTACCACTCTGGCTTGAACAGAAGAGAATTAAAATTCAAGACAGGTGGTTTTGAACTGTAGTTTCGCAACACTCCAGGGTTCTATCAGTCTGTACAGTACAGTCCAGGAATTCTGCAAGTTTTTGTACAAATCTGACTATATTAATACAATGTAAATTATATCTACCGTGTGTATATTATTTATTGTCACTACTATTAAACTTGCTACAATATAAAGAGCATTTTGTTTTTCTAGAATTAGATAAGCGTTTTCATATTTATTTATAGATATACAATTCCGACAATAAAAGACAATTAGATTATTGCATGGGGGTAATTGGGCCCTTGGTATGTTTCTTTGTGGTTCTGCTACACCAGAAAGGTTGAAAACACAGTTTCAGACTAAATCATCTATACAATTACCAATTTCTTTTGTTGCATTGAGAAATACATCGGTCAGTGGAATTTTTTCATGATGTTTTATATGCAGAGGTCCATCCATGCCATGAAATTCTTTATCAACAGGAAAGACATGATCCGATCTTTCGGATTTGATAAAATACTTCAAAACACTTTCAAATCCCCATCCAACATTTCCTTCCGACTCCCAGGAATCATAATCTGATGGACTTCCTCTCATGTAATATTGAAAATTGGCAGCACTGCTGCCTCCCAGTGTTTTACCTCTTGTTAATAATTCCACCTGTTAAATAAAGTTTCTGCATTATGCTATAAAAAAGTGTAATACACCACTTGCTATAATGTCTGATGTGATCTGTCTAACTGATTAACTATTCATATAGCTCACATAGACTGATAAACAGACAAGAAGCCATGGTTTGCAATATGATTAAACCATTCTATCGGCTCTCATCTCCCTTAGGAAATCCTATCCTTACGGATCTGGACAAACTGAATAGCAATTCCTCAACAAAACCCCAATAGTGAACATATAACTGGATGTATTGATGATGATTCTGTCATAGTAACATCAGAAAACAGGGACCTGTTCTTATTCAAAGTATTGTGATCTGAAATCCCTAACCATGTTCAATTTAAATAAAAGCCACCAAAGCTTAAATGCAAAATAATACATTATTATTTTTCAAGTAGAAAATTCCTGGTTGACTTTCAGATTCATAACCCCAATCATTCTGCGATCTTGTGTTAAAAGGAGAAAATATTGGAATATTCAAACGAGGATCAAATCCATCTTCAGATCCAGCTTCAAGGATCAGGACTCTAAAAAACCAAATTAAAGTGTGTTTACAAATTCCAATATCTTATACGTAAGACAGGAACAACCAATGGTCATTACCCTGGGACAATGTGCCCAAAATGACAATGATTTCAATGAAATTGTAAGTCAGATAAACTCACTTGAATGTAGTCTCTCCACTCAAACGGCTTGCAACAACATTGCCCGTTGTTCCTCCGCCAACTATAAAAAAAATTTTCAAGCAGAATAGAAAATCGAAAAAAATTTACTGAGATTATCAAAAATTCTACCACATACCAATTATGAAATCATATTCTTCATCTGGTAAATCAATGGTGATGCTGATATATCTTGAATATAATTGGAAAGAAACGAATGATGAAAGTAGAATTAAAATTGATGATTGCAGTATTGTCATTTTTTCAACATATCAATGAAAATCATTCCTATAAAAAAAGCATTTCAGTGTATATACTTGCCATCTATGCTTTCACTTAACACCATCTAAATACTATAGCCAAGGTGGGTGGCTCTATTTATCGCAATGGGCTAAAACGTACAATTATAGTGAAGCGAAGGGCCAGGCCATCTGACCAACTCGCTAAGTTTTAGCAACTCAAAGTTGGCTTTGCAAGTGCCCACTCATATTCCTGAATTCTGTCCTGCGGAATCGCATTTAAAAAAAAAAAAAAACTGCTCACAGCAGTATGCACTGTACGATAATAGGTAAATATGAAACTGAGTGGACCTCTATTCAGAAAATTAATTTTCCCATACCTAATATAATAGCTAATATAATAGCATCAATACGATGTGTTTTTCTACTAACTTAATTCCTTTTTTATGAAGTTCATTATCATTATTTTATTACCATTTATACTATAGTTATTCCAAATTTAAAGAAAGTTAGCGATAATATGATGGTATACTAAATAGAATCCGATTCGGAAACATTCAATTCAAAGTTCAATTCGAAAATGAAACATTCCAAACTAACAACCTAGTTGCAAGTCTCTAAATAAGTTAAATATTTCTTGTTTGTTTGTAAAGCTTTTATCTTTGAGCATAAATTAATCCCGCCAACTTAAATTGAACAATTTATCATCAACGACACCAGAATAACGATAACATCCGTAATTGATACTAAATAATATTTAATCGTGACGTTGTAAATTGAAAAAGAAAATCAAAAAATTTCCCGTCATGCTCTGCCCTGATCAGAACAAACCATGAAAAACATATAATTACAAACAAGTTAACAATTATTCGGTTAAGTTTATTGCCGCGGCCGGCTGCGAAGACTATCTCGATTATGATGAATAAATGTACAATAATGATTTTAAAAATATTTTCAAATCAAAAACACCCTGACGTGTTATAAATACTTCAAGTCGGCGCTGATTTTAATCCTTTTACGTCGGCTAAGATTAATTGCCGCGGCGTACACGAAAAACTTTGTGCGCAATATTCGATATTCTTATTATCACTAAACACGATATTCGAAGGTCGTGATATTCCGAATATATTTCAATATTAAATTCGAATTGAATATCATCCCTGCGTCAACACTCAACTACAAATAGCTTAAACCGGATATGAATACTACTTACAAATTTTGACAATCTGTAAATACTACCTGGCGGATGCGACTCCCATATAAAATGAGCTATCTCCCTTCCTGCATGATATGATAAAAAGTGAAATTCTACAAGTAAGTTGACTTCAACTTCAACATATCTATGGTATTAGAAGTTGATCTATAGCAAACTCTTGTCAATAACATCCATAATTCTGAGCATGAAAATAATGTTCATTCAGAATAAGCAAACTCACACAATTACTATAAAAATTTACTTATTACATAATTTACAGCTTCTCTATACCAAACAACACTCAGACAAATAGAGAACAACAGATCTGAACTGGATAGAGTAATGTAATAAGAATAATGTCCACGACTATATCTGCATATAATATCATAAAATAATGCATAATCCTTGTTAATTCATCAACCGCATAACTCCCACATAAATACTGTATATAAGATTTATATCAGTTGTGTGGATTTGGTCAGATGAACTCACTTTTACATGTTACATAATATTTGTAACGATACAACGGTTATGCAACTATGCAAACTAAGCCGGTGAACATAATATTAAGCTATAGATAATACCGTTATTATATATCATAAATCTTAACAGTTACGTTGCCGATAAGTATCATGTTGTGAAAAATGGTAAAAGTAACTGGAATTTATCTAGGAAAGTAACCAATATTATGTTAAAAAGAGTGTTTTATCGATTTTGATAACAAAATTTGATATTATTTCCCCTGCAAAATGCGTTGAAAATAGAAACAGATAAAAAATATGGATCCACCCCAAAAATGATAATTTTAATAAAAGAGAGAAATGCTCAAATATATGGACACAAGAGGTTGAAACGAGGTAGAATGGTATGGAATATTTCCCAGTAGACTATCTGTATCGCAGTCTTCACCATCACAAGGTGCGCAATGGTTAATTTTATTCATCAAACATAGAAAACGAATGCCAGGGAGCCCACAGAAATATTTGAATTACATAAAAGTAATAACTTTCTGGCGACAAATACAATTTTTAACCGCGGGAGATTTCAAAACAATTGGTCTAGCACAGTGGTGGGCAACTTCTCTAGTCGGTGGGCCAGATGTGGAAAAATGAAGTACTCGGCGGGCCGGATTATTACAAAAAGAACTTCGGTAGCCAATCTATAATGCTCAACACTCTCAGTCAACTTCACGTTTCTTGGGATATTCCATGGTTAATAAAACTCAATATAAAATCTGATTTCTAAAATTTATTTATATTTAGAATATGAATAAAACTGATAACAGTAGCGGGGAATGTTTGCAACGCACTCTGATTTTACCTTATATTGTTTGTTTAACCATTGATACCTCAACAATCGATCAAAATGACCATTGTCTTACCATTGTTATGCTGTAGATAGTAAACGCTTGACTGATCTTCTGTTCCGACGCATTTATTGTCGGCGAATGCATGGGAATTTATGGGTGAAGTGACAACCATACTTTGTAAAATCCTAATGATTCGAAACACGATACGTGGTATATTTGATAGTAATGGAAAGTTTGTAAATTCAGCTCAATGATTTAGCTAATGAGGATCTTAATAAAAATCGGTAATAGTAAGAATCGACTGATTTTTAGACGACGGATTCCCCTTTAATTTCCGTGTATGAAGACTTGCGAAATACTTATCTTAAGCATGATTAACCTAAATTTGGCATATTATCCCGCCACAAAATGTCATAAAAAAGGGTCGAGCTGACTCACGTTACAATACACACTTTTAGCGACACAGCCAAGATTTTCAAAGGGGTGGGGAGATCAAAATTCGGAAATTTCTGAAACATTCGCCAAATTACGCCACTCGTAAAACTAGTCGGATCTTTTCAGATTGCCAACATACGGAAAGTCGAAAACTTGAATACCGCGTGTAGTATCATTCGAAATGTATTTAATGCAGTGCTTAAATCGGGGATGTCCGATTCGAATATCGCGACCTTCGAATATCATTTTCCCGAGTTTATAAGCGCACATATCCTAGCACCGCGGTCCACGTTCCGATTAAAAACATTTTACAACTACTGTACTTCATTTTTATTGTAATCGAAGGCAGCCGTGTACGCACGGCAATGAATTAGAGCCACAAGAAAAGATTTAAATTAGCGCTGACTTGAATTGCTTATAACACGTCGAGGATGTTTTTGTTCGAAAATATTTTACGAATAATATACGAAATTATTATCGTATATTTAAATTTAGTCGAGATAGTTTGTGCGCCTCGACAATAATTCTAAAAGCAAATTGTGTCGCAATTAATCGTTTTCATCCTCAATTTCGATAGTGACCGGACATTACGGGAAAGTTTTCATTTCCGTTTAATTTAGAGCGTGTGGAATAGCTCTGAAATATTATTTAGTATCTATTGCGAGTTTCATCGTTTTCCCGACGTCGTTGATGGCAATCAAAAATGAAATCATAACTGCTGACATGAAATATTTATAACAGCACTGAATCGAACAATAAAACACGATTTCCGGTCTTAATTCTCCATCATTGACGGATGGAGTCGGGTTCACTTATTTGATGGCGCCCCAGAAGTATGTGCACCAAGAAGGCGGACACCCGAACGTAGTATGTGTACCAGGTTAGAGTTAGGCCACAATTTTATTCCAAATTGTCCTCATTTTTGTTCTATTATGAGTTCCGGGACTAGTCAAGTGACTCCCGTAGTATTTATACCTGAAATCATGGCCCAACCCTGACCTGGTACACATACTAAGTTCCAGTGTCCGCCATCTTTGTTCACATACTTCGGGAGTACCCATTTGATTATGACAATGATCGGGTAATAATATTTGCGTTTAACTTAATCAACAAATGGTTTAGCAATAGTGCAGTGGTTCTCAAACTTCTTTGTATATCGACGCCCTTTAAAAAATTTGCTTAAGTTGCGCTTAACATAGATACGAAGTCGTAAAGGGGGTGAGAGTACGCGACGCTTTTTTAACCAAGGAAGGATAACCTTTATGCAAGGAAATCCAAAACCTCTTTAAATTATCAGAATTAAACTTTCTTTTTATTGCACCATCACAGGTAAGATCGATGTAGTCATTCATGACCTACAATCTGACCAAAGCTCAATGCAATGCGTTTATCAAATACGACAGGAGTGAAGGAAATTTATCGACACGTTTGTGGATTGCAGAGGCTCGTCGCCATTTTTCCAAAATCTCTTCGCGTTGAGCTGAACTCGAAGTCAATCCACGATGTACTTCCGCGTGTGAGGGTATTTTTACATGGTCTGTGTGACATGTTTTATGGACATTTAAACATTTCGGAATTTTCGAGCCGTTGGTAGTGTTTCCGATCCTGAAGTAAATATTTAGACTTTTTCTACGCACCGCAAAACAGGTACTATTTCGCAAAAGGTGGAAAGTTTCGCCACGCCCTAGCAAAATTGAAACGACGCACTTGGGCGTCGCGACGCCCACTTTGAAAACCACGGGTTTAGTGACTAAACGCGACGCCCACTTTGAAAACCACGGGTTTAGTGACTAAAATGAAATAATAATAAAAAAACTCGGACCGACACCCTCTCACTCTCTACGCCACGGTCTTTATTTGGTATTTCACTATTTTTCCTATGTGCACATTTTCTATTTAATATGTGGTAATTTAATTCTAACATGTAATTGTTACGGGTTTACCCAGTATTATAATTTATACAAATGTTACGTCCGAGTTTTGTGTAGGCTTAGAACAATTATGGCATTTATATGTAAACTGCGTCCTTACTTACAGAATATTTTACTTGCGAAGGGGCTTCCAAAACGAATTAATTTCGTAGGCAGAGTTTCAACTGTATTGACAGCCAGTTGTGATTATATTTATAAGATATCCCTGTTAAAAAAATCCCAAGATCTACGATAAAATTCCAAAGTCTACCTAAATTTATATTGGTACAATTAATAAATTGCTTCAACGTACTTTATCTTAATCAGGCCATAGCCAGGATTTTCAAAAGAGGTTCAAAATAAATATTATTCGCCTTGAAATCCTCGCGATATATATGTTCTCACAACACTGACTCCGCTCTGCCACTCCTATTATTTTTTATTTTTCAAGAAAAATCCCTACGTCTCGGATAAAATATAAAAAACTACTATATATTTTAGTACATTAAAAATTGACTGAATATGCATTACATTAATTATCTTTTATTTTATAATAACCAGAGTAAAAGCTGCATATGTCCCCGACGATAGTTTCGCCTTAACCTAAAACAGGGATGTGCAAACTGCAGCTCGATTAGAAAATTTGTAGGGCTCGCGAAGAAGCGCCAATTTTGAATAGTGTTCCCATTTAATCTTGAATGGTGTTTTAGAATTTAGATCATTTAATTTGGTGCGTGGGAGCAATTTTAATCTTTCTCTCTTTCACAAAGCCTATATTAATATCTGAGTGCCACGGTCATATTACTAAAACAAGCTAGCAAAATCATGTTACGAAATGGCCAATGTTATAAAAACGCGTTTCTCACTGAATTCGATTATAATTCAGAGCATATGAGCACACATACATGAAATTCAAAATTTTATATTTATTTTTTATCGCATCATTGTCTTCTCACAAAATTTCGCTAGCAACACATTGTATAAACCCGCGGGAAACAATCGTGCCAGATAATTTTTTGAAGTGTCGCACAGGGCTGCAATGTTTCAAATCAAACCGTTTACGGTGGCGCTAGGATATAATGTGCGCCATATTCGGTATTTACTTCTTCAAGCAATGCATTAAATTAACCTAAATTATACAAATATTATTACAAGCGTTTCAAAGGTTTTCGATCCTTCAAAGGTTGCACACTCCTGTCATAAAAGGTATATCGCAGGCATAGTGCAGGAATTCAGTGACTATGAGGTATAGTTCACAAGGGCAAATTTATCAACTGAAAAAGAGCTTTTAATCTGTCAACCGCCTAAAGAAACTAAAGGTATTTTTCGTTTCATTTTATATATTTTACAATAGGGAACAAAACAACTTATTGAACAAAATGCTTGCAATTCTGAAATGCGGTAAGTTTGCAGCCGGAAATTAAGCAAGATAAATAACGGCGTGAAGATGCTCAGAGCCCAACGTTACGGATCACACTGAATTAGATCGGTTAATCAACAAAATGCAATCGCACGCCATTCAGACATTTCCACAATCCTTAAAAATCGATCAAAAACCACCCTCTGGTCGCATATCCCACTTTGGATTTAATATACGATGTCACGCACATGTTCGCACTTGTGGACAATTATAAATTTGTCCGAATACTGCATATAATATCTATTTCGACAGTGTATATGAATACGGCCGTATAAACATATTTACCAATAAATTTCCAGGTATACTACCTTACTTTACGAGATCTCAGGACTTAATTCCACGCGGATCCGCCATAAGAAAAGCCATGGTTGGATACAGTCAGCGGGCCG